GATGGATCCAACTCAAAATTTAAGCGTCTTATCATACTTCAAGCTGCTATAAATAAACACTATCGCGAGATTGCAGCTTCCCATCCTAATTATAATAAGAAACAACTAAATTTCGCGCGCTGTTACTCTTTACCTATAAAACCTACCGCAGGTAGGGGTATCTACCGCTCCTACCACCAGCACCTTCTACTGCTACCCCATACGATTTACCCTCTACCAACTACGCTCCTGCAATCGCGACCGCGTCCCATTCTAACAATACTTTAACTGCTAAACGTTCATATCTCAAAGCCCCGCCTAGCTCAGCTGAGTAAAGCGGCAGATTCGTAAATTCGCGTATCGACGGTTCAAATCCTCGACATGGAACGCCGCCTTTTTTTCAGGCAAATATTTCACAAGCTATGACGCGTTTCCTGGTCCAGAAACACGAGAGGCAAAACAGCCAAAATGTGACGTAACAAAATGGCCGACAACAACCTCACACGTGACCACATGACCGAAATACTGGATTCTGATTGGTGAGACGTCACTTCCTGGTCCAGAACATACATTGCTCATATACTTATATTCGTAGTGTTTACCTATAAAGGTTCATTTATACAGTGTGTCCCAGATCGGGTGGGATTGCATGGGTCACTTTCTTATTATTAAAGATAGAGAATTGGTTAAATGGACAATGTTTTGCAGTTTTAGATGCTTAGTTAAAATTTCCTTGTGGAAATTCAAAATGTCGAATAGGTTCGACGTAAATTAAAAAAAAACTAAAATTGGTCATTTCCTTGAATGTGTTATATCATCGAAAGTATAAGAGATATAAAAAAAAGTTTTATATAAAAGTTACTGTCTTTGATACGCTTAATTTTGAATTGATGCCAAAAAAATTCAAGATGGCCACTTTTGAGGAACATTTACCAACTTCCTAAAGTTAAATGGGCGCCATATTGAATTTTTAGATTACTTGATAGATTTTTTAATACTCTTTTCAACGAGCTATTATAACATAAGATGAAAATAAGATACCAGTTATATCACGGTTTTTATATTTTAATCAAGTAGGCTGTGATGAATTAAAAAAAAACAAAACAAAATCTATTCGAGGCAACAAAACAATGAAAATAATTACACCAGATGTTTAAAATACTGGCCATTATTAGTGAAACTCAGTTCAAGACTGTTTAGTTTAGGCAACGTGTTGCCATTGATTATTATTATTATTATTGTAGTGGTAGCTACTTCCACTTTACTTTTATTTTTTAATTAAGTATTTACTTTTATAATTTAATGTACTGTACATAATTCTTGAATTGTGACCTGAGCAGCCAGCTTGTTGGTAGATAGCATAAACCAACCCTTTCTTCGAAACATACGTTGTCGAGAAAAATCCTTAAAGGAAGTTTATTGGAGAATTTGTAAATAATGGTGAGCAGTTAAAGATCCATCGAAGATTACCGGTGCAATTACATGACTTCCCATTATGCCATAAAATAGATTAATTAAAAAAAATATTACTTGATTTGGGCGTGAAACTACAACATGTAGGTTTTCCGGTGACGAGTAGTATTCATTATGTCGATTTGAACACTCCGCAGTTAGAAAAATAAGATTCATCTGTCCATATACTCGAACTGGTAAAACTGTTAAGTTTCGATATTCTTGCGACTAAACCACCTACAAAATGTGACCTGGGACAATGCATCAATGGTAATACATTGTGTAAAATAAAGCGAAATGTATTGAAATGTGTTTAACTGGATAATGGCATGATATTTTTTCGAGGGGATAGTTTGTAGTTATACCACCATTTGTAGGTATGTAAGTATGGATAATAAGATAGTCAATAAGTGATGTTATAAAATTCAAAATTTTTCTAGGCCTACTTAATATTAAATTTTGGAGGGAGTTTTAATGCCCAAACCCCCCTCTCATGAGTGCGCTCCTGATTTTTTAAACATCTGATGTAATTATTTTCATTGTTTTGTTGCCTCGAATAGATTTTGTTTTGTTTTTTTTTAATTCATCACAGCCTACTTGATTAAAATATAAAAAACGTTGATATAACTGGTATCTTATTTTCAATCTTATGTTATGATGGCTCGTTGAAAAGAGAATTAAAAAATCTATCAAGTAATCTAAAAATCCCATATGGCCCCCATTTAACTTTAGGAAGTTAGTAAATATTCCTCAAAAGTAGCCATCTTGAATTTTTTTGACATCAATTCTAAATTAAACGTAACTTTTATATCAAACTTTTTTTATATCTCTTATACTTCCGATGATATAAGACATTCAAGGAAATGACCAATTTTAGTTTTTTTAATTTATGTCGAACCTATGCGACATTTGGAATTTCCGAAAGGAAATTTTAAATAAGCATCCAAAACTGCAAAACATTGCCCATTTAACCAATTCTCTATCTTTCATAATAACAAAGTTACCCATGCAATCCCACGCGATCTGGGACACACTGTATATCTTCATAATAAAAAAGTTAGATTGCACATACGTTCATCCAAATTTTTGACACTGCGCATGCGCAAAACCAAAATATATCAGTATGTACGGAATCCTTGGACCCAAGCCCGTTCAAATATCACCCAAATCGGTTCAGTGGTGTAGGAGTACGTGTGACGGACGGACGGACGACAAAGTGCAGCCAATAGCGATTTTTCACTTTGAGGAAAATACGCTAAAAAGTAAAATAATAGCTCTTAAGATAAAGATCTAGTAGCGACACAGTCGTAGGGACGGACGGATAAAGTGGTCACCATAGCGCATTTTTTTAATTTTAGTGGAAATGCGATAAAAAGGCGGTCCGTAGTTTTATAACAACGTAAAGAACGATTAAAAATTTTCCGATTACAATACAGCAATCAGTGTTCTATAAAGTGATTATTTATTTGTATTTCAGGACGGATGTAAGTAAATACCTATACGCACAGATATACAGGGTGGTGCAATGGGTAGTGATGGTTTTAGGAGTGTTAGTATGGCTATACTAATTAAACGACTAAGGGATCCTCCCAGGAAAAAATACCGGTAGGCACGAGTCCTTACCCCATTCTCTTTCAAATGAGCCTCCTATCGTAAAAATCTATACATAGTCCAGTCAAATTAGCTCCAAAAGTAGTCTAAAGTGGATATTGTCACTCCACTCAACAAGATCAAGTGTATTCTATGAAAAAAATCTGCTGAATCCGAAAATCATAGTCCCTCTGACCAGAAACTCCCAGAACATATTGTTGTAAACAAAAAATGAAGAAAAAATGGGAAAATGTCGTTTTTTTTCGCATTTGACTGCAATTATCTAATGAACTATTGCTCTAAGTCTAAGGGAAAAAATGAAGAGAAAGGAATTTGTTTGAAATCGAATTTTTTATAAGATACAGTTGGTATTGAACGTTGATTTTAAACGTTATTGTGTTTTACGGAAAAATAGAAAAAAGAAATGCCGAAAATTAACAATCTGTTTTTACTAAGTAAAATTCATCCGATCTTTTTGAAAATCCGTATTTGGTCACTTCTTTTGATGACAAAACAATATAGCAAACCCGATCACCAATTGAATAATTAAATGAACAAATTTAAAAAACGATGCCTTGTCTTTCAAACTGGGTGACTCCCAGACCGTTCTCAATTTTTGTATAGATAGTGGAACCATATAAGACAACCATTTCCAAAAATTGTCCCGACGATTCTTGCAAACCGGCGACCGTGGCACACCGTATTCAATATTGGTACAAATCAAAAGGAACTGGGTGATTGCTAACAAAACTGAATTAAAACGCTGAATCCAGCTGCGCGGATGGCGACCTTCAATCGCTGCAGCAACTCCACTCTCCACTGTTTGGAAAATTCAGCAGTGGTTTTCATTACACGTACAGAAATTGCTGATTTTTAAGATGAGCTTTGGATTTTTTGGTAGTCTGATCATACTAGAAACCTAGGTACGAGGAGTCGCTTATCATGCTGCTACCACCGATAAAACCAATAAGGGAGGCTTGCAGCACTGCATTATCGTATACTCCTACCCCTCCTCTGTTTCAAGGAACAAACGAAACTTGGTAGTCTTATCATACTAGGAATCGGATTTTTTTAATTAAAAAAACCTTTTTTTTAGTGCCGCCAGGTTTTTTGCATTGCAGCATCGCCATTTCGTGTTCCCCCAAATTTTAAATATTTCATCTGGTAATTTTATCAAATTCAGCCCATTCGTTTTCGTGATATCGTGGTAACGGACGGACAGGCACCACAAAATTATGAACTCGGTAGGAGGTCGTTAATAAAAGAAGAATGCACATACCAAAAGAAATAAATTAACTCTAATAACAGTTTGAGATAATATAAAAAGTAGATGTATTTTCATTTACGAAGAGGCGCTTTGGATGCATTCAACACTCATCGGACTGTTAGCACTAATTCTTTATAAGGATATTGTTAGAAGGCACCATGAACATGAGAGCGGAGGGGCTAAGTAGTCGCGCAATCGCAAAACAATCAATACCACTAGCGACCACTGCAGGATAAGACGTTAGTAAATTGAAGCATAATTTCACACGTGTAATTTAAGCTGAGGGCAAAATTATTTCAATTAAGCGTACGGCTAAAATGCACATCACAAAAAAATACTTCACTCTAATCAACTCCTGGAATTTAGAAAAAAAACTACTGTATGCGTTGTGCACTTCAATCACAAAATGCGCACAACCTTCTTTTAAAAGCAGTATGCAATAACAATTCGACATTTAAACAAATTGTGATCTTTCAGTTGTGCGCCTGGCCTAGGAAATGAAAATAATTTTTTTTAATGTTTACGAATTAATTTTGAATCAGTGTTCCTCCATTGTCGAGAACTTTATTTTCGCATGGAGATTCTAAAAATTGTGTTACTGTTCTGCAAATCCTAACCTAAAAAAGAAAAATTTGGAAAAATTGCTTTTCAGACCTAGATCGTGAAATAATTTTTCTACATCATAATGGTAGACTGACAGTAATCAAGAACAGAAATATATAAGCATTTATTAACTTAATAAAATTTAAATAGTTAACAGTAAATATGCAAAAATAGAAAAATAAAAAATAAATAAATAAAACTTACATTAAAACTACTGTTTGCTTTTAGTATTTTTTTCTGGCGGAAGCTAAGGCTGATATATTTGTATATATTATTCTTGGCATTTGCTAAATAGCTTCATAAGCCGCATCGGCTGTAGGACTGACAGATCCATTCAAAAACTCTTCTAGCTCATCTCGATGCGATGCACTCTCCTCTCTAGACCTTTTCTTGTGCTTTTTATCAGTTTTGTTAGTTTTATCTTTGTCTTTTGATTTTTTAGTTTTATGTTTCTTCTCTACCTGTAAAGAAACAAAAGCTACCAAACTGTTTCAGGAACTTTCAAAATTTATCTCAAGAAATTGATAACAAAATGTTGCATACAAATCTACTTTACTTAAAACCTACTTTTTCTTTCTTTTTCTCCATCTTTAAGGAATTGTTGCCTGTAGACGCTTGTTCACTATCACTATTATTGCCGCTAATATTTGCTGACGTATGGTGCTTTGCTGAAAGTAGTTCCATATGTACATTTGATGATGTGACACTCGTACTGTCATCATATACTGTACTTCCACTGTAATCTAAGGTTTGACTGGTAGCGGAAACATCTTCACCCCCTACACACAAAAATGAAGCAATTTGTAGTTATCAGCAAACTAAACAAACAAAACTTACCTTCTGGTGATCTTCTCCATTTAGTATCACTGCCCATCCACGTGTCAAATGCTTCACTTGTAATTTCCGAAATTTCAGAGTTAATTGTTGAGTCAAACTCGTCAATGGTTTGTTTCATATCATACTCATCAGGTTGGCTTTTGTCTGCTTCACCATCATCTCCACCAGCAGGGCGCTTCAATGACACATTATATCTGGAATCTGAGTGTGAAGGTACTGCTTTAAATTGTGCAGAATCATCAGGATCAAAATCATCTTGAAATTCCGAAACCAAAGGATTTCCAGTATCATCTTCACTAAAAAGTTATTAGAAACTGTGTAAATTTAGTAAATGGAACCAATACAAAATCTATATTAATTATATCTGCAACCAGTGATTTTACCTGTCAGATTCAACTGCTTCGTGCGGATTACCGTGAGGATTGTATTGTACATCATCCAGAAATGTTCGGTCAAGCTGACCACCATCTGGACAAAATTCTTCAACCGAGGTAATTGGACTTATTTCCATTCTTCTAATATCAGGAAGACAGTCAGTATTTTCTGCCTTAACTCCAGTTTTTGATATAAATCCGGAACTTTGGCTTGAACTTTTTGATGTCTGACACTCTGAACTTACAGGTTTTTTATAAATAGCCCCGTTAAGTGGATTGTACGGTATTGGCTTTCCAGCACCAATTACAATCGGCCCACTGTTGGATCGCCTAATGGCCTCTTGTTGTGCGGGGCTGTTTAGCTGTTGACTAGAGCATGACGAAGATATAGGAATTTGAGGAGGAACATTCGCGTTTAAGTCAGCGATTTCGCGCCTTTTTTTAACTAAGCTTTCGAGAAATTTGTTATAATTTGCTTCGTCAGATTCAAAATACATGTCCAATTCTTGACTTGTGGCGGCAATTTCTTCTTCATTGCGTTGCAATTGACGTAAAAGTGTTTCCTTTTGCAGTTGAAGGAAGGGAAGATTAAAGAATTTGTGCAGTAGTTTTAAACCAAAACCATTTCTCATGGAAGATTCTGCATAGCGTACTTGAGCTGACCGAGTACTAAAATGTAAATTAATTAATAACCACATTAGCTTTGAGGGAACATTATTGATTATTAATTACATTGAAGAAAATAGAGAAGAAAACGCTATTATTTATTTCGGTATATTTATTATTATTTCTTCACTAAGAACAGTTACTTGCAAAACGGAGCTGGTATTGTATGTTCCACAAAGTATAGACTTGCCTAGTGCGAAAAAACAATAGTAGATATGTTTCAGGGAATAGTAGCGAAATATATGGACACTGGACACATGAAAGAATGGGAATTTGGGTTGGAATAATTAAATATAAATGGAAAAATTCTCTCTTCAAAATTATAAGCATTTTTTGTTTCTACGCAAGGGGAACGAAAAAAAAATGCAAAAATCTGTTTCTGCGCAGGCGCATTCCGACTTGATTGCAGCCGCGTAGCGAGACGAAAATGCGCCCGTGGCGGAAATCGGTTATGCCGCCGCGGTTTTTGCAATCATTCCCTGCTGAAGATAATTTATTTTGCAAATGTAGTATTATAATAGTATAAATAAACCAGGTGTCAAATTCTTGACAGAATAGCTTCCTAGCTGAAACCAAAAATTGCCAACATATGTACGCACTTACAGACGGGAAAAATTTATTCTTTAAAAGTTGCTTAAAATGATCTAAAACGTCAACATTTGATGAAATTTCGCATTGTACCTAGCTCATGCTATGAAGAGAAAACCGTCAATTCGTGGAATTGTATGCAACCAATATTACACGATTTCAGGATACGTCAAACATTTCTTGAACTGTTATCGAACATACCATTCCAATTTATTCGTTGTGAAAAATCGCAATTTGACACTAATAAAAAATACACACTAATGGGCAACTTAAATTTGACATTAAGGGCCAATTGCACCGTCAAAATTAAGTATTCCTTACAGTTAAGCATAACTTAAATACCATAGCAACGATTGTCTTAATAATCGTTGCCATACATTTTAAGTTTGACTTAACTTTAAGCAAGGCTTAATTTTGTTGGTGCAACTGGGGCTTAGTTCCATAAATACTTAGACAAGGAAAGAGAGGGGACCCGTAATACCGCATCCACGGCATGCGTGAATTTGACGCGAATTTCGAGACGATCGCCATATTTTCGGTGGCACTCAAAGCGCGGTGGCAGTGTGAATTTTTTGACATTTCTTAATTATTGATAAAGTTTGTGTGTGCAAAACTGTGTGATATAAACGTGGTGAATTGTTCTGCGTACAACTGTAAAAGTTGCAGTGGTCGTTGTCCAGCAGGAATATCATTTCATAGGCAAGATAAAAAACGGCACGTTGTCTGGTTTGGCTTAATTTAATTAAATCTTCATGGTAGTTAATAAAACACTTTTAAGGTCTTCATTTTCATAATCTTACAATTGTCCTATATTTTTGTGCATCAATCAAATACTGCTTTATACTTCTTTTCATTGATAATTTCTCTATTACAATAAGCAAGTGATATAACCTGCAAGCGATATTCCAGTGACGGCGTGACTATCTAGTTACATGACGTAACAGATATGTACATGTTTGGATGCCTAACCCTTAGGCGACTGATTACTTTGTATGGAGTAGTTTAACTACAGTGTATGTTGCCTTTGTTTGTACTTACATGTAGTACGACAGATAGGATTTGGTCTCCAAAAGGGAGAGGTCATCGATCGATGTTCGAAGCAATACACATCGATCGCCGCCACATTCGATAAAGACAAGATATCCTGAAGGAAGATCGTTATGATTAAACCCGTTAGGGGAGAAGACATCTCAATTCAATATTATCACAGTCGTCATCGTCAACGGTTTGCTATAGTATCAACAGCTTATTACTTAAGTACAAGAAACTGAGGAACGGGTTTAAAGAAATTCTTTTTAGACACGTTTTGTATTTGTCTTATGCGGCTATCGATTTCGACCTAACTGGTCATCTTCAGGCCGAGCGTCATTGATGAAGTGAAATGAATACAAAATTTTTTTAACGATGTTATATAGTAGTGGTCAGGAATGTCAAATTAATGTACGAAAGAGTGAGATTGTGTATTAGTATTTTAAAAACGCTGCGTAGAAATGGTTACAATTGATTATCGAAATCAGGGCTCCGTTCGCCTAACGTTCCGTGCGGTCCGTCCAATTTATGGCTTTCATGGACATCCTGCAGAGTCCACAATCCGTTGTTTAATAAAAAATTTGAGACAACGGGGTCAGTGATTGATGAAGCAGTTCCTGTACGTCAAAGAAACGCAAGATTGTTGGAGAATATTATTGCCGTTCGGAATAGTGTGCGAGAAAACCCCAGGCAGCCCATTCTGCAGAGTCCGCAAGAGATGGGTCTTTCTGGGACGTTAACTTGGCGGATTTTGCGCCGAGACTTGGGTTTTCAGTTCCCTAGTCTATGCAGACCAACCACAGTCAATTGCTGCCCTAAAGACCAGTATAACCCGCTTTCTTCGTAAAATTCAGCCCAGTTTAAGCGAACATGTCCAAAATTGGTCCACCACAATGCAACGTCCACAGCGGAGTCGCGGGGGCCATTTCACTGAAATTATTTTTCATAAATAATGTCATCGAATATCCTTTAAAATATTATAAAACTTGTGGTAATATCACTTAAACAGGTTGTTTTATTTCATTTCAAAGTTCGAGCGCTCTTAATGAAAAACCCTCGGAAAAACCTTTTACTTTCAATAATATTGCGCTTATATCGCGAACCCAGTTTCTGAAACGATCAAAGTCCAGTCGTATGTTTACGTTTATCGCGTTTTTTGTCTCTCTATTCAGATAAGAACCTAATATTATGTCCGACAACTGTACGCACAGGTTAATCATACCATGATGGCAGTATAAATAAATTGTAATTTCCTAATGTAATACCCGAGCGGGCGCCACTGGTGGTGGCAGTATGATCGCAATTTGCTTCACGGGCGCGCTCTCTATTACGGGTCCCCTCTCTTTCATAGTCTAAGCATAAATAAGAAAGTTGCATTTCTGCGCATGCGCAACACGATTTTTGCGCATGCATTTTGTTTGCTTTTATTAAAGGGACTTACCATAGAAATTTCGTTTAAATTGCTTCAGAAACAAGATCGTTGCGTTTTGCACATATGCAACACAATTTTTTGACTTTGACAATTTTTTTCTCCGTTTTTTGATAATATAACCCGGCCCAATTTTTTGTAGGTTGTACACAGGAAAATAAGGTCTTCCAAATAATAGAATAAAAATTTTAGGTTTAGGTTATTTGAAAAAAAAAGTTCGATGCCGTTACGGCGCTCCAAAATTTTTTTTCAAAAATCCGGCCCGTTATTTTTCTGTTCGGTATGCCTAAAACATATATACAAAATTTCAACAAAATCCGTCGAGCCGTTTTCTCAGAAAATTGCCAACAAACGTACGTACGTCGTACTTACATACGGAAAAAAATTTTATTCTTTAAAAGTTGCTTAAAATGGTCTAAAACGTCGACATTTGATCAAATTTTGAAATGTTCAAAAAACGGCTATCGCTAGGAAGCTAAAAATAACTCTAATATTGGAATTAATATTAAGTTGCTCGGAAGTCAGAACGAAAGTCAGAACTTGATTTTCCGAGCTTTCAAGGCTGCGAACTCGTCCATTGCAGCGTTGAAATCTATTGCGTTGGTGAGCTCGTGTTCGATGAAGAGAATAGCCAAGTTTGATAATCTAAGTTGACTCATGGCTGAACGATGGTAAGGTAACACTGCCGAGTCGAGTGCCGACCGCGTAATGCGGCAAGCGGCTGCTGGCCAGCAATGCCGCCCCTCCCGGGCTGCCGCCCCCGTCTCGCTACGCGGCTGCTTGATTGTTTATTAAAATGTAATTAAAAAGGCATTTTTAACTATGGATACTTGTTAACTGGTGGCATTTTATATATTTGACTTTAGAAATATGGTCCCTATATTACAGATTTAAACACTCCAGATATATCACGCTTGGTTAAAATAGTCTACTCTACGCGAGACTCTACGCTTTCTTCGGATTTAAGCGTCTGGTGAGTTAAACCCAACCTAAATGTAACTGCCGAAACTTTATTTTACTGCAATCGATAAGTACACACATTGCAGTTAAACCCAACCACATGCAGAGAGATCTGTTTTATTTATTTTGATATTAAGAAGCAAATTTATTTCCTAATTGACATAGGTTACTTATCTGACATATGTCCCTATCTTGTAGCCGGTTTTTCATACCTGTGATTGTTATGTACCCGAGTAACTTCTACCTATTTATTTGGTAACAGAAGTTTTTAATTTGGAAATATGTAATCTCATTTTTCATATCCAAATCGCAATTAAATGAATTTTCTTTTTGTTCCGTCCTCATCAAGCCACAAAAATATCTTTTATCAAAAAACCTATAACTGTAGCAAACATTTGTGAACGCCACCTATACCTACAGTGTGTTTTTATTGTAACCCACAAAAGTGGAGCGCGTATGTCCTCACTTTTCCGTACGTCTATCTGTCGTTCCGCTGGCGGTCTTCAGTCCCTAGACCTTGTATCAACTTCAAGGAAGTAAACTAATTTTCAGAAAATCTATATGCGTTGTAATGTTTCATAATATGTAAGTATTTTGCGTTTTAATTCGTAGATGTTTGAATATTTATAGCGTTTTCGATTGGCAAAACTCGTACTGCACGAATGTTGCACGAGAAACTGAAGAAATCCATATGAAAATTGCTCTCAATGGAACATAAATATTCGTAAATAGTTGTTGTCATTTGTCCATAACCTCATTTTAGATTTAGGTAATCGACAAATCTCTATTGTAAAAAGTGACAAACGATTTCAGTATTATTTATGATAAACGATGAGGAATATAAATTTGAAATTCCTGTAAAGGGCCAATTTTTGGCGTTCAGTTTAATGAGTAAGTGCAACTTTTTGTAAAATAGAAGTTATGGCTAGTTCATCATCTTCGCTATCGCTAGATGACGACAAAAAACTCTCCCAACGCAAGAAGAAATTCAAATTGTCGCACGTTTTTTTTGAAAATTTGTTAACTGGCAGCTCCACGAGCTCTCGGACCTCGTGCGTCGAAATTTGCACTGAGTGCATAATTGTTGCATCACATTTGCCAATGGAACACAGAAAATTGCCCTAAAATTACCAATAGAACGTAAAAATTGCACTCGTGCAGCACGAGTTTTGCCAATCGAAAACGCTATTAGATAAACTTCTTTGAGAATTTGTAACATTTTTTGACGTTTCGTCAACCTTATCTGAAATAAACTAATTAAACAAATCGCCTTTGAAATGATTTGCGAGTAACCATGAAAACGAATGTTCTATAACTGTTACAAAATAAAAATGTTAGCGAGTTTGTTGTTTTTTATGTTATCGATTTAAAAGAAGTATAATAAAAAATATCGTTCATTACACGTCCACAAATGCTTTTTTCTATTTCGGTGTCACACTGATGATTTTGTACAACTGTTTTCGGGCCGAAAACAGTTGTACAAAGACAGTGATTAAAGTCGTTTTTTTTTGGTAACTCATCTCTTAAGTTGGCAGTTACTAGTTAGTACAAGTAGGTACTTCGTTGGGTACTTCCATGTTTGAACTTCAAAATGTCAGTCTTACTACGCTACCAACCTAAAACTTAACGGCATAAAAAGTGTTCCCAACATAAAACACGTTAGTTCTAATATTCCCTATAGTTTCTGATAATGATTTTTTTAATTAAATTAAAGCACCGAAATAGAAAAAATAGTATGAAAAACGCGTGTTACAATGCTTTATTGTAATACTCCTATCTTGCGGACACTCGTGGCTACGCTTCGCGTCGCCACTCGTGCCACAAGATGGTCGTATTACAATAGGTCGCATTGTAACACTTGTCTTTCAATATACTATTTCCGTGCTTGCATGACTTCCCGTGTTCGGCTACGCCCATTGAGTTAGAAAACTAATGGAGGGAATATAATGGTAGAGGGGGTAAGAATTTTTGTAGACGGAAGTGGCCACAGATAGAGGCCACTCGCATGGATAGGTTCCCGTGAAGGTACATTTTGGGCGACATTATTTGACATATGAAAACGCGGGTCCTGTCACTGTCAGTTTTCCACCAAATTCAAATTTTATTAAATTTCCCATTTTAAAGTACCTAATAATTTCGGATCGGTTTGTGCTCTGGTTTATATAAATAACTAACTGCCGCATAGTGTTTTTATCACACGCAATTTTGTGAATGCAAAATTTCTCATAAAGGGAAGAAACAGGGCATTTCTTTCATCGGTAAGACATGTCATTTATTATGTTGTAGGCGAGGTTGTAGGTACCTAGTTTATGTTTCTTAGTTTTCCAAACGAACCGGTACTTCGAGCAAAATGGTTACCTAACATTTGTAAATATATCTCAAGAACAGCTCTCGAAATTTACTTTTGTGCTTACAACGCTTTATTGACTGTGATTTCGACCAAAGGTTGCACCGGAAAATGTTCGTCAAATATGCAGTAGGTACTATCAAAACTTGTAACCTGAGACCAACCAATCAATTGTAGCTATTGTAGCACAGTGAATTTAATGGGGGTTGTCAAGTTGTAGTGGCTATAGTAAACTGGCCTTAATTATACTACTGGAACACATCGATGTATATTTAGATTTGTAATCAATGATTATATTAAATCTGCATACTTTCCCATCCTTGTCTATTTTGTTTACTTTACCACGAGCATGTATTTTACTCCTTCTATACGTTTTTGTTATTATTCCTATTAGTGGAAAGAAAATTATATCTCTACGCCACTGAAGTGAGACGCTAATGATAACGGAAGTGGTGTGGTACTTTAATCACAGTTAGAGGCCACTTTTGGTTCCCGTGGTCTACGTCTGGCCAAGCATTTGAATTTGCCACGCGCGCACGGAAAAAGCCTGCTTTCCGGACTCCTAATGAAATATACTATTATTCGAGCGCGTTGTGCGTATAATTTATGACATGAACGCGTCGCCTATTTGATTTCGGTCAGCTGACATGCTTCACCAGCTGAACACACTAAACTTTATTAACGATTTCTTTGACTTTGGCTTGTGGAAATCGACAGATTATAATTATTTTGATATTCTTGAATTATTTCCTTCAAAATAAAAACAATCCAACTCGTTCGAGAATGTCAAGGTAACGTTTCTTTTTTTGAGACCTTCCCACTCCCTTGCCTCACGCTCAAATCGTCAGAATGTTGAAATGTACACTTTTCAACATGTAGTTAACCCACCTTACTTTAATCTGATCCCAAAAATCCCCTATGGGGCTCCTCTACTATTACAGTTCTTTTTAAAAACAGTATTTTTATGGACTACCAAAAAATCTAAATTACTTATGTGGAGCCCATAATTAAATTAATTTTTTTAAATTAAAATAAATCTCATCTGAAGACTAACTTCATCAAAAAAATGGTTTTGGAAACTTTGTTCAATCTTCAATAACAAAAAAGTTATATGGATCATCGAAGAAATTGACTTGATCTGAGAAACACCAACCAGTGATTAAACGATTGGAATGTGAATGAATGTGATCAAAATATCTGTGTTTCAAGGGGGTTGAATGCAATTTCTACTTATCATCAGACCCTTAAGTACAATATTATTCTTTAATATTTGATTTTAATTATTTAAACCGAGATTTAAACCTACCTACTAATTGACTCGATATAATAAAGAACGTGATCCGAGGTGACAGTTCGATGATGAGACATATCACAATGATTCGCTAAAATGATGATTGGTATATGTTCAGGTACTTTTGAGACTTCACGCTGCACATAATCGAAAGTCCTACAACAATATATCATTCACGAGGTGTACAAAATGTAACTTAAAATTACCATGTTTTTGTCAAATCCATCATCATAATAACACCATTTGTACCTTTATAAACGTCTAAAAATTCCGCATCCAGCGCGGGCTCTTCTGGAATGTCTATCTGACAATTTTCTAGTTTCAAACCATCAAATCTCTTCTTTTTCTTTCCCCTATCTACAACATCCCACACTTCAACTTTGACAACGTCATCGGTAGCTTTATAATTCCAATGAATGGATGTAACTTGAATTTCTTCAGTGGGAATATACTCCTCAATGAATTTCTTTCCTTGAAGACGATGAAACAGGCATGTTTTACCTACATTTCGATCACCTTTTATGACAATTTTCACTATAATAGTAAAACATGTTAACAACAATAACAATAACGCATTCACACGTACTGTTATACTGAACACCTCGAGCAAATTTTTTTTGTAAGGAAGTCGACATTGTCTGATGGCCCGGTGTTTTTCCTGGTTCACCAGAGCCAGATGGCATACTCTCATTTTTGCTAGCGAAACGTTTAAAAGCAGAAAACATGGTAATCTGAAATCTTACAGTGCCATATGGTTAAAGCTAACAGTTGGGTCAAGCATTGTAGCAAGAAAATTATTATTATTTATCCAGAATTAAGTTTCACCACAAGAGAATTAACTTTTGCGTGCTGGCATGTGATATACACATTATTTTCTTTTTTTTCTAGGAAAATACGAGGCACGATTAACATTAACCTATAAAAGCTTTGACAAAGGCTTTGATGGCTTTGACATTTTATAAACAGCTGTTTTTGAATTACCATAGATTTACTTTTAGGAGAATATCGGAACACACGAATTCAGCTGGTAGCTGGTATACCAATGCGCGCATTCAACGGCAGTGAACAAATCCGCTGAACCCGCTACGCTGCTTTTTGCCAGCGGCTGTGCAGAATTTAATTATGCCATAGAGGAATACAATTTTCCTCTATCACTTACGACATTAAATTTATAACTATCTATAAAGCTCATCACACAACGAAAAAAATAAGAAATAGTGACTGAAGTTAATTTATTTAGGTCAACCACGTTTTTTTACAAGTCTCCAGTATTTGTGTATTCCCAAATTTTTTTAATTATCCTTACCAATACCCCACAAATGTGAAATGAAAGCTTCTGTTAAGAGTCTTCTGTACCCACTGCACTCAATGTAAATTTCCATAAGAGCGCGCCCGCCATAAAAACATTTGTTTTTCCAAAAACAATTTTTTTTAAGAACTATTTTATAAATTTAGACCTAATCTACAAAATGTTCGGACTACTTTTTTTTTAAAGTTTATAGCAACTGAATACCGATTGTTTAAAGATTAGATGTTCCGCACTGATTATTGCGCTAATCTGTTTTATTTTTTTACTCTCGATCAAGACGATTTATGGAAAAAGTAAACCGACAGTTTTTTAGATAAGTTACTTCTAAACATGGACCCAAAAAATGAAATCATATTTGTTGTAAATAAAGTCTGTATCTTGGCGGGCGTTAAATCAACAATTTGAGTGTAACAAGTGGCACCACTGCACAGTGTCGGTGGGAACTAACTAAGGACCAAGACAGGAGTTGACAAAGCAAGAATATTATCTTATCTCTTGCAGCTATAATCATCTATACACTATAATGTAAAAAAGTTGCGCTTAGGTAAAGAAGACTCTTAAGACACCAAGAGTAGAATATTTAATATTTTTATTTGTTACTCAGTTGTAAACGTTGATTAACAAGACAAAACGCAAACGGGTAAACGTCATGTTTAAACGCTACTGACTTGTAAAACTGACACCAGACCTGTAAAACTGACAGCAGATCTGTACAAATTTTACAAGTTAGTAATCTAGTAATTTCATTGGCCAGAATTAATGCGAAGTCTCTGTTACATGGATAACATGATATTTTAGACATTTCTTCAAGATTAATTTAAGAACTAATTATTTACGTTTACTATTGTTTACAAATGAGTAACAAATAAAATATTGTACATTATACGCCAGGTAATAGTTTTTACTGGCTCTAGGAGATGACAAGCTCGCCTGACGGCTCGCTAGTCAACTTCTCCTATCGCCAGTAAAAACTCACTTACCTGGCTAATAATGTAAAATACTATAAAATGTAACGTATTATTTATTTTGTAAAAAGTGCAAAATTACAAACTTAACTATTGTTTAGTACAAATAGCCTTAATATCATTCATAAATAATTAACTAAAGTTGACTTCATAACAAACTAATCTTCACATTATTATAATACAATTATTTAAAATTAACTTATTATTATTAAGTTAAATTAACGATCAGGCAACCGCCGCCTTGATTCTTGCACCATATGGAGATGCTTGTACTAATAAAACAATCCCTTGCTAAATGCTTCAATTACATTACAAACATCCTTATCAATTCCACAAATATCTAAAACATTGGAAGAACCATCTGCTAAGGTTGTGCGAGTTGAATTTAAGAAAAACGATATTAACCTGAAAATGTGATTTATGTAATTCCAAAATTATAACTGAGAGATAGACATTACTTTGTGTGAGGTAGTGCCATCTGTTTTCGATAAGTGTCTAAAACTTTCAATGCCCTTGCCTTGTCTCGATTTTGCCTGGGAAGTGAGGCAAACGATTGTCCTTGAAGAAAATTTATGAATACATCTACTTGCTTTTTATTAGTTACTGCCCACTCAAAGAAAGGCGTTAGTATAGCTGTGCCGCTAGGTGCTTTACGTAATGCCGCTTGTGCTTGTGCGATTGAGGAATCTAGAAAAATTTTGAAAGTGAAAATAGTTGTAGCTTATTGATTACTTACATTTGTCTATGGAAACGAATGAGATTTTCATACCATTAAATACAGCTATGGTAACATCTCTTTCGCTTCGAAGAAAACTTAAGATTAGTACAGTGGCTGCATCGAAGCAAGTAACGTTTTTGCTAGTTAAACATGGGGTATCCATTTCCTTTGAAACCTCAATTCCAATGAAAATTCTTCTTCCAGTTGATGTAATATTTTGATACGAGGTATGTAAGGCTTTGTGCAGTACGGTCATAATAGGGGGACATTTTATGGGTTGAACCAAATTTGGTTCGTGAACTGTTGGTTCGATCTTTGGTGCAGCAGCACCTTCACATTCTTTCGATGTATCTGAATCAGTTTTTGCTATCCCTTCTAAATACAGTTTCTGTTTTGGATCCATTGGTCTTAAACAACGCAAGTCAAACACTTTTTAGTGGTAACAATTGTACACTTACTTTCCACCTTTTTCAAAATTTTTAAGGGCAATAAATACTTCCAGCGGATATATTCCAGATGCTTTAATTGCATCCGCCTTGAGTAACTCGATTACTTTATTTTGAAATGAAGAATTTGCCTTTAAAAAACCACACTTATACAACCTCGGCAGAATTTTGATCAGTTCGCTAATGGATACATGAGGAATCAAAGTTTCCCATACCTAAAAAGAAACAAGATAAGGGCTCTGTAATCTACGTGAATTAATTTATCTATTAGTCCAAGAGCCCAGTAGGAAAGTATACCTTGAACGCCCGGACGATTCTAATGATTTTCATAGGATCCGCTATAAAAAGTTGCATTAGAATCGACAACGGTGCCGGCGAAAATCCTGCCGAAAGCAGTTAAAAAAAAATTAAATTCGCCTCTTATTTTGGAAAATGTACTTTATTGTCCCGGACGTTCAGGAAGAGTACTAAAGGGTGCATATGGATGAGTTTTATCGGAAAAAGTCACGGTGCCGGGGCACAACTTGCCGCAACCCTTGGCACCGCGACTACAAATGGGGTGGTAAATCGTACTAAACTACCTTTTTCTCCCGGACCAAAATGACCTATATGAAATATGTAGCTTGCGATTATACGAATATAAAAAACCAACGGTGCCGACTCTCAGGATGCCTATGTATTCGGTGAAAAAATGTAACACCGTGGATACCGCGAGATCAAATATATCTCACAAAATTTTCTCGACGAGAAAAGATTCTGAGAAACTCGTCAAGAACATCAAAGGATTTGATTCGTGTACGATTCCGCCTTGTTTCAAATGATTAACACAAAAGATTCTCCGAACGATTTCTGTTACTGCTATATGGAAAAATGCGGCAGAAAAACAATGTATCACGCTCGATTCTACGAAATGAGGCTGGGAAATGAAAGATATTTTAGAACCCTTTTGGTTTGAGGGCAATCCTACTCCTTTCAGCGTCGATTCTGATTCTGATTGAATTACAATAAAATGATTTCAAAACGCATTTGTGACACAAGAATCATTGCGAGTCAACTTCGATCATTTCTACCTTTTTTGGGTTGCTTTTAGGCATAACCACACAAGTCAAGTGTTTTACTTTTCAAAAAATTAATGTTTAAGAATTAAAATCGATTTTGTCGGTTCTTTTTTTGTTTTTTTAACAAAAAAGTGGTTCAGCCTATAAAAGAATGATTCTCTAAGCGACCGAAATAACGGCATAACTCTGTTTGTAATGATTCAAATCTGTATTGTCAAAAGTTTGAGAAAATGGACTTAAATCGTTTTTCTCGCAGTCCAAGAAGTCATCGGATACGAAAAGAAGGCTCTTGCGCGCCCCCGGATTTCTTATAATTTGTCTACTCTTAAGCTACATTTTTCATTAAGGACTTTTTGGTCCGGAAAAACAAGCTGGATTATTACAATTTAATTTTTTTTTAACTGCTTTCGGCAGGATTTTCGCCGGCACCGTTGTCGATTCTAATGCAACTTTTTATGGCGAATCCTATGAAAATTATTAGAATCGTCCGGGCGTTCAAGGTATACTTTCCTAATGGGCTCTTGGACTATATGTATATTAATTGTTTCTTATTTAAGGGAGAAAGGTCTCATGAATTTTTGAATATAAGGCGCGCTTTTATATTCAAAGGTTTGGACATGGGTGTCAAATATTAATGCCGAAGTCCATGAAGCTGGCCCGAAGTTGTTCAATTTCGTCTATGTATAATGTGCTTAGTTCTTACTACACGCGATTTTGGAATTTCGAAAGTTTGTAAGTTGTTAATAGATTTAAGACTAATTCTCATCATACTAATTCCTCAAAAATGGTCAGGTTTCCGTCACAATTGGTTTTAAAAAGCCTGTTTTGATCTTAACAGTACCAATGAAAGGTCAACTGAGAAGACTAGTTCTTGAAGCGTTCGAAAACGTTACACCTGATATGTTAAGAAGTGTTTTAGACTAGACAGTTAGAAGGTGTTATTTGTGTTTGGAGAATTCGTTTGAACATTCTTTATAATCCACCTTGATATTTCTTTGTGATAATGTTTAATTTTTAGGTAATTAGTTTAATAATTGAATTAATGTAAATTAATTAATCTTTTTAATCTTAATTTTCAAATCAAAATGTTACAAATTTAATAAGCCTTTTTCTCACTTACATAATAATCACGTAGTGCCATATATTGTTGATTTACAATAAAAAATGTTAGATACAATATGTACTTTTTACAGGCGATATAAAAAAATAAAGTTGATGTTTCTCCGAAACGAAACGTTTTAATGACAATCTCTAACGGTAAGTATTTTTTAAAATTTGTTTGTACCGGTTCAAACAAAAAAAAATAAAAACGAAGACGGCAAATATGGGTTACCCTGGCTGAAATTTTGTTGCATATGAGAGGCCACTTAATGGGTGGGCCGGCCCCCCAACCCTCCAGTTCACTGTATAGGGGTTTTGAGAAGAAGAAACACTGCACCTATGCCATTGTGAAGTGTTCAAAACTTCAAGACACAGGTCCCGGGGGAGAAGGAAGTTGCACAAGTTGTTTCAAAATGAATTTTCACACACAGGCTGCAAGAATAAAGCTAGAGGGTTCAATTGGCCTCAAAGCCGCGGTACAGAGACTAAACGAAAATATCACGCGAGTTTAAATAAGTAAACCAAAATTAATTACTGTTATTCTACTTTGAATGCTCACATTTATATATGTTTGACGTCTAATAATGGATGATTATTCCCCTACAGTTTGCACCATTTTTAAATAAATAATTTTGGAACCATAGAACTACTTTTCAAATAAATACTACCGCAAAATACCTATAGTTACCCTTCTAACATACGACGTACAATGTGACGTATCGACAAATAAACTACATAATTAAATTATAAAGCAATTCACAATGTTATGCCAACTTATAGTAACGAATACTGTTTGATCGAAAATTACAATTTGAATATTTATTTGTTTGGCCACCAGACACCATACAGAATGCAAAGCATTCCAATTACATGGCACTGGGATGCTGTACTTAAGCTAGAACTGCATAGAAATTACGATCTAACCTGATTAATTAATTCATTCAAAGTGCCGTGATTAAAATTTAAGTTGCTATTGAAAAAACACCCAAATCTCTAACCGAAGTGACTCTTTGGATATCCTGTCCATTTATTTGGTATTTAAAAATCGTGGGGTTGTTTGATCTTGTGTATTGAGAATAATATTGATGGTTCAGTTAAGTAAATGTTGGGTAAGTAGTGTGAAGTTTATCGGATAATTTAAAATTTTTTTCAACCAGCAATAAAAGAAAACAAAGTATGTATAGTTTTATTTATTATGGTAAACTAACACTGTATAATATCGCGTTGGAACTAACGTTAAACGTGTGGTATGTGTGCAGGTTTGTCACTCAGCATTCAATTCAATTAAAGTAAAGAAATGGAAATAAATCAAAGTTTTACAAAAACAAAACTAATGGATACATTACCTATACATTGAGGCAAATTGATGTGATTTCCAGGGCCAGCTTCATTCAAAGACCTGAAGAACACAGCAGAATAAATCAAAACATATTTGTAATACAATACCGTCTTGCATCAATCTATTAACACCACAAATTATAAGAACATGGCAGAGTGTAGAGTATTATGTAAGCGCAAGGCGAGTTGCCAAGACATGAGGAATGTTCAACTCATAACCGGAAAATTATTTGTCTTAAATGGATTAAAGTTCCTGAATAATATCATCTCCGTGTAAAAATTCGAAGTTTGTAGAGGAGACAGTTGAATTGTGAACGCCGAATACCGCATGACGAGAAACCCTTACAAAATCTCCACTGAGAATTTTTGCGACATCCCCTGATTAGTCACCACGTGACCCTGAATCCAATAATGCTGTTATCATAACCGTGTATTTGACTGTGACTGTTGCAACAACCGACAACCTTCCATGAAATATCAATAAATATGGAAGCTAGGGGAAAAACAGCAAAGAAGTATCGTATTTAGAATTGGTAAGTCAATTTGTAATGGTTCTCTTAATAAAACTAAAACTTCAGTTACGAGTTGAACATCAATTGTAAAAATGTATTAAGAAACCTTACCAATTGCGATTTATGAAAAAATGATGGTACTTGATTTATGTTGTCACAACGCAGTTTTCTCATTAGTTCCACCACTCTCTTTTCATTTTCACAGCGTTTTAATTCCAAAGTGTTGGAAAATAATGTTATTACTGGTGTTGCCAAGGCATTTTCCTCTCCCACTGATTTTGCTTTTGTTAACCCGTGTAAAATGTATGATACAACTGTCTGTGTTCCTGTAAAAATAAAATATTTTTATCTTTTACGTTCAGTTCTGTTCCACCATTTGGAATTTTAATTTTAGCCGATAATATTAATATGAATTTGTTAAACTCAATAAAGCCTAATCAAATCATAATTGAAAATGTTACAATCACTTCATACAGCAGCTACTAAGGCTTATTCAAGATGGCTCCTAAACCCATGCCATGCATGTGTTTGTTTAGTTTGCAATGGCCAGAAAGTATGTCCAAAAGTAACCTTAGGACTGTCACACGGCAAAAGGGAGGGGAAACAATGTTTTGCATTTTGTTAGTGACTAATGACTATCTCATACAAATGCGAATCTCGTTCGTAGGTTTTTTTAATTAATCAATAATTGAACATATTTTAATGAAAATTTAATTTAAAACGCATTTCACAAATAATTTCAATAACAATATTTAAAGTAAATAAAAAATTTCTTCTAGCCTGAAAGAATTGTTGAAAGTTCCCATAATGCAACTTGCATTCCCTCTTTGAATTGCAATACTAATTTTCTGTTTTAAGAATAACGTTGAACGACTGTCGTAGGTTTTATGTTTAATTAACTCTCCTATAGCTTCAATAAATGATATTGCTTCATTACACCATGGTCCAAGGGTTTCGACAGCAAAGGGATGGGATCGAATAAGTAATTATCTGTGACAAGGTCCTTATATTTGTTTAGTTTTCTTTTAGCAGCTTGTTTTGCAATTGTACCCGCTTCTTTGGAAGAGGAGTGAATATATGATGGTGTAAGAGTGTCTGGTACTGTAGCATCCCAGATCAGGATTTTTCCTTTACTCCATGGAATAAGAGTTGAACCATCTACTCGTCTACCATCACTTCTACAGAGACCTGGGGTTCTAAAATAGAAGGAATGTTGGCGGATTGCAGACTTCGGCATATAATGTTATTTAATTCATTATGTCTTACTTGTCTTCCGTTGCTTTTCTTACAACTAAGTCCATGAATCCGATTCCTAGATACTGGTGCACCGCAGATGCATTGGTGTTCACGGCAAATGTCACATCCTATCATTAGGGCAATTGAGATTCTGAAAGAGTTATTATCTAATAGTGTTCCTAGGCATCTGGATGGTAAGGTGTTTAGCCAAAGACTTGACTCTCTTGATTTGGAGGCTAAATGACGGGCTTTATCAGTGTCACTTATAAAAGATAACTCATTGGAAATTCTTTTAGTAGAAATTATATCCCAATTCTTCTGTTTATCAGGAATGGTAGGTGTGCTACTCTCAGATATATTCCAACAATCCAGAGCTTCGTTGTAAAGAGCAATTTCAGCTTCATCAGGGTTATTAAGAATCAGGTTGATGAGAGCCTTATTTGCATTTACTGAACTAAGGAAAGCTGGAAGACTGATATCGGAACATCTTCGAATTCCAATACCTCCCTGGGATACGGGGAGAGACGCCTTTATCCACTGTTCGGGTGAAAGATTGCAGTTGAAAATATGTTCCATTGCGTTTTTTATTTGTGCATCAAAACTATTTGTAATATCTGTTAAAGAAAACAGATCACTGGTCCTAAGTAGATATGTTAACTTAGGTATTGCGAAGCAATTTTTAAGTAAGAAGTATCCTACATGTAACGATAGTTGATTTAAATTCGTGCAGAGTGTCATAATATCGTCAAGTTTCTTGGAGAAAAGGTTTGCGTTATTTCGGGTGAGAGGACATCCAAGTAATTCAAGGTTTTCGTTAATAACCTTAATACCAGGAGACAGTTGGTTAAAATTAGTAACTATTGAATCCTTGTCCGGGTTGTCTTCGTTCAAAAAGTACAGCTCGCATTTACTTGAATTTATGTAGAGACCAATTTTAGCGCATTCATGTATTATTTTTTCAAAGTCAGATAATAAAGTGTTTGGGTCTCCTCCTAGTGTTCCATATTGGGTGAGTAATCAGACAAATATTTTAGGTACGTGCGTCTGTACATTATTATACTATTTTCATTCAACCACAACTTTTACTTATTTTTTAGCGAGAGTAGGGCCTCGGGCAGCCGCTCCACCCTAAGGACGGCTCTGATCATGCTCCACCTAGCCCTGTGCTGGTTGAGCTTTGAGCATACCTCTAATTCCATCTTCTTATATAATATTATGGCTGCTGAGAAATTACAGAAGACAAATTTAGGGACTTTTGGGGGGCTTAAAAAATGATTATTGTGGCCCTGAGCATCACCTAAGTATATAATTTATAATGTTACAAATCATGAAAAGAAGAATGCGAAATAAAATATCAAACACACTACTAGGTACTACTACATTCTGTAGTGTTGTTTACTTGCAACACTCAGCAAAGCAATTAACGAAAGAATGTAACATTAATTAGAATGTCAAAACCCATAAAATAATAACTGCTTACATGATACTTACGGATACAGTTGGATTTCCCATGACACAGCTTCAAAACATCTTTGTGGGTCCACCCATGAGCCCCGTTTGATTTTGTGACCTCAACCGCCAACTCCATTGGATCTTTTCTATAGTAATATGAACGTATCATTTTGTTTAATGAACTATTAAAACTTCTCTGTTGATGTGAATAATACTTTAAGAATGTAAATATTTCCTTCGAACTCTTTACTACATTCAAAACAGTCGTATATATTTCATGTTTGAAGTCATTATCAGTTGCAATTGTCGCTGCTATAGCCAGTACAAATATTATAGCATCACGTCTTGGTATAAGATTTTCACTATTTACAATTTGTACAATATTTAAAAGCAACTTTGGATTATCAGATTGAAGTATTTCTTCTACAACCTTAACTTTGCCCGGCAAATAGGCTTTATGATAGCAGGCATCACCAGTAACATAAATAGGGTCTTCTCTACTTGTGTATAAAAATCGTTTCAGTCTTACTTCCATAGTAGGTGTAATAGTGGACATTATACTGAAAATAAATCAAAATTAATCTCAAATTATTTTGAATATGATAAATTTTTGGCAAATTGTATAAGATGAATCATTATATACGCCTGAAATAGACTATCATTTATGAGGTTATACCTTTTACATTTCTCTAATTTTTTTAATATTGTTTGCAGAGAAACAAAATTTTTTTATTACCTTTATGGCAGTGAAAAACAGATGGATCTTTTATAAGTTTTTCAAAACTGACACACAGTTAGGCCATTTAAAACCATAGACACCACAACAAGAACTTAGAACAGTACAAGAGAAACCATAGACATATATTTACACCAACGACTTTAACCATTGTATATATAGGGTGCCTCAGAATTGATTACTTATTTTACCAAAATAAACTTACTGTATAAGCGCTTTCTTTCGATGATTCAAACGCGTTTGGATTGTCAAATCACGTTCTTTCGAAGTGTGATCTTATGATCATGAATCATGATTGCTAAAATCGTGAACAAACTGAACATAAAAGTTTTATGATCACGAATTCCTAACCTATAAATGCAAGGATGTTTTTGCTCAAATGTTAGGTTAGTTAATATTTGTAACTGAAGAGGTGCATAATCGTGCAAGTACTTCCACTTGTATTTAAATTATTTTCACAATCCAAACAAAAAAATACGTAATTCGAATGCGAATGTGTACTACCTACGTAAACTTAACCCTACTTTGATTTAATTTCGCGCGTTCTTTCGTAAAACGCGATCCTACGAATTACGATTTTGAAATCATGATCGCAAAGTAGCCGAAAGAAAGCGCCTTATACAGCTTGTCCCAGATCACGTGGGATTGCATGGGTAACTTTCTTATTATTAAAGATAGAGGATTGGTTAAATGGACAACGTTTTGCAGTTTTAGATGGTTATTTAAAAATTCCTTGTGGAAATTCAAAATGCCGAATAGGTTCGACGTAAATTCAAATAAACTAAAATTGGTCATTTCCTTTAATCTCTTATATCATCGAAAGTATAAGAGATATAAAAAAAAGTTTTATATAAAAGTTATACTGTCGTTGATACGCTTCATTTAGAATTGATGTTAATAAATTCAAGATGGCTACTTTTGAGGAACATTTACAACTTTCCAAAGTTAAATAGGCGCCATATTGGATTTTTAGATTATTTGATAGATTTTTTAATTCTCTTTTCAAGGGAGCTATCATAGCATAAGATTGAAAATAAGATACCAGTTATATCAACGGTTTTTATATTTTAAACAAGTAAGCTGTGATGAATTAAAAAAAAAACAAATCAAAATCTATTCCAGGCAACAAAACAATTAAAATAATTACATCAAATGTTTAAAATACTGGCCATTATTAGTGAAACGCACTTCAAGACAATTTACTTTAGGCAACATGTTGCCATTGATGCTATAAGGGTACGGCCACGACGGAGCGACCATCGCTCCCGACCATAGCATCGCACCATAGTACCCTCGACCCTCGCTCCGACACACGCGCACGGGTGGTCACATCGAGGCTGGGAGAGTGGCAATTTTATATCAGTTTCTCGGCATCCTCTTTATTAATTCAAGTGCTAAAAAGTGGTACCTGCTTCATCCATTAAACAAAAACCGTATGTTGTGTGGAGAATTTCTTCATCTACATAAAGATTTAAGAAAACACCCGATCCGTGCTTTTTTTTAATTATATGAGGATGAAAAACACTTGACTATAATTTAAAACAATTTGGGGATAAACTGAACCAAAACTATCAATTTCAATTTTTATTTATCTACCACAGTGGTCGAAGTGGGCAGGGGTACGTCTGATCCGTGTCAAATCCCGTTTGACATTTAAGATTTAACTGAGTTAAATAAATTTGTGTACTCGTCGAACTAACATAACTATCACAGTAAAAAAATTCGACAGCAACTTTCAATTCGTTACAAATTATGATTTGCTAATAAAATTTCCAGCGGTCACTTGGTTGAGCCAAAGAATACTTAATAATACTCTTTGCTTGAGCAAACTAAATAACTTATTATATTACTATGTAGGTACACAAAAGTGCAGCTTATAGTACGTGAGAGAAGAGTCATTCTACTAATACAAAAAATATGCAAAAGACGCTGAACAGTGATGATTTTAAATACAAGACCGACAAGTATTAAAAAGCAGAAAATTGTTATATTTACTAATAGGCGCCGCCGCCTACTTAACTTAATCCTCTTTGCATAGGAACCAGCAGCACGTAGTAGGTACATACCTAGATACCTTTAAATTACAACTACAAAACATAATCTGTTTGATACTTTGCGGCTGGATAGAATCCTTTTCTGGGAAAAAATTCTGAAATTTAACATTTAAAAGCACTGAATGTTTTTTTTTGTGATCGATGCTATGGTCGGAACGATGGTAGGCGCTCCGTTATGTCGTTTTTTTTACTTCAAACCGTGTAAACCACAGTGGTGTAAACGTAGTCGATGATTATTGCTGATCTAATCTAATGATAACTCTTGATTCATATCTTGCTTGTCCTCTTTTTTCTTTTAAATAACATTCTGTCTTTAAGGAACCGAATTCATCAATTTTCCAGTACCACCGATTTAAACATTTTAAACCTGTGGTAGTATTTTGTAACAGGGCGATAATTTAGATGCTGTTCAAATGTCCGTACTTCGTTAGCATCGTTACTATAAAATCTTTTTTTTTATTGGGGAATGTCGGAGTGAAAAGGGTTAATTATTTCAATGGGTCCTGAAATAAATTTATTGTAAACGCACCAAAGCAGATTGAAATCAGACATAAGAGGGTGAGTTTTTTTCTAGTCACCGCCGTTAACAAACTACATACAGTGAATTTTTTTTTAATGCGAACATAGGAGTTTGCATGCAATGTAATTTCCCTATGTTCGATTTAAAAAAAACACATCAATCTATTGAGTAGTTCAAATGAGTAGTAGATACAATTGACAGATTGTCACATTTTTAAAAATACCGCCGTCCAATTTAATTACGAAATCGGTTAGGTTATTGCTTAGAATGTCAAGGAGGACACTTCGAACATTTATTGTAATTGTTTTCGGTATTTATTTTCTTATTTTCTTCATTTATGTATTGAATACATCAAATTAGTAGAATACCAGGTGCACATGACCTACAAATAATTGAAGGTTGGTTCACAATGAGTTGTGATGTCAGTGCGTGGCCTGTGAGGTCAAGTTACGTAAGTTTATGAAAAATGTATCCTAAAGTTGCTATGGCCTCACAGGGCTTCTTTAAAAAAATCTTACCGAGTGCTCTTCATCATCAAGACTATGAGACTATACAGTTGCTGTTCATAGTCACACAAGTTGCGCGATTTGGGAATGTAAATCACGCACACCTCATAGATTGATGTGTTTTTTTAAAAATCGAACATAGGGAAATTACATTGCATGCAAACTCCTATGTTCGCATTTAAAAAAAACTCACTGTATATAGCCTATTAGTAGCGGTAGCAAGTACAGCTTATAGTAAGTGATTGTACAAATAATTATGTGTAATTGCGTTGTATGTTTTGTATTATTTTGTTGCTGTCTACATAAATAATTGTGTATGAACGTTTTTTAATCCAATTGTATTCCGCCGCAGATTGGTCAAATTTTCTTTTGGATCCCATTGATACGGCACTCCAAACTCCATATCAAGGCTTAAAATTTCTTTGGCTGTTGGAAATAAATTACACTGCGCCATTAATCTTAGAGTGTTACATTTCATTAAAGTGCCTAGCTTTTTAAGTGCCTAAAATATATTTTTTAAATCGTTATCAACTGTTTGATTTGATAGAAACCTCCCAACATGGTAACGGTATGTTGCCCTCTAGATATACAATATCTTGAATGAGAATATTATGAAGAGGTGTTTTCAGATTAACAACGTAAACCCCTCCATATGGAATGAATTCAGAGTACAATCTGCGTTCAAAACAAAAGTCACTACTATAAAATATTTTTACTTCTGATCCAGAAAAGTCTTTTATTTGGCTCCAAATATGTGACACCAAGCCATTTGCTAAACCTTCAATAAAAAATATGTAACAATTGCCATTATTTAATATAAATCCAGTAACAACATTGTTGTTGTTGTCAGAATCAAGTTCCTTGTTAATGTTGCTTTTTAAATAATTAGCGATCATAACTTCTGGTCCCAAAATGTTTTGATTATGTAGCATAACCAAGTGTAACAATTGATGTGCCAGCTCATATCTTTTCACAATCACAAAGAGTTCGTTGAAAATAGAATTGTTACTGTAAAGCTCCAAAAATGCATTTGACGGTGCACTTAAATGTATTTCTATGTCTACTGTTGTGCCAATTTTAGATAACACACCTTCTGTTAAGGGACTACCACTATTAAGTTTGCTCAGGACCTCTAAATTAATATTATTGATTGTGGTTGTGCTGTATCTTCTATAATTGTTCCTTTTATATAGTAGGGCATCGGGATGATGACAAGTTCCAGCTTCTTCAACAAACCAGGAAGGTTTCAGAAGTGATGAAACATTAAAACATGCTACCGCCAATGTGACCATAGTGGATTTAACATTCCATCTTTCCAAAATTTGTTTGCAGTTTCGAATTGTGACTTTTCTTCCTATACACTTGTCATTAGCTTCGAAACCAAACAGGCTTGGTACAACGGTCTTGAAATGTTGCTCTCTGCGTCCTCGTATCTGTTAATAATTAATAATTGCAGCTATGATTGTTATTGAAGAAGTGGAAAAAGCTTTGCCACATTGCCCTTTTTTGCAGACAAAAGTGCAATTTGGTAGGTATATGACGGGTATGTTATCCCTTGAAAAGCATTTCTTATTCCAAAATAAATTTAAAATTGTACGCAGTTTTTCGTTATAGGGCCAGGAATTAGTTAACAATTTAAAAAAACCATTAAAAAAAACATATTACATTTACACCAAAAAATATTTATTTATGATATACAGGGTGGTGACTTGCGTAACGCATCATAGGGATTTCAATGTAAAATTCATAAAATGCGATTATTGGCTCCCCAAATTATTTTAGAGTAAAAATGTATTAAGGTTTTTTGTAGGAAAAAATTTTTTACGGCAATCAACCCTATTAGTTTTCAATTTTTTGCATAATAAAGACGGAAAATTGGAAAATAAAACCCCCATCTTTTTCAATAATCTGCGATGCCATGGAATTTTTTAAAACAAAAAGATATCCAGTTATCAATTAGCAGCAGTTCGAAATGGCTTTTATGATCGACTTGGTTACTGTATTGCAGTTAATGGTGACTTATTCGAACATTTATTGTAAATTGTTATATTAGGAAACCGTTTTTAGTAATTTGGTCTTTCTTTATGTTGAATTCGCTGTTCTAAATATAATACTTTTTGATAGAATTTGATTTGTTTTATAGCGGACATTCCATGGCATGACGGATATTGGCGTAGTTTTTGTATTATAAAATTCCATGGCATCACAGATTATTGAAAAAGATGGGGGTTTTATTTTCCAATTTTCCGTCTTTATTATGCAAAAAATTGAAAACTAATAGGTTGATTGACGTAAAAAATTTTTTCCTACAAAAAACCTTAATACATTTTTGCTCTAAAATAATTTGGGGAGCCAATAATCGCATGTTATGAATTTTACATTGAAATCCCTATGAGGCGTTACGCAAGTCACCACCCTGTATAGCTTATACACTGGAAATTACTTTTTAAAAATTATATCGTTTAAATGCCCACCGTCTCCACTTCGGCATTCCTATAAACGAACACGAAAATTTTCGAGTACTCGCTGCAATAAAGATCCAGGTATTGCTGACATCTCCTCTCTTATTTTTGTCTTTAATTGGAGCAGCGTCGATGGGTATAGACACGATGTTTCGGATATCCCCAGAGAAAAAATCTGGTGGGGATAGGCCAGGACTCCTAGGTGACCACGGAATGTCACCTCTTCGCGTAATGAGCCTTTTTGGCAACATTTTTGTGATGACCGGTAGGGATTCGTTAAGGCCGCTTTACATACTGCAATTCTTTGTGCAATACAGTTGCAGCAAGTTTAATTGCAAAAATACTGTACATGCAATAATTATTGCACTTTGGTTTTACACGCGGCAATTTTCTTTTTGCAAGAGTTTGTTACCAACATTCGCATTTAAAATTGAACTAAAAGCTTTATTCTATTCAAAATTCATCAGGTGTTGTTATAATTCTGAATGCGTTTTGAGTAAAAATGAATAGACACTTTAATCGAAAAAAGGCAGTCGCAGCTTCAATTTGTGTAGTAATAGTAAACAAAGTCTAGTTTCAACGTTTGGGAATTCTAGAACCTGGCGTTGTCAATACTTTCCCCCAAAATATCACGTGCAAGTGCAATAAAAATCGCGCGCGACCGCTAACCTGCAATTGCAAGTGAATTGCCAAAATGAATCAGCTGTTTCTCAAACGCGCATGCTTCTGGGCAAGTTTTATTGCGTATTGCATGGTCTTGCATGAAGAATTGCAGTATGTAAAGCGGCCTTTAGATGTATGGCAAAAGGCTCTATCTTGCTGAAACCGCGTCTGCCGATTGTTAACCAGCAAATTCCTGTAGCCGTGGTGTCAGAAATTCTTTCATCAACAGCTTTACCTATTCGGCGTAGTTTACGCTAATCGGGCGGGCTCGAAGATCCTCAAAAAATAGGGCCCAATGATTCCTTTAGCTGAACTTGCTGCTCATACAGTCACTTTGGGGAATGAATAAGAGGCCCCATTTCCTTACTAAAACTGAGCTCGACAACTCATGTCGTGTAAATGGTATTCAAAGCGAAATAAACGCCGCACAGTGATGGGAGCAGGAGAACCATTGTTTAAATAAAATTGTTTTACGCCAAAGGCACGCTGTGGTCCCGTGAAGCGATCCATGTGACTAAATTTCCAAGAACTGAGCTAGCCGTTAGATCGCTCCCCGCGCCTCCCACATTTTATATTTGCGCGGAAGATCAAACTCAAATGTAAACAAATTCCTGGCCCACCCTGTATTTGTACCTATATCAAAAATAGGTACAATGGGCGCTACTTCTTTCTCGCCATTTCACCAAGATATACGTAGCTACATTTCTTTAGCGGGTGATGAATCTTAAGTTATAGCATTGAATAATAAACATTGAATTTCAATGCTCTCAGATTTATTATTCAATGGTTATAGTAAGAATTGGTTCATACCTCTGCGATTAATCTTCCAGTTTGAATAAATTCCAAAAATTTCAGTTTGGGTACACCAGGTAGAAAGTGCGCGTGTCCCTCATTAAATGTTATGCACTGTTCCAAAGGTTTCGCTACCGTTGTACACTGCGCAATAAATGGCACGTTGTATCGAACAGAAATATCTTTAAACCTACATTAATAAGTCATTTTGTTACCTATATAGATAATAGTTGCCCATACCCATGTAAAATTAATTCCTTCAGAGGTAAGTTGGTAATTTTATTAATTTTAATTATGAGTGAGTTAAATTCGTTTTTTTGTATCTTTGTGAGTAATTCATTTGTCGACATTAAAACGTAAGCTTCTCCAAGAGGACCACAGGCTTCTGTTAGGCTATAGATGGCAAGGTCGGGATCTGTGTATAGCCCTTCTCCCGATACTCGTATGGTTATTGCATTACATCCTTTGTCTTTATTAGCATTTTGCGATTTATCTTTCTTTTTTTCGTGCTTAGTCGTTTTTTCAGGATCTCCTTTACCTTTGGATTTCTTGTTAGTTTTTTGAGGAGATTCGTTTTCATCCATATCCTCGTGAAACGACGGGGGCGGGCAAGAAGGGGCAAAACTTTTGAACATAACAGCGTCAGACACTTTGATGCGATCTATAATCTGATTTGTATAAAATTCATGAAGTGGGTCTAAAAATATGTTTTAAGCTAATTATAGCCAATGTTGATCTCTTACAGTCTAAAAATTTTAATTTTGTTATAACTTCTTTATCGTTGAACTTTCCTGGATACTCAGCACATTCCCATATTAAACCTTCAATAAAATTCTTTAAAGGTTCTTCATCATAGTTGTATTGGTTTACATTTGGATCGTAATCATACGCCAAAGAAAACTTTTTTGGAGATTCTAGATTTTTCTGATTTATGAAAAAAGTTTTATTTTTTTCCTTTTTGGCGCTAAAGCAATGGGTTTCAGAACATTAGAGAAACATATCTACCTAGATACTCATTTCCAAGTTTTGCTGGATTTGTCATTATGATGTAGTTAATTACATGACCGTGTAATTTAAAGATATCCGAAACATCCAAGTCATTGAAAACGTGTGTAACATATACCGGAACCCAAGATAGATCATCTTTTACACAGGTCTTTAATGCGATGTGCCCATCGAGAGTGTATACCTAAGCATTTGAAAAATAAGTAACCGTTTTAGGCTCAGACTAACTTCAAGGTTGTTAATCTGCGAGGATTTAGGTAACTTCACAACACCTTTGCTATTGTTTTCCAGCAAACAACGTCAATTTGATATTTTGGCCGTCCAGGTAGAATCTCATACTCTACATGGCAACTACCAATGGGACTGTCGACTTCATACATATACTCAGGTTTTTGCAACGTCACTGGACTATTCCTTTTACTAGGATTCCGTTTGTCCTTTTTTTGTTTTCCATGCGATTTATGTTTTTCAGGCTTACCGCTTGGGGTGCTTGAAGAGTCTTTAATAGAAAATGCTAAAAGTATTGTTAATTTAAGCGTTTTCATTTTTATAATTTATGAATAAATATCGAAACATAAAAAGACCAATGCTAATTTTTTCTCACTGTCAATACACACGTCACGGTGACGTATTTTCGAAATCACGCACCAGTTCGTTAATACAGGCATGTAAAGGTGCAGGAATGGAAGACGCATCTCATCACTATTCACGTTCTATTAATTCCAACTCTTGATGCGCCACTGAGCCATACTGGCTCCTCCTGCAAACTCTAAATTCCTCTGCGCTAGGCCCGCTCTCGCCTTCTTCTGTAGTTAATCTGTCATAGAACAGCGGGTGTTTGTATACTTAATAAATAAATGGAATTGTAGTTAATTGTCTGATGTTAGATTTTATGATATAACTTGATGACAGTAAAATGTGAGAAAGTTTTTATGCAGGAGGAATACCTAGCAGAAAGAGACGGTTAAATGAAGAAAATTTGCAGTTTTACGAGCTCATTTAAATGCAGAAATTTTTTTTCGTTATTTCGTTTGATGCTTCTGGCTTTGTTATTATTGAAATAAGAAAATGTGTACAAAAGAAACAAGTTGAAAAGTACCTACACAATGCGTCGAGCTACTTACGCGCGTTTTTTTTGCGACGGATCGAGGTTTTATTAGCTCCGAGATTAGCTCTGAAATATAATGTGCCAGCAGAGAATTGTGACACAAAGCTACCTAATGCTTCAAACCCGAGCATTCTACGAAGATCCTTTCGAGATTTATACGCCGACCGACCGACCGACCGAACAGCCAAAGTGAATACATATACCTATGAGCGCTATTTTTTCCAAAAACGCTCTAAAAATTGTAGAAAATTACGAGATTCAAAGGAGCGTATATATAACTGATGCCAAAGAGTGGGTAATATTATTATGTATTCTTTGCTGATGTGTATTTTGAGAAGATACCAGTTTTAAGTAAAAACAGCGAGGCGTTTCTGTTTTTGATAGAAATCGGTGTTTTGTAGGTCATTACTCAATATGTACCTAGGTATTTAGCGTTTCTACATTTCGCCATCAGATTAATGCTTATCTTTGACGTCGGATGTCACAGGCCCGTATAGGGGCTGATGGTATTTCTAGTACAAGAAAGGGACTTTGCAGTGTCCCCCAGGCTCCTCGACGCTACGTCACTGTTATCAGAAAATATGCCCGGGGATGAATATAGGAGCCGAAATTATAATAAACAGGTTATCATAAAGTAAGGGATATATTACAGTTTCATTTATGTATTTTTAACAAACTAAGCTAACAGCAGAATGTGACATGAAATCGATTTTTTAAATAATGGGAATTCTTATGTCCACCAGCATGGTTAACGTAAATGTTCAATATGTCGTCCATTTTGCTGATGTACGATTACCCTTCGTTCCTTCAAATTGTCCACAGCGTTATTTAGCATAACTGCGATGATTACGTCTAACAACTGGGTATCAGTAGTTCATAGATACAGTAAAATCCAATTATTATATTTTTGTGATGTCTTACAGGAAGAAAGCGTGGGTTTCAGGGAAGTAACAAACAGTGACTCGACGCAAACTGTACTCAACAAACATTATTATTAATATCATGACTATAACTAAACAAGCGACAGCACCGCTCTCCGTGCCGCTCGATCACTACTGTCCTCGCGTGAATTGTCCCTTGAATGGCTTCACAAATAATCCACACATGCGCACTCAAACGATCACTACACAACAGCTATAGCATGTGCAAAACCAAATTTTAAACTTAAAACCTATGTATGAAATTTCATTTAATTGCTCCCATAAATAAGAAAGTTGGCACTGCACCTCCTACACAAAACCAAATTTGGAAAATGGCGCTACATTTGCTTTTATTCCAAGTGGCTAGGCTATGCATCAAATTTCATTTAAATTCCTCCATAAATGGTCAAGATGCGAAAAGGGCACTGTGAATGTTGATTGATTAGGCTCAATTTTTTCGTTTTATATGACTAAAACTATACGCATATTGAATTTCATGCAATTCGGTTCATAACTCACGGAGATGTCAAAAGGGCCTTCCTTATTTTTTGGGGTACATTGCCAGTTCACGAACTCCGATCTACAAATTTGATAAAGAATCCATCTACTAAATTTGATCGTAATCGGTCCATTCGATATCGAGATATCGTGCTAACGGACGGACAGACGGACAGACACCGCAAAATTATAAACTCGCTAGGAGCTTATTAATAATAAATTATACTTATTCCATAATGTTGCAATGACGATGAACACGAGCTATGCGATTTCCTCGAAGAAAAGGGTCCTGATCACTGATCAGAGTGCCTAGAGGCGGGGTGTGTATACTAAATAAACACGCGCGCGGCATAACACTTTCCCAAATAGGTATGAGCTATGAGCTCCATCTTAAGCCTTCAGGAAGCCATCCTCAACGACGCATTCAACCCCAATCGCCAACCGGAGTATTCGGAAGTCCAGGAGGCGTATTGGCATTCTGTACTATTATTCAGAGGAGCTCTGGTCTGATTCGCAGTATACTATGGCTTCACATTATGCGCAATTTGATAATACATTATATATTGCGGTTCAGAGCACCGATACGGTTTAGTGTTTGTTTTATTACTAAAATCAGCTAACCACTTGTCGCACCAAACACTGTTAATATCTTCGCCCGTTTCGCTATAAATTCATGTTCTACTAGTTCCAAATACTCGTTCATTGAAAACGTATTCTAGTTGCACATTTCAACCAATACCTCTTTATAGTTCATTTTAGGGCAGTTTGAGAACCTTGATTACACACCAACAACAAAAAATATACTTTTCTTGCAAAGGTAACAATAAAAACACACTTCTTGTAAGTGTAACCAAAATTTTCTCCCGCGCGATTTGACATTCTTTCTGAATCGCAGTATAAATTTGCTAAATCGCAGTATAATTTGTCTGAGGCACACGCACTTTATAGAAAGCCATTATATACAGCGTTTCAGAACTCTAATAGTACATTATATATCAAGGTAGAGAAGTCCACTATTATTGCCTGAGCACCAAGATTACATCTCGAGGGGCTTGCGCCGAGGGGTGTAAGGTGCGAGGGCAATAATAGACTTCTCTACCGTGGTATATATACTATTTTTTTCACTACTAGCACTTGAAATCCTCTAAATTAACATATTATATTGATAAGAAAGTGAACGGTTGGACAGAATTTTTTGTTTCTTAATGTAACATGTCAATCAAGTACGTGGAAGTACAAGTCAAACAGGCCGTATTTTGTTCTGTCATTGAGATTTTTCAAAGAGTAATTTCGTTCGAATTTTTTCAAAATGTGATAATTTTAGGTATGTAATTTCTCTGGAAATTGCGATGGTGGCAATTATTCGTTTTAGAGAACTTGTCTAAACGTTTATTGAGCCAAATTTCGGGTTGTGTTTTCTAAATGTGACAGCGTGACAGTTCTCATTATTGACTACTAGTTAATAATAAAAAATTATTAACCACTTTGAACAAATGCCGAGAAAGCCTACTTTACAAGTGGAAAAAAGGTTAATAATCATGTCATCAGACGCTAGTAGTGAAAAAAATAAGTTTTCACGTTTTTTTAAAATTTTGGACCTTGGATGGCACAGAACCTCGGATTACTGAAGTTTGGATTGCTATGACCTTACTGTATAATGTTAGTTTAGTTTATTTTCTGATGCTGTAAGTTTATATTATTGTTTTTGGATAAATATATTAACAATAACAATTTAAACTTCAGTTAATATTTGAAAAATTGGGAAAGTGTGTCAGTAAAAAAAATTAACATGTTGCAACGGGAACGATAATAGTTTCATAATCGTTGAAATAAAAAAAAACAATTGAACCCTACAGTAACAGTTGTTTCTGTAAGAACCCTACAAATGATACTTTATTAATCGTGCACTGTTGTATTTTAGAGCGGAAGTTTTTATTTAAAAGCAGAAAGAACGCTAAAATAAATTATTAAAAAATATTAAATACCTTGCTGCGCAACCTCTCCCTCTACAGACATGAAACAAAAGCAAGAAAATGATTAACGCTGTTATTGGAGCTAAAAAAATATCAACGTACAATTATTAGCTGCTAATACGCTACAAAACAATATTACGGCATCTAATCTGTTATTAATAGTAAAAGCAAAAACAAAGCAATGATCTTCGTGACCGGATACTCACGTAAACTCGCTGTGCCGAAAGCGACTTTTTGTCGGGTCATTGCGGAATATTGCGCACGCGCTTTCGCTCTTTGCGCGGCTTGCAAGTCTATGGCAGAATTGCTTCGGAATCCTTTTTTGGAATCTAAAATCAAAAATGCAACTTTTTATGAAAAATGTACAATCTGGCTAAGATAAGTAATTTTAATTCAAATCAAATCATTTGAATTTTGTGAAATTCTTTGTGGCATCAATGCAAAACTAAAGACTGATAAAGTCATTCTTTCAGTAGCATTTTAATGGGCAATAGATATCCATTTCCGAAGAAGAAATTACCTGAGGTTTTCGATTTTAGTACAGGGTGTCCATTTCTTAAGAAATCTCAAATGGTATGAAGTTGGTTAAATTATGGGAAAATATTACTACACTATTATTCACCTTGTGAGCAACAAAGGCCCAGGGAAAGTATATGAATTAACGAAGATTATTTTGAATTGAAGTACTTATGTACGATCATCGACAAAAATAATGATAAAATTAAACTTACTGCCGCTTAGACAACCAACCATACACTATCTACAATAGCAACATTGAAAGGCAAGTTTTTTCGCGGCATCGTTTAAATTAGTATATTTATACAATGCTTGCTGAAGTTGTTATTTCTATTTTCTCGATTTAGAATAAAAAGAAAAGGATTCCTGGACAATAATTACAATTTTTTCACTTGCGGTTTGACTGGAAACAAGCAAATTTTTTTAAAAACAGAACAAAGTGTTTTTTATTATTGAATACGCAATAAAAAAACGCAAGTACTATTTAAATCTTTCAGTTTTATTTGTTTACTGCGTTTACGTGAGCCTATTTTGTCACTGTGCAACAAAACTGGATCATTTAAACCTAAGAGAGTATTTAAAAAAAGAAAATTAACCTTAAAACCAGTTTTCATTTCAAAGAAAAAGAAGATACCAATGTGTCCCAAAATATAATTCGTAAAACTAGGCTTTACCAATTCTTGTAATTTTACCTACTGTAGCGTGTGTCTCAAGGTAGCGACGAAGAACTACCGAAGCAAAGACGACAATGAGCGATGCCGTGCAGCCCATTTCTACACCAACAACTTACACTTCAACGTTGCCATTTTAGATAGTGTATGGTTGGTTGCCTAAGTGGCAGTAAGCTTCATTTTATCATTATTTTTGTCGGTGACCTTACATCGGATCCATTCATTTCTCTATACACTCTATAGCCCTCACTAATGATAATATACACTATGTCCGAGATGAAGAGGGGCCCCTACAAAAGGTAAGAGATACAAATTTGGGTAATTGGGAAAAAAATTGTACAATCAAGGGTCTAGAAAGATAGCGTTTTAGAGATCTCTGCATTTTTCTTTTGTTTTTAAAACATTTTGAAAAAATGGATTTTTCCATTTTACGAACTAATTTTTTCTGGCGTTAATATTTGACCTAAAGCATTTAGACGGAGTTCGTTTTGTCTCTTCAAAAATATGTTCAACATCATTTTTTTAATACGCCCCTGATATTCCGCTATTGTATGCTTAAGGGTACTTTATCAAGGCGACGCAAAAGTTTTTACAGTTTTATAGCTCTAATTTTTATTAAAAATGGATTCTGTCTTTTGGGATAGGTCCTTAATGACTATATGTCTCAAGTTACGTCATGATTTTGAACATGTGTTTGACGTAGTTCGCATAAACAATTATAGAAAGAGAGCGACATAACAAAAATTACTCAATAAGAAAAAAATTCCACGTAACTCGATACAGTTTTTTTATTTGCTATTCATTGCGTCTTTTCATTTCAAAATATTTTAAAAAATAAATCCAAAATATTGTAAAAACTGTATGGATTTTGATGATAATGGGTGTGTCTATTCCTGTGACTTGTAAATTAGAGGGAGGTGCACCTAAGTGAGTTCGGCCAATAGCAAACGAAAACCGAGGACCGAAAGATAGGTATTTATTAACGAGCTCCTAGCGAAGTTATAATTTTGCGGTGTCTGTTAGCACGTAACTCATAAACGAATGGACCGATTACGATGAAATTTTGCAGGTGGATTTTTTATCAAATTTGTATATCGGAGTTTGTGAGTTGGCAATGTAACCCAAAAAATAAGGAAGGCCCTTTTGGCATCTCCGTGAGTTATGAACCGAATTGCATGAAATTCAATATGCGTATAGCTTTAGCCATATAAAACGAAATTCCAAAAATTGAGCCTAATCGATCAGCATTCACAGTGCCCTTTTCGCATCTCGACCATTTATAAACAGAATTGCAAACTTTTTTAATTTAAATTTAAATGAAATTTGAAACATAACCACTTGGAATAAAAGCAAATATAATGCTAATTTCAAAATCTGATTTTGCGCATGCGCAGTGCCAACTTTCTTATTTATGGAGGGACTTAAATGAAACTTGATACATAGCTACTTGGAATACAAGCAAATTTAACCCCAGCTTCAAAATATGGTTTTGTGCGTGTGCAGTGACAACTTTCTTATTTATGGAGGCACTTAAATAAAATTTGATACATAGCCACTTGGAATAAATCCACATTTAACGCCAATTTCAAAATTTCGTTTTGAGTCTGCGCAGTGCTAACTTTCTAGTTTTTATGAAGGGATTTAATGAAATTTGATACATAATACCACTTGGAATAAAAGCAAATATAACGCCAGTTTCAACATCTGGTTTTGCGCATGCGCAGTGCCAACTTTCTTTATTTATGGAAGCATTCAAATGAAATTTGATACATAGCCACTTGCAATAAAAGCAAATGAATCGCCATTTTCTAAATTTGGTTTTGTGTAGGATGTGCAGTGCCAACTTTCTTACTTATGGAAGCAATTAAATGAAATTTCATATACATATAGACTTTAAATAAAAACAAAACTAACATCAAGTTTATTTATTTATTCAATATTACGGGAGATACCCCAAAAAATCAATGTTTTGTTCACAATCCACATAGTTTTGCTTAAATTAGTGTAAAAAAGCAAAATAAGAATAAATAAACCCCTCGCCAGGAAAGATTGTCAGTCACAGAACACTTGATCCTGGTCTACAATCTATGTTTTTCTAAAGATGTGAGGGACTTCCGGGATAGTATCGTGTCAATGTTGAACAAAAAGACTTTTCGTTCAACATTGGCACGGTCCTATTCCGGAAGTCGCTCGTATCTTAACAAAAACATAGATTGCAGATCAACACAAGGTGTGCTGCGACCGGCAATCTTTCCTGGCGAGAGTTATATAGTAGGTAAGCAGTAGTAATCTAGTATGATTTGTCTATATCATTTAGTAACAGCGATAGACAAACACCTATTAATGCAATCTGCGGATAGGAGTTTGCGAACCACATCATTCTAATACTCGGGGATTGTTTGTTGTAATTACATTGTAACTTGTATGCGAATGGGGCGCACTACTAGAAAAGATGAAAGTTCATATCGGAAAAAAGCTATAAAGCTCGTTGTAAGAGGTAAGTGACAACTTTATCGAATGGATACTATGACCTAAAAGTTAGCCACTAAAGATTGACTTCGCCCTTTTACAACATAGCACTGTCACTAAATTATTAAGAATCAATCCTCAGATTCTTATACTCGTACTTGTCCGTCCGTCCGTCTGCGTGCGTGTTTTTTGAAAGTGGCCGATCGTATTGAAATTGGCGTACAGGTACTTTGGACATTAAGAAAAGACGCTACTGATTTTCAGAAAGCAGGCTCAACCGGAACAAAAGTTATAGGACTTCGAGTGAATCGGGAACAGGAAAAACTGTGCGCTCAACCGAGGCTCAAGATAATAGAAATCAACATATTTCGTTCCTTATAGGTCATGTATCGAGTTCGGACTTTCGCTAGATTAAACAAAGCTCTTTAAATTTTTGCCGCATGTTTAATAATCACCCTGTATAGACCATAGCCAGCTATCAATTAGCGAAAACCTGAAGTTTAGTGGCCCATCAGGGATCGAGATCTCGGTCGATTTATAAAACGCAATTTCATCCTACATTCATAAATTATTGACTTGAATGGGAATAGCTTTCCCCTTTCAGACTAAGGCCCGGTTGTACAATGTCAGGTTAAACTTCAGTTGGGTTCAACCGACAAATTTGAGAAATACGATTGGCCAACTTGTGAAATACTAGCCAATCAAATCCTTTAACCCACAATTCAACTACAAACTGAAGTTTAAACTGACATTATACAACCGGGCCTAAGTGATCCAGGAATAAACACGATAGTGCGAATCTCACGCGGAAAATCCAAAGGTTCTACGATATTTCGTCGCCAAGATCTCGATCGATTTATAAAATGCGAAGAGGTAGGATGACCCCCCACGCCGGCAACAAAACGAACCGCCCACAATTTAAAAGTTACAAGAAAACGTATAAACCACCTTAAAGTTCTTTTTATTCTGTTTTTTTTGGGTTTAATTAAGAAAATTCCTATTACAGAAGGGTTTCAGTTGGATGAAATGAAACACCCGACAGATGAAGCAGAAACAGCGTGAGCAATATTAATTTATATATTATGTCATTGCATTCCTCTTCTGGCAATTGTATAAAGCAAAAGTAATAATAATAATAATGGTTTTTTTTTATTGGTTAAATAATGGTTAATAAGTGTATCCCCTCCAGTTGGTATAAATAATTTTATGGCAATTTTGTGATGGCATCAACATTTAATTGATATACCTAATTGAATTTCTTACAGCATTTCATTTATTTTGTAGGTGGCGCTGTTTATTTACAGGGTATGTCTTCTGGGGGCGAGTTGTGATAGTTCAAGATTGTTAAATACTGCACTTGGCATTGAGGATTAATTACTTTATGTCTGCTCCTTTGCGTTTTGTTGTAGTGTTATAAAGGTGACTTATTTTGAGTCTCGCTTTGGGCATGACATGTTAAACCATAAAAGTGCGGAAACGTACGATCTTCTTGCTTTTCATTTCATTTTGCTAGTTACATTTTAATTTGTATTTTTCGTAGTTTCATTTTTGGTTTTGCATTAAATTTACCACACTGTATTTACAGATTTTGCTTTTTCTCTCCCCACTCTTTAATTGCAAAGGTAAGCTGTTTGCTACTTTCTGTTCCATTAATTATAGGGGGGATATTGTTTAGTTTTTTCTTACATTTGATTTCCCGTAGACACCGCTAATTAATTTGAGTTTTGTCGACCACAAGCAGGGTTTTTAATTAAATTTTATTTTTTTAATGTCACTAATTATTCTATAGAGCTTCGGGAGCCCCCCAATTGCGTGCAAACTACCGAAGTTCATTGGAACAAAACATAGTATTTTGTTATCAAGTTAGATACAATTATGTGCCATGGGGTTCAGTTAGTTTGGGAGCGAAAGTGTAAGACAAAAAAACAAGTATTAGTTTTCTCTTTAAGCTTTAGTTTGGGACTTTTGGAGACATTTGGGCCTCAAAAAATTTTTTCTTGCCTTACACCCTGTATACAAATTTTAATTATTATTTCACTGTACGATATATGATAAATGAGAGCACATAAAATTTAAAGGCTGTCAAAAAATGCTATGAACGACATTCAAAATGTGGTACTTACAAATGTACTTAATAATATAGCATCTTTGACATATGTCAGAAATTGTACCTGGATTCGTGTATGAAAATTTTGCATTATGTACAGGGGGTTGCGTTAAAAGAATAGCATCAACTGAAGCACTGCCTACTTTAAAATAGTAAAAAAATACGATAAACGACAGCGTTTGGATGAGTGCAGCACATGCAAAAATGAAATTTGTACAGAAAAGTATTTTTCCCATTAATTACATTTTTTTTATTGATTTTAGGAGGCTACTTGAAGATCATTTAACATTTCAAATCTTCTTTGGACATCCGATGATTAATCAAACATGAATTATAAGAACTTTGGCTACTGTACTGTGAAGATATTAGCAAACTGCAACATTAACATCGAAAATATAATGGCAGTTACATACTGTCTCTGGAGAGAACAGGTATAGAGCTACGTTGTCTATAGCTTCTAGGCAATGATGGAACCCTCTGCAATCCACCACTGTAGAGATTTTCTGTACTGCCTAAAGTTCCGAGCAGCATTTAAAACACGAATTAATTAAACACACTTAAACCCCTGCGATCAGCAAAACTTTGAAGTGCCATTACCTGTAGCACTTTGAGGCGTCGTAGGCACTCGGTACTGTCTAGGCGTGCGTACACCCGGAGTCGGCGCCAAACTGTTGCTGGATGAACTGCTCGAGAGGCACAACTCCCCTTGTAAGGCGCGGCGGTAACTGGGCTCCAACGATTGCAAAAGCGATTCGGCTTGATCGGGAAAGTGATCCTTAAAGCCACGGAATGCTCTGAAATGACTCACTCAGTACATTAGAAGCAACCTCAACACTGTACCTTCGTGAACAAACACGAGCTTCGGGATCGGCATCGGCTATACCTTTCCGCAAAGCTTCCTGAAGTACATTAATATGTTTCTCTAGGGGATGCGTCGCCCACTGAGTTAATATTAATTCCAAAAATTCGCAGCAACTTCGTCGAATCTCCTTACTTTTGGAACCACCTAAATTTGTCGTAATAATCGGTATTAACCTGTGATGTTGCGTGTATTGCAGGATGAAACGAACGGTAATATTACCAGCCGTCGCGACCACCTAAAAAATTCTACTAAGCGAACGCCCAAAAGACGGAAATATACTTACTTTAGCTGAATTTTGAATGAGGTTAATCAGCCCGTTTAACAAGCACTCTGAGCAATGGTCAAATTTGTTGCCGATAACTTGAGATAAATACGCTATCGTTATGCAAGCTTCCCTAACTACTTGCGAACGTAAATCTTTTAGTGTGCCTTGAAGCGGAATCTCCAAATTACGTAGGTTGATGTAGAATTCCTCGTAATTTGTAGCGCCCGCAATGACCAGCGCTCTTACTTTTTTTAGCTGCGTTTACGCGACGTTAAATTTCTACCGAAAAAGTGCAAGGTCACACTTACCGCATCCACTCGTTTATACCATTCTTTATTCGGATCCGCAATTATTTCCTGTACTGCCTTCATTTGCTCGCCCAGTTCCCTTGCTGAGAAAATTTGGGTGTTTGGTACCTCTTCGAATGAAGAAGTGAAGGTCTTCTCGTCCACTGCTCCTGCTAAAATTAGTACAAGTTATATTATGTTTCACTGATTTAATTGTTGTGTTAACATTTATGAAAAGATCTTGCTAACTGGGGCAAATCATCCGGTTGCTTTCGGCGACAAAAAGTGGGAGCAACTTATTTCAGAAATGCAAAACTGCTGCCCCCCCCCCGCAGTGCTACATCCTCCCCAAACGTTCACCACTTATAGCTCTTGTGTTAGAATGTCTAAAAAATGTCTATTGTCCCGAGGGGTTTTTACCATTGATATTTGGTATACAAATAATAATAATAAATAATAAATGCCTTTATTCACTGGGAATGGGCGAGGTTCAACAATGACATGTATGTCATGTGCTGCTCTTGCACCTAATCCGATATAACATATAGAAACTAAATTACACTGATACCTATATACACGGTGTCCATTTTTCGAGTGCCACTATGGGGATCTCACTTATCTTAAGAGATAGCAAGTTGGTTAAATGGGGGCAAAGTTGCAAATTTTCGTGCTGAATAAGAATCTGAAAAGAAATTTGAAATATCTTCAATAGTTTTGAAGATATCGCAAAAAACTAAAATGTTTGATTTTTGTTTTTAATTTTTTTGTGATAAACTAATCGTAGTAGACATTTCTAATTAACACATTATTCGGACACTTTCTAATGGGGATTCCAAACATGGCATCCTGTTTTTAATAACTCTCAAGATGACGGAGAAACACGTTGCAACTTTAGTTTTTCTTATGAGCGTCATATTGAATTTTGACATTTTGGGATTACGTCTTTTTTTCTCTTTACAACGATATATCATACATGGTGGTTCAGTAACACATTTTTCCTAAAAATACAATTTTTAGTTTTTTGAGAAGAGTGCTTTGGAAAAACAAAACGTTCTTTTGTTGTGAACAAAAGATTGACTTATTTCATGTAGTGTCATTTAGGTTTATGCTAGTTGTATTGCGAAAATGCCTTTTTCAAGTGCAGATGAAACAGATATGATCCAAATTTACTACACTTCTCATCGAAATGCCCACATATGGCTGCTTCTTATTCAGCACGAAAATTGGCAACTTTGCCCCCATTTAACCAACTTTCTATCTCTTAAGATAAGTGAGATCCCCATAGTGGCACTCGAAAAATGGACACCGTGTATATTTAATAAGGCAAATGACCATAATAGTCGATGCCTCAGGAGGGGTTTTAGTGGGTATACCCGGTATCTGGGGGAGCCCCACACTTAGTGCGTCATTGCATTTCCTCTCCTGAAGAAAAAAAAAAAAAACAGAAATTAATATTGATATGGCCACAGATAAAACATAAACATGTAAAAAATTAAAGAAAGAATATCTCCAGTGAACACTAAGGTACATAATTATTTATATACATATAGGTACACGTTTCATACACGCATAATCATATAGGTATATTATTGGAATTAATAGGACACAAGCAAAAATTCAACTGAAGGGAGCAATTAAGTGCATAAAAATTAACTTGGCTTAATGTTTTGAAATCAAATGGTATCTTGTTATACAGATGTGCAATTTGGTAACTATAACCACCTACATATACAGTGAATTTTTTTTAAATGCGAACATATGGCTGCAATGTAATTTCCCTATGTTCGATTTTAAAAAAAACACCTCAACCTATTGAGTAGTTCAAATGAGTAGTAGATACAATTGACAGCTGTCACATTTTTAAAAATACGGCCGTCCAATTTAATTATGAAATCGGTTAGGTTATTGCTTAGAATGTCTAGGAAGACACTTCGAACCTTTATTGTAATTGTTCTCGTTATTTATTTTCTTATTTCCTTCATTTATGTATTGAATAGATCAAATTAGTAGAATACCAGGTGCACATGACCTAAAAATAATTGAAGGTTAGTTCACAATGAATGGTGATGTCAGCGCGTGCCATGTGAAGTCAAGTTATCGTAAGTTTAAGAAAAATGTATCCTAAAGTTGCTATGGCCTCACATGGCTTCTTTAAAAAAATCTTACCTAGTGCTCTACATCATAAAGACTATGAGTTGCTGTTCATAGTCACACAAGTTGCGCGTTTTGGGAATGTGAACCGCGCACACCTCATAGATTGATGTGTTTTTTTTTAAAATCGAACATAGGGAAATTACATTGCATGCAAACTCCTATGTTTGCATTAAAAAAAAACTCACTGTATATTCGTTTGAGCAGACAAAATCTCCAAATCACTAGAATTTGCAAATAACATAACAACTGATTTTCTCATGTTTATGTTGAGGCAATGGTTTGTAGATGTTTCAAAAATGTGTTGTAGGTCACTATTTACAGTTTCACACGCCTTCACTATGTCTCTTGGAAAAAACGAAAAATATATCTGAGTATCGTCAGCATATACCTAGGTGATATTGGCAATCTTTTAGAACAGAAGGGATAGCATGTGTGTAAATTAAATACAGTAAAGGCCCTAATATGGATCCCTGAGGGACCCCTCTTTTGATATTTAGGTACTTTGATGCCTGACCATTGCAAAATACTGATTGCTGACGATTATTCAGATAACTATTAATTAGTGAAATCCCAGATTGCGAAGCCCCAATATAATGTAGTATAGCCAGCAATCTAATAATATTAGTAGGGTAACCTTTCCAGCGTCTCTTGCATGTAATACATCGTCTGTTAGTTTAAGCAAAGCTGTGGTACAGCTATGTTTCGATGATACAGTTAAAGCTAAAGAGGAAACTGACACAATAGTTGATGGTCTTAGAGCAGTGGTTCTCAAAGTGGGTGCGGCAAGCACTTCATAAGGGTGCCACGAAATTTTTAAATATTTACTAAGCTTAAAATTACATAAATTAAAAAAGGAATTAAAATAATTTAAAAAAATGAAAATTTGTTTTTTATTACAATTCTGTTTTTTAGTTTCTATTTTATTTATTTCTATGATTCATATTTCATTAATCAATCATATGATGGTATTTCATTAAATCAGACTTTCTCAAGCTTATAACTTATATTTGTGGTGCATAGGGTGGTATGGGGAATTGAAAACGTCCTATTTTGGTTTTCATCCGTAACCATCTTCAAGGTTGTTGAGTGTCAAAATTTTAAGTCATAACGGCTTGAAGATTTTTTTAAAATTTTTTTGGCATACACTGACCAAAATGGCTTAAAAAACTCTACAAAAAAGTTCATTACAATTTTTTTGTGAGTTCCTTTGTTTTTGAGAAGTTTTGAATTGAAAAGTTAAACTATTTATTTTATTTTTCTAAATTTCATTTTTCTCTAAAAGTAAGCATCAGAGTGGAAAATGTCAATTACAAAAAAGATGTGTCTTGATGAGGTCTACAAAAAAGGCGTCTACACTTCTTGAGTCGGGTTCAAAAGCAAGACGCTAGAGGGCATTTTCTAAATGTTATACTATGACCAAAGAACCAAAGAATAACTAGTTTTAAATGCTTTTTAGTCCAGGAAATATATAATTTTAGGATGCAAAATTCATGGTAGTTCTGGACATAGGCTTGTTTTATGTTTTCTGGATCTATGAATCCGAATTTTCAACTTCCCACCAAAAAATCCCCCCGCAACTCCCCCAAATTTTGAAAAAAAGAAAAAATATCGTTTTTTTAAAACCGTTATTTTGTGTATTTTAGAGAAATACTATCTGGAACTTTGGAAAGTAGAAAAAATTTGCGACAAAAAGATCATATAATATTTTGACGTAGGGCGAATGAGTATGGCGTTAGCACATCTCAGAACAAGCGCCTTGGTCTCGTACGCACGCCGGGACATTAGACGATAACTGCGTGGTTTTCGCCACTTTTGCGACCTTGCCTATTTATCGGTGACTGTAATTTTCAATTTGTTTGTTCATCCCCTTTCCTGAAAAGCGCAGAAAGATTGCGAAGAGAAAGAAAGCAAGTCATCGGTTGACATAATTTTTGATGAATCTATATGACTCCTTGTTGGCCAGGCAAATTTTTTATCTAACAGCAGAAATAAACATCGCCTCATTGAAATTATTAAAAGGAAGTCAACAGTGCGACAAGCTGACTAAAACGCAGACTGTCTCATCGTTAATGCAGCAATTGAAATGGCATCAAATCATCAATCGGTGATTATTGTCGGCGAAGATATACATTTATCAGTTCTATTAATTGCACTTCCTCAATCCGCCAATATTTACTGCATGAAGCCCGGCAAAACCAAAGTTTTACAATAGATCTACTCATCCTTTGGTCTTAAAGAAAACATAGTGGCTAAAAATATACTATTTTTACACGCTTTCAGCGGCTGTGACTTTATGTCTGCGATTTTTGGTCACGGTAAAGCCAAATTTATTAAAGTTCTCGTCTAGAACTCAGATTTTTTATTCCTAACTTCGCTGTAAAACACAATTAAGCCTCTTTGCCTCCAACTGAACAACACTTATTCAGGACGTCCCATCAAGTCCAACTATGGCTAGAAAATGTCATGGAACCACAAAAATGGAGCTAGAAAAGTACTAGCTACGGACTATCTCCTGTCACTATTAAACCATCCGCTCCACCAAAATTAATTCTAAAGCTAATCTCCTGGGTGTAAAAAAAAAGGCAAGAAATTGGGTTGAAATGTTCAATAATGTGCCTCGAGTGCAACAATTCATGCGATAATAGCCCTAAAGATATCGTGGAAGATTTGGATGAAGAAGATCGACAAACAGATGAACTTGAACTGTTATTTGAAAAGGTGATCCATCAAGCTGATGAGATTATTTTGGAGAAATCACGTAAATTTGATGTTCCAGCTTTTCCTAAGCCCGAAAACATGGAAGAATTGTCAGAGTAGTCGCTTCTAAACTTCCTTTTTTTTTAAACTCTTTTTATAATTTAATTTAGTAACAAAAGTCTATATTTTTTAAATGTGTAGATGTGTTCTTAATTCTGAACTTGTCTGAAAATAGGTGGAGGAAAGTTGGAGGTTGAGGGTTGACTTCCCGATGTTAAAAAATAAGAGAGATTAAAGGAGGGAGGGGGTTAAAACGAAAGATAAAGCGGATGAAGAGAGAGCGAACACGAACGCCGTGGGTTGTTAGGCGAAGTGCGCCTGAGTCGCCAATGAGCATACTTCAACGCTCGCCAGCGCCACCTACGTGCGTAGTACGTAAAAATCTTTTCTGACGTTTTTGGTTGCATACTATATCTACATTTCAAATTTGTGGGTATTTTACTTGTGAAACCACAAAAAACGATTTCTTAAAAAAACATATTTTTTTCAAGATTTGGGGAGGTTGCAGAGGGAATTTTTGGTTGGGAAGTTAAAAATTGAGATTCAGCAAACCAAAAAACATAAAGTAAGCCTATTTCCAGAACTACCATTAATTTTGCAAGCTAAGGTCCTCATATGTTCTGTATTGCCTGGACTATTTGTGTTTAGAAATTTTTTTTGTAGACTTCTCATCCTTCATCTCTTTACTAACGGTAAAAAAGCAAAAAAATAATAATACTAGGGGTGCCGCGACTTTTGTTTAATAATTTTAAAGTGCAAAGTGAATTTATGTGTGGGTAAATATTTATACAAAGACAATTGTAGCAAGTTTTATGCTTTATTGCCTAAGTAATGGTAAACAGGGGGGGGGGGGGTGTTCAAATGTGAGTATTTAGCAAACAGAGTGCCAAAAAGGGTACTCACAAAGGCAAGGTGCGAATGTCTCGAGAACGGAGTGTTGGAACTGAGTACCCACAACACGACCACATTTGACCCAATTGTCAATTTGTGAGTATTGGCGATCATATCGAAATTTCATTGCAGTGTAACAAGATCTTTTCCATAAATGAATGTAACATAAGCGCCAATTAAAAAAAAAGTTAGCACAAAAATATAAATGGCCATAACACTCACATGCACTAGTGGCTTTCCGCATCGATCCAGTTCTGCTTACAGTCGCTTCACATAAAATTAAGTTGTAATAAGGCCAAGCGGGATTAACATAAAAAAATAATAAAAATTATCTTACAAAGCTACACAAAAAAATCAAGCCAGAGAGCAACACAAATTTATATAATTTTGCATACTCTGGTCAAAGTGAACACTTCCTTATGGTAAAAAGCTTGTGAAATTCATTCCTAAGAAAACATCCACTTTGTCCAATTCTGTGTATTTAAAAACAAAGTAACATGAAAATATTTCTGTCCTTTTCTTAATCATAAAGCTTTAGCAAAACAAATAATTGTTAGACACAGGTGACTTCCACCCTTTTTTTACAACTGTCAGCCACAAATGGTCTCATGCCAATTCGTGCACATTATTCTTACCCAAGTTCGGAGCACTCGCTCCTGCAGCCATCTTGCTGGGCGCAGAAACCGTACGCTTACTCGCGCTCGTTAGCAGTCCAACCTTCTTCACTGGAACGGCGGGTTTTGGCATAGATATCCTGTCAATTTCGTCCATTCCGACTGTAATCGGCAAAAGTTTTAGTCAGAAATTGGCTAACATTTGAACTTACGATCGAGTGCACAACACGCAGTCGGAAGTAATTCACCGGCACTTTTAACTTCATCAAATCTTAAAAGTAAAGCGGGAAGTCTCGTACTTGGAACTAAGTTGCGCCTTTGCAAATCGACTTTCAATTTTTCGCCGACGTGTTTATATAAGTCGACTAAAGTACTAAAGGCGGTATCTCGAACGGTCGCAGTCGGATCGGATAATAACTTCACTATGTACGATATAAACTTACTGAGCGTTACTGATTGTGCTCCGTGTCTACGAATCAAAATTATTAACGGTCAAAGTCGCAATCGAAAACTTACTCATTTAACGTATTTACAAGGCACCGTAAAACCTCCTCTCTAATCTTCGCGTTTTTGTGTGTGAATCCGGGCGTAAGTTTCTCGAGGAGTGTCTGGGGTGTGAGCACGTTACGCTCGAGCAGTTTAAGGATCAGCAGCTGTGCCTTCTCTCTGACCGTATCTTTTGAATCGCCTAATCTATCTATGACTGCCGGTAACACAGTTTGTAAGTAAGGACGAAAATCGTGACCCAGCCTGTCTATCAATGATGTCATTACTTCAATGCCATTGCTCGATACCTGCAATCATAATTAAACTGGGCATTTTAATTTCGATCTTTGCCAGTAAACAAATTTGGTCTTCCTTTATGAATTTTAAAAGTTTACTAAGTCGGTGAAGTGTGACAGATAATTACTTTTCCATTCTATCAATAGGACTGACGTCATTAGTGTGGTTTGGACCGTATTAATTATACAAAGATGTTGATAGGTGACCATAATATTAAGTAATTTAAATTGTAAAATTGATTAGTACATAGGAAACCTGTTACATTTGATTAGCATAATTATGTAAACATTAAGTGGGTTATTTGAAAACAATTTTAAATATTAACACAGTTCGTTTACCGGCAACAATTATCTTATACAAAATAAACGAAAACCTAAACCAGATGTATGATAATCGGGCACTAAATTAGTACATTTGACAAGAAGTGGTAAAACAGTTGTGTGAGTAATTATTTTTTTTAAATCTTAAGGTTAGAAAGCGGTTGCGTGGACATGGACAGTCCCCAATTTCTCCCAACTTTTTTGTTCATCTCAAATTCTTCTACAGTTCATAAATTCTCTTCGTGTTCCCTCGAGCCTCCCATAATTTCCTCTTAAATATCTGACACATGCTTTTGCCACCGGTCTCTGCTTTCTGAAGTTTCCATCAAATTCTTCTCCAGCCCTTCTTAAGCTCTCAAAGTACGAGGGTCATCCAATAATTGATGAGACAAATTATTATTGCTCAAAAACGGCAATCAGTACAAAACTTTCGCTACTTTTCAGTCCTCAGTAACACTTATCCCATCATTCTGCTAATTTTGGAATAAAATTCTTTGGCCACTTTTGCACTTACTTTTTGACCTCTTCATTGGATTGAAAATGTTTTCCACGTAGACCCTTTTTAGGCTAGTCAAAATAGGTGGTTAGGGTAGAAAAAATTAGTAACAAAGTGATCTCTGCGGAAATGTCCTTATTAACCCCTCAAAAATCGCACTTTGTCGCATTGGTGGAACTTGCAAAAAATGGCCGCCATCTTGATTTTTTTCGAATTTATTAAATATTTCCTAAAGTATACATTATATCAAAAAAACTCAAGAGACTTTTTTAAGGAGAATCAAAAGTTACCTGTAATAAAAAATAAATAAATGTTTTATTTTCTTTAGGTTATCGGCTCACTAGAGTCCTTTATATATTTTAGCAAGGTCTGATGATTAAGTGAGCTTCGAAATCGATAACCTAAAGAAAATAAAAACATTCAATTATTTGCTTCCCTCTACTTACCTGCTACATTAAATATATCCAAATAATTCACATGGAGCAATACATCAATAAAAAAAAAAGATTCATGTTATTAATGTGCTGTTTGGCAGCTTCTTCGGTTGGTGGTAGTGAGGCTAGACACAATTCAGAATTTAAGCTTTGCCTTTAAGTCATTCGCATATACAGGGTGGTGACTTGCGTAACGCATCATAGGGGTTTAAATGTAAAATTCATAACATGCGATTATTGGCTCCCCAAATTATTTTAGAGCAAAAATGTATTAAGGTTTTTTGTAGGAAAACGTCAATCAGCCGTATTAGTTTTCAATTTTTTGCATAATAAAGACGGAAAATTGGAAAAATAAAACCCGCACCTTTTTCAATAGTCGGTGATGCCATGGAATTTTATAATACAAAAACTACGCCAATATCCGTCATGCCATGGAATGTCTGCTATAAAACAAATGAAATTCTATCAAAAACTATTATAATTAGAACAGCAAATTCAACATAAAGAAAGACCAAATTACTAAAAACGTTTTCCTAATATAACAATTTACAATAAACGTTCGAATAAGTCACCATTAACTGCAATACAGTAACCAAGTCGATCATAAAATCCATTTCGAACTGCTGCTAATAGATAACTGGATATCTTTTTGTTTTAGAAAATTCCATGGCATTGCAGATTATTGAAAAAGATGTGGGTTTTATTTTTCCAATTTTCCCTCTTTATTATGCAAAAAATTGAAAACTAATACGGCTGATTGACGTAAAAAATTTTTTTATACAAAAAACCTTAATACATTTTTGCTCTAAAATAATTTGGGGAGCCAATAATCGCATGTTATGAATTTTACATTGAAATCCCTATGATGCGTTAGGCAAGTCACCACCCTGTATAGTGTGTGTGACGTAACTGGTTAATATCATGAATCTTCTTTGGACACCGGTACAGATTTAAAATAATTTTAAGTCCTATTTAATTACGACTGCTATATCTGCATTAAGTTCTTGAAATATATACATCTAAGTCTCGACACAGATGTGATAATTTACCAAATCATATAAATTTCAATAACTTTTTTGTTTTTTGATCAATAGACTTAAACTTTTTTTAACCATAGGTAACTTTTGATTCTCCATAAAAAAAGTCTCTTGAGTTTTTTTGATATAATGTATACTTTACGAAATATTTAATAAATTCGAAAAAAATCAAGATGGCGGCCATTTTTTTCCAAGTTCCACCAATGCGACAAAGTGCGATTTTTGAGGGGTTAATAAGGACCCTATTGAGTACTCATTTCCGCAGAGATCACTTTGTTACTAATTTTTTCTACCTCACTTGTATAAACCTGCCTAGATTGACCAGCCTATTGTAAGGGGTCCAAACAGAGGAAGTCTGATGCGGCAAGGTGGGGTGTAGGGGAGATGTGTAAAGATCTCCCACCCCAGTATCTGAAGATTTTCTTTAGCCAGATGTGCCATATGTGGACGGACGTTGTTGTGAAGCCTTCTGTCGGCGTTTCGTTTAAATGGCGGGTCTTAACTGTCACTGTAGTACTACTGATTGTTGATTGTTCTTTGGTCTTCAAGAAAGTCACAATAAATTGGGCCCTGAAAATCCCAGAATACTGCAAGCATGACTTTACTGGCCGATGGCCGGGTCCTGATTTTTTTTCAGAGTTGGAGAAATCATATGCTTCCATTGAAGGCTCTGTCATTTTGACTCGTAGTGGTGGATCCATGTTTCATCACATGTTACAATTCTTTTGAAACAAACCTTCCCCTTTAGTCAAATATCGATTTTTCAACTGTTGACTAATTTAAAGCTTTATACAGGGTGTCTTAAATTGAGTTGGATAACATGGCTATCTTTGTTATTAATATACTTACAGATTCAGTTAAATTGGCAAAGTTGTGTGGTTTTTGATGCTGATAGATATTCCGATGCGATATTTTGAAAAAAATTATTAGTTTCGTAGATAATTGGAAAAAAGTGAAAATCGCCATTTTTAAAAAGTTCAAATACTTTAGTAACAAAGAGAGCTATTAAACAAAAGTTTCAAATAAAAGTTGCAAGATTCCATGGGGCGCAGTTGTCATTACAGCCTCAACCCAAAAGCTCGCAACGTAGTTCTGGTAGCTTCTACCAATGTTTGATTCTCTTTCTCAGCACCGCCATTTTATTGTGACGTATATGGCATAGATATTCGGTGCCGCAAACAATGCCCTTGTTCACAAATTTAGTACCACAATCAGTCAATTTCTTTGACTATGTGTCCAAAAATTTTCACTTCCCGCAAGAAACTGTTTTAAATTGTCCTTGATTTCTGACTTGGGGGATTTTTCTGGTTTAAACCCATACACATCAGCGTTGATGCCGTCACCTGGGATAGTTATTACCTCCACCGATTTTTCGAAGCTCAATTGGTTTGATCTCTATGGTTGAAGAAACAAAACTTCGTCCTTCAGAACCGAATAGCACCCTTGAAAAACACCTCAAAAGTAGAAAACCAATTGCAGTTCATGGTCATGTACTGTGCTGTAATCCAAACACAGATTTGACGATATCCCGATTGGCTAACAAACGCAGACCCTTCCTAACTCTTCTCAGACTTCTTACAGTCCCGCTTATAATGGCATAAGTCGCCACATTTGTAACATTTTGGAACAAACTTCTTTCACATGTCACCACTTCCACTGCCCATACTGTGACCATGCCCCTGGTTGGGTTTGTTGGGCTTATTTTTACTGGGAGAATAGGCAGCATTCTCAGTAGAACCATTTGAGAAGCTTCTATCATTCAAGCGCTTTAACCGAAAATTGCACCTACTAATTTGTTTAATTGAACATCCTAAGCTTACTGTACCTAATGGATAATCCAGCATTGCTTCAATAATTACATAGGTAATTGAAATATGAACTTAAATTGCTAATGAAACTTTCAGATGTGAAAGGTGTAATAAACTAATCTATTAGCTATTAAATTGAGTTTTTTCCATTTTATACATTCGCTGTGGCCATTTCCAGCTTTACACAAATGGTATTTATAGCCATTTTTATTACCTATTGTATTTATAACTGTAGTGTTATTATTACACTAGTTTTATAGTTTCATCTGCTTTAATTTCATGTTAACAAATTACCATACAGTCATTAACAATTATTATCTTTTGCAAGGTGAAAATGACCAATACTAATTTTTCAATTGTGAATATGCTGATCAACGTTTAGATCTGCCGTATTTTAGCCCTTTGCTTTCGAATGATTTTTAACACGTCAAAAGATTGACCAAGACAGGAAGATCACCAAACTCAATTCCCACCCACCGAGATGAGAGTATTTTGCCATCTCTGCAACAAAGTTATTGAATGGTGTAGATTTAGTCAAATTTGAAATTTACCTCGTACTTCTCTGACAAAACAGAAAAAAGTATTTGAAAAACGTTGCCACTAAAATGACGAATAAAAAATGTATCTTACATTCACGTTTTTTCCCCACGTGTAGATCAACATTAGTCAAAATAATTGGAGAAAAAACTACCAAATAAAACAATAGCGTTTGAATTACCTCGCAGTTAGTTAAGATGATGACAGATTTATAAATACAAATTTTGCGAGCAGGTTCATTAATTAAGAAGCTTTAAAAATATCCTTTCAGACTCCTTATAAAATTTCCAGTGAGCGAGTGGGAAAACACAAAATAGAAGAACAAAATGTACATATGCACTTATTTCGGTTTCTGCTATGCTTCGTTCGATAACAGCAATTATTAAATTAATCTTCTGCTATGTGGAATCAGTACATATATTGAACACTTCGCCAATAAAATTGGTGCATAAATACCGATTTTTTGCCCAAGCATATAGCAAAAAAGAACAGGCTATTCCTTATGCTGTCGAGGCAGTATATAAATAAACACTCATATGTTTGCATCGTTCAAGTGAGGCTGGAAGTGCAGCAAATGCACCAATTCTTTTGTTTCTCAATTAGAGCTCTTTCATACTTGAGTTTAAAAGCTAAATGATTTGAGGAATCCGAAAGAAATTAGCGTTTTCCCATCAAAATTAGTGCACAAACCTAGCCCCTTTTTTTTTAAGTATTGTCAGTAGAAAACTTCGACTTTAACCTTTGTTCAAGATTTTGACCGAATATACAGGGTGTTTCATATGTCTATATAGAGGGTCCCATTTAAAAAAATGCAACTTTCATAAATCACCCTGTATAACAATTGAAATTTCGTTGAAAATATTTGTAGGTTGTAGCCCTCGTTGTAGCCTTAAGAGTCCTGCAACATGCTCCGACAATGAATTTTAAATATGTGCGTTATAAACCCACAATCTTCCACCCACACACTAATGGCCCACCCTGTATAAATAATTTACGAATCACTCTATATTAGATGAAACATCAACATATTTAAAACTTGCTTTATTCAAGAATGACGCAATTTTAGCGCAACTCACAAAACTGGAGTACTTTTCTGTCTGCCATTCTGGGATATAGCTTGTCCCTAGATCATCACTTTATTGTCAAACATTAACCTAAATCCATATTTATGCACCAATTTTCTTAGAAAAAAGACCAAATGCACAAGAAATGTTTATAAAAACCCACCTTCCAACACCAAGACGTTCATCGAAGTCTTAAACCATTATTCTAGCACCTGAATAATTTACTCGTGAGCGTCTGAGCGATTTCAACAGCAACCCGAAAACTGGCAGTAAAAATGCTACAACTGAGGAAGGCACGACCATCGACCTACTTTACACAAGCCAATATACAAGCCAGAAAATATCCAAGTGTTATTATTGAAACTTCATTATTAGTAAATTTCGAGTAATTTTTATTCAAAATTTAATTTCCTTTCAAAATACATACAAACATAGCGTGTTCTACTAAATGGTTAATTTTTAGAATATCTCGGTAGTTTAGTTGAAACACACTGTACACTAAGAATAGTGATATAATCACAAAATCACCTGATAATGCCTGTGTGAACAGGACACGCCGTGTACAAAATTCTTGGCAATGACCATTAATAATTACACAATAAATTCCATGTCAAGAACGTAAATGTTAATTATCATACAAATTAATATAATTCCACGATCACCTCTCCGTGTTAAGCACATGTTAGCACACTTGATTAATTCAATAAAGAATCTGCCAATCCTGTCGCTAGTCCAGAAAACAATTGAGGATAATAACTACGACTGTATTTTTAGATACGCACAAATCAAAAAAACCTTACCTTTTCCTAATAGACGTACTTGTCAACCCATGATCATTAAAACAATTAAACTAATTTTAAATTGGACTAATAAAAGTACCTACCTCCACCTTTCTATAAATATAAATCTATTTACGTTGTAAATACCTATGGGGTGGGGTGTAAAAATGTAGTACATTTGCACGGTTGCTAGGATACAAAACATCTTGCTCAGATTTGCCGTGTTGACAATACCACTTTCACCAGAGTGCATAATTATAAATATGCATCACTTTTACTTCCTTGATTTAAAATTCATAAAGGAGATTTAAAAATAAACATGTTTCGATGACTTTCATTACCATTTATAGAACCTTGCGTACCTTGTAATTACTGCTCTGCATCCACGGTATTAGACCGTCGATCAATTGTCCGATATCCTGGCATATTATCGAATTGGATGGTTCGTCCAAGTAAGCGAGTAGATCGATGCCGAGTTGCTGACGAAACTTTGTATCAGCTTTGGGTAAATGCGGCATGAAACCGTCCAGATCCTTCGGACATACATAAGCCATTTTGGGCTTTTTTGCTGAAAGTACGTAAAAATCAGGAAATGCAACACTCCCACACGCATCGCCAAAAAGGTGAGGTGCCATCGACGGGCGGCCCACATAAACATGTTTACAATTCGCAAAACAACACGGGTTTTTCAACCGTCTTCTTATAAACACTTTGACATCAAAGGGAGGAAGAAATCAGAGGTAAGTAGTTACCGACAGAGGGTGAATAAAAGGATTACTTACCGTTTATGTTATTGTAAATATCATTAACAACGTGATATAGAAAAATATGAACAAACTAAACAGTACATCTACAGTTGCTCGGACTTAAATACACAATTTACAAATTACATTACACTGCAGCCATGTTCGAATTCACTTTGACACTTGACAGTTTGTGACAAATTTTTGTTTTTTACAACTCAGTGGCGTAACGTCGAGCGCGTTCATTATTCTATTCGAACCAAAGGCTATTTTATTAAGTGATTGAGAGAGAAGAGAAAACGACCCTAATAATAAAACTTCATATGTTCTCGTCGTAAAATTACAGAAAAGAAATTTAATATGAATCTTTGACGGTAAATAGCTTATACGCCTGTTGCGGTTAACATGCACCATTGTTTAAATATGTTTACAATGCCTGCACTTAATTTAAAATAGCACTCTTCAGACATTTTGTAGCCCACTGATAATCCACATATGTACACAAAAAGTGTTTACGGTGGTTTTTCTTTAAATAATAAGAATAACATAATGCATGCAGAACATGGAACATTTTGCAAGCGTCAAATGTGGGTTCCGACGACGGCACTACTTCTCCACATAATTGTGATTTTTAAAAATAGGATGAAATACAAAAGTATAATCTATATTCGGTATTCCTCACAAGAATATAACGCCACGTTTTACCTGTAGCCGATTTCTTATAAAACGATAAGCAAGAACAGCACTTAAAAAATACGAAAAAGTCGGAGTGCGCACTACTGGAATATACAACCGTCCCCCGTCCCGAGAAGCTGAGCAAGGGGGGGGGGGCGAAGTGTTCAATTGAAGCCACCGAGATACGGAAAAAGCTTAATATTGCGGTCCATAATATGTACAAATCGCGTGGTACAGAGGAATCGGTATGAGTGAATTTTTCGGATAAAGACGTAAATTTCGAGAACAAATTTAAAAAAAAGGAGTTAGGGGGCGGGAGAAGTACTAAACGGGACGCGGAGCGGCACGACGCTTCAAACACGAGACGCGCACCCCTCCATTTCCCTTTCCGCATCAAAGTAATGTTCGCAGGCGCCGTAACATGGGCGAAAGAAGGGGGCGTCTCGAGTTGGGATAGGCTATTGGAGCACCTCGCTACTGATGAAATCAAAATGAATATTTCGTGAACGAAGTGTCAAACTGACAATTCGAACGTATGGATAAAACATATCTATAATAGTAGAGTTAAAACTTGAAGTGCAAATATATCGAGAACCAAAAGTCGAAAAGAGGTTACTCACAAAGAGAGATTGGAACGTGTGTACGATACGTATTTATGGGTAATTTGAAAACTTCAAGTGCGAATATCTCGAGAAAGTACTTTTGTGCGAGGATCCACAGGAGTTGTGCACAACTTGTACCTACTTATGTACATATTTATTGTATATTTTGTTTGTGTCTTTTTTCTTCTTTTGCGATCTTGCGTTCTTTGGCATCTTTTTCGGTAGTTTCTCGTCTTTTTTTGTGTTTCGTTTGTGTCTTCTTCTATACTTCTTGTTAGTATCTTTGCTTAGTGATTTTGTTCTGCTATTACTTCAATTTTGTGTGTTTCTTTAATTTGCATCTTTACTGTACCCTCTTATTTTTGTACTTTTTTTTAACGCATTTTTGCAAACATATAAGGTGTTTGTAAAATGGTAGCTTTTAATTTGACTGCTGGCTGGCAGAAAATGGGGGCCCGTAGAAAGTCGAGGGGTGTACCTACTGGGGCCGCGTAAATAACAACTTTAGGGACGGAGTTACATGATGTGACGCGGCGACATCTAAGCGCCATCCCCAAGCGTGTTATACTAACGCGGTAATTTTAAGTAAGCGAGCAAAACTTCTGCGTGACAGAATTTGTTTTTTCCCAACTTTTCTAAGGCGCGCATTTTCGAGGGGTAATCGATTTCGGAAACCGAAAAGTTTCTTAAAGCTCGAATCGCGGTCTCGAGGTATGGGAAGTGCCCCAAAAAGATTGAGTATTGTAACGTGATTTATAAATTCGGGTTCGATATATATCAATATTTATTAAACAAAACTAAAACACTATAAAACCCGTACAATTTATATCGATTATTTATATCACACACTACGCAATTTATATTTCCGCGCTCGATGTTTCATACGTACTCGATCTCATTCGGTAGTAGACTGCCGCGCTGTTCGGTCCGCAACCATTTATACACGCAAGCAATGTAAGTCCAGAACATTCGCGGAATTACCGGAATATTCCTATACAAATCCCACTATCGCGCGCGTAGAAAATTCCAGAGCGCCAAAGGCGACGTCATGTCTGGAGCGTTTCCGTTACAGTATTATATTTACCTTCTCTGCAGAGGCACCTCTAAAAAGCATTATGCGGGTCACTCTGTAATTGGGCGCGAGCCTGTTGAGGGCCCAGAACAAGAGAGGGATAATAAATAAAATAAATAAATATTGTGGAGAGTTTTTAGCTAAATACACCAAAATGCGAATTGCGGGTGAAAGGGACGTTGGAAGTGAGTAGCGACAAAAGGAATGTGGTAGCCCCTTATCGATGGCGGAGTCAAATTAATATGCCTCCATAGTCCATCCCACACGAAGACTGTAATTTTTTGCGTTTATGAACTTTGTTGTGCATTTCAATTTTTTCCTCTGTTTTGTATCTTGCATTTGTGCCTTTCTTTTGCATCTCTTTTACGTGTCTTTTTTATGTAATTTTTGGCGTACCTTTTTCCCCTGTTTCTGTTACTTTTTTTATTTTTTTGTATCTTTTGCTTGTGTATTTTTTCGTATTTTGCGAGGTTTGCGTTCTTTAGCATCTTTTTTTCAGTAGTTCGTCTTACTGCTTTGTTGATACATTTTTGTTTCTTTTTTTCTTGCTTTTTGTATTTTTTTGTGATTCTTTTTGAGTCCTTTTACCGTTCATTTCTCTGTTGTTGTAATTCCTACGTCTCTGTTTGTTTTTCTTTTTTTTAGTATTTCCGCTGGTTTTTATGCTTAATAGAACGCAGCTTTAAATAAAAATGGAGGCTCCATAAAGAAATTCTCCATTAACGATTCTTTTAATGTTTAATGTATTTGTATTCATATAATGACAGCGACGTCAGAAGTATGGGTCAGAGGGGGCGAGTGGCCGCCCTCAGTTTTTACACAAGGGGGGCCGTGCCCCCATCTAAGAATGAGTAGATAAATCACTCAAAAGCGACTAATACATCTTCTACTGCATATGTGCATGCAGAAATTACAAAAAGTGTAGAAGTAGAGGATATATTGAAAGAATTTACCAGCAAAACTGCGAAAAAGCTGAAAATTTTTGGATGTATTTAAATTTTTATACTTGCTTTTCTTTACAATGCAATAACTGTTTGTATGTTCTAGTTCTCATTATTTTTTAAATAAAATAATGATCTATGGATATGGTTTTCTCAATCGAGTAAATAATCTCTTCAGTTGCTCAGTTGCATATAACTAGACATCCTCCGACACTTTTCTTTCAAAAATACATTATTTTGATTGATTGATTAAATAAACAGGTTTCAGGGCACTTAAAAAACCCACTGCTTTGCATTAATTCGTACACAATTTTGCATGGGGGGGACCTTTCAGACTCTATGGTCGCTGATTTTTGCCCCCAGCCCCCCAACCGTTATTCACTTCCGACGTCGCTGAATGAAAATATATAAACACAGTCCATTAATTTGGAACCTCTTCTAAAAGGAATTCAGTACCCATTAAATAATAAGAGCTATCATATTGAAAAAAAATGACAATTATAATTTGGGCTGCAAACGCCATTTTTAACATAAGTTAAAATATATTTCTTAGAATTTAAAAATGAAACAATGTTAGTGTTCCGTTTAAAATAATCTAGTTTTCCACAAACTAAAAAATATTTTAGATAAACATATTAACATTAGTATATTTTCAAAATATTCTGAAATCTTCTTCTAGATATAGATAGCCGTGATTCGTCGTGGGACTTCTTGTATCTATTACATTGGTCCTTTGAGCCGAATCAAATGTCTTTTTCGCTTTTTTTTAAATATTGTAACGACACTTTTTTCGCAACAGTTAATCAACGGGAAACTAATTAAAAAACGGCGTGCGATGGGAGTCCGCGGCTATCTAGTTATTTGTTTATAAAATAGAAATCTGCGTTAAGATGCCCATTCTCGCATTAAAATTCTAGTTATGTAAAGCGCCAAAATAGTTCACGTATAGAAAACGATGCGATAGCACCGTAGCGGTTAAATGAAAAATACGCATCCAACGCATTGTGTACAGATTCAATTGATGGATACTAAGGTGACTCATCTAAATGAACGCAGTTCCTTGTCCTAATCGCACAAGAAGCGAAAAAATTTAAACGTGAAACAAATCGAAATTCAAAGAGCCCTATCTAAAAACAATCTTAATTCTCACCTGTACCTTTCGACGCACGCGCATTGGTAGAAATTGTATAGGAAAGCGCGTGGGACGCCATTTTAATGTGATGCTTTGTATTTGATAAAGGTTTTCAGTGTAAACAACAATTCCGAAAAAATGGATAAGGAACGGCAGATGCGGTAATACAGGTAATAAAATCAATTACGTTAATTATGTTCGGCCTATTCGAGTATTTTCCCGCTAAAGTTTTCGCTGGCGTTCCGCTCGTATTTCTACCGAAATTATTGCGACCAGTAGATCAAAAATTTTCGGTTTTTGTTCGAAGGGCGGTTTATTATCAATTTAAGGGATGTTTACGAGGGACTGTTTTCGAATTAATTGTGTTTATTTTGATTTTCTGCAACGCGGGAATTATCTAGGACGCCCACTTCGTTTTTTCTACTTTTAGTTTAGTGGGCATGTGCAATAAGGTTGAATTTTCTTTAACTTTGATCGTATACTACCTGTAATTAATACAAAAATTTAATCCAAAATGATTTCTTTCGGTATATTTTAGTCATAAATTAGCCCTATCTTATGTCTTATCTAAAGCAATACAAACTCTTATCAGTATTGCATTATGTTTTTTTCTTCACAAATTGTTTTTATTTATTAAATTTTCTATTTATAATATTTTTGCAATAGCACGAGTGGTTTGTTGCTTCCGAGAAGTCTGAAAAAAATAATGGTTTCGTTTTAGACTCTTTATGGGAAAGCGATGTGGCTTAGAAGTGAGAAACGCAACAAACCACGCACATTTACACTATGCGCAAATAAACTCAAGCGGACTTCGATGAAACGAAGTTGCTGGTCACAAAAGAAGGTGAAGAATTTGGCCCTTTCGATATGCAATGATTACTGCGACAGTAAAAAAGAGAAGGTTTTCGTGGTGGGCTGCGTGAAAACCAACGTTTGCAACAATGTGGAAGTATCGTCCAAAGAGGAGTGTAAGGAAAACTACGAAGCCCAACTTGTTCCCGACCTTTACGTGTTTCGCAATTTGGAAAACAACGCCAACAACAAATGCCCAAATTTGGACGACTTCGAGACCGTAATGGACGAGCATTCCGCAACTAAAAACTTCAACAACACAGTCTTCTCAGTCAATATGAACCTACCGAATACAAGCAACGAGGGCACTTCGGAAAGCTACACGCTCCACGAAAGCCTGCCCAAGGAAATTGAATACTCCACGATCGAAATCGATTCAGATTTAAACATAAACTGCGCAAACTCCAAGAGCGGCGATTTTTCCTATCCGACATTCTCGGAGAAAATCTGCGACGCCATGTACTACGACTATCAGGCAGTTAAGTCGGATTACCAGGAATATCCTCTGATAGGCGATCTGAGCAACGTAAATACTCAAGACTTTACAACGTTATTAGACGAAGAAATGACTAAAAATACCTTAATCAATATTAATAGCGTCGGGAATAACATAGACTACGATTTTAATGTGCAATACTGTCCGAATTTACCTAACTCGTCGATCATCACTAGCATAGTACAGCCGACCGGAAGTTTGGAAGAGGAACGGTTAGATAGAAATCCGGAGCACGTCGAAGTCGAGGACACGTGGGAGGCTTTCGATCCGTATTTTTTTATCAAGCATTTGCCGCCGCTTACTTTCGAGATGCGTTCGAAATGTCCGGCTCTGCCGCTGAAAACCAGATCCAGTCCAGAATTTAGTTTGGTGAGTAAATCGTGTTCCAATGGAGAGAATTGAGGAATTTTATTGGATAATTTTTGAACTTTAATAATTAATAGAGGGCCTGGTATTGAAAGTCAGGGTTGAGATGATAGCTCAATTTAAATCACCGCAAAACATTGGAAGACTTATTTATACAGGGTGTCCAACTAAAATTTCACCTCTTAATAGTCATTTGTTTCATCAGATTTCATTGAAAGGACACATGACATGAAGAATGATTTTTTTTTTAGATTTATGTATGCATGATTTGGTTTACACAACAGACAGTACCTATAAGCAATAGGTCTGTCTTGCCCAGTATTTCGCAGCAAAAATACGCTCCAAGGAAACCAGGTTTTTATGATTGTCACAAAAAACCTTTGAATTAGATATACAGGGCGTAACAATTTAGTATGTTAAAAAAATCGAGTATAATACAAAATTCTTGAATAAAATTTGATATTTGAGTATCTTCAGATACCATATTTTATTATTTATTTATATTATGTTTACAATATTATATTATATATATACAGGGTGTCCCTAAAAGGTCTGTACAACGCGCTACCAGGGGTTCTTGGTATCAAAATAGGACGATTTAACCCAACTTACCTCTATCCAAAAGTGCTTCGGTAAGGCGCTATCTACCGCCAAAGATTTTAAAAAAAAATCGTTATTTTTATTTTATCGGAAAATGGTTTTGCCGATTAAAATGAAATTCGGGATGTGAATGTCTAATGTAAAAAGGGTCTTTGTGATATCATCGTTTTGATTGTAGTTGCTATCTAGGTGGTAAAATACTGACCATCCACATCTGAAGAGGTCTAAAACTTTTTAACTACTATTTTGACGGTTCTGAATTTTTAGACACTGATAGACAGTTTACTTGCAAGCATTTTTTGTCTCTGGATGAATATCGCTATCTGTGATGGTTTACAAAAAAAAAAAATTTAGGCATGATGAATGGCATGCACCATACATGCGATTGTTCCTCAAAAAATCAGAAGATGGCTGTGAAACAGAGTGGCGTAACGTTTGTTTGTTGTTTCTTAAACTTTAACAATTTACGTTTTGCTTGAAGACTTAAAATTTTATTGTTAAAATTGTAATATGGCCTTTCAATACAGTAACGCAGAGTTAACTGATATGCTATTAGTGTTTGGATACTGTCGTGGAAATGGTCGCCAATGCGTTAGGGAGTATATTCACAGGTTTCCAAATCGTCATAGCCTACTTCTTGCTTGCACTTATGGTTTTTGAGGAACAATCGCATGTATGGTGCATGCCATTCATCATGCATAAATTTTTTTTTTTTCGTAAACCATCACAGATAGCGATATTCATCAAGAGACAAAAAATGCTTGCAAGTAAACTGTCTATCAGTGTCTAAAAATTCAGAACTGTCAAAATAGTAGTTAAAAACTTTAGACCTCTTCAGATGTGGATGGTCAGTATTTTACCACCTACATAGCAACTACAATCAAAACGATGATATCACAAAGACCCTTTTTACATTAGACATTCAGATCCCGAATTTCATTTTAATCGCCAAAACCATTTTCCGATAAAATAAAAATAACGATTTTTTAAAAAAATCTTTGGCGGTAGATAGCGCCTTACCGAAGCACTTTTGGATAGAGGTAAGTTGGGTTAAATTGTCCTATTTTGATACCAAGAACCCCTGGTAGCGCGTTGTACAGACCTTTTAGGGACACCCTGTATTATAATTTTGGATTGTTATTTTATTGTTGATAAACACCCAGATATCACATTTTCTGGAAAATTTGGTACAATTTGGTCTAAAACTGGTTTTTTACAGGTATTGGACTTGGACGAAACGTTAGTGCATTGTAGTCTTCAAGAGCTTCCAGATGCTAGTTTTCACTTTCCCGTACTATTCCAAGATTGTTCGTATACAGTTTACGTCCGCACGCGACCGTATTTTAAAGAATTTCTCGAGAAGGTCTCTCAGATATTCGAAGTCATTCTCTTCACTGCTTCCAAGCGTGTGTACGCCGATAAATTGTTGAACTTGTTAGATCCGGAAAGGAAGTGGATAAAATACAGACTATTCCGTGAACATTGTGTTTGTGTCAATGGGAATTATATTAAGGATTTATCAATCTTAGGACGCGATCTCTCTAAGACGATTATTGTCGATAATTCTCCCCAAGCGTTCGGTTATCATGTAAGTGTCTCACATGAATAAATGATTAATCTATCTAGCAATCTTTCAGCTAAATAACGGAATTCCGATTGAAAGTTGGTTCGTGGATCGTTCCGATTCGGAATTACTGAAGCTTTTGCCATTTTTACAAGATTTAGTCGAGATGGTAATATTTTTTTTTCATTTGATGTCGATGTTATCGTGTCATTTGTAGAGGGAAGACGTCCGACCGCACATTAGGAATAAGTTCAAACTCTTCAGTTACTTGCCGCCCGATTAAAAGGCGCCACTTTAGATCTCGTTAGTTGTGGAATGGGAAAATGCGAATTCTGACTGACATTTGCAGATTGAAGTGCCTATTTATGAATGTAATGTGCAAGAGAATGTTGTGTTTAAGTTTCTAATCATGATCTTCAATTTTGTGTTGTTATGTATATTTTTTATTTATTGTTGATTCTACACGAGTTGTACTTACGTATTAAGTCATTATTGTTGAATTAAATGTAATCAAAATTACATTTTATCGTGCGCGCGCGTCTCTCGTTTCTTAAGATGTTAATCGTTAGTCAGAATTTTGCAATATTATGGCGCAGTTGTAAAATACCTACTGTATTATTGATATAGGGAACAATATAACAAGGTAGATTTATTCTTGCCACATATATATAGTTAGAATGGCAGTATTGTGCAAAAATTATATTATTTGTTATTTTTGTTAAATTTTAGAAACGTATACGTAAGATCTTAAATCAGTGTTATTAATCTTTTATATTCTAATGGAATACGTTTTATTTTTTGTTCAAGTACTACGTACAAACACCAGAGTGCTACCGTCGAACGCATCAATGATCACAGTTTTGTAACATGTTCAGATCTCATATTGCTCCGCAATTAAAAGCAAAACATTATTTATTTGCTTTTAAATTTTAAGCAATTTCAAGGTAATAGGTTTACTAAAATATTTTACATTCTAGTATAATATATGTTATCCAAAGTGAGCTGATTTGATACGCGTAGACATTTTTGTCTGTGAAGCAATCATTAAATCGGCTCCCTTTCCGTATGTTACTGTTATGATTAAAGCAGCATGCAATCATATGGCAACTATTTCAATAATTTTTCTGTCTCGTCTATTAGCAATAACAGCATCATTCAGAATACTTGTAATGTATGCACGTAACATTTTCAATAAAATTTTTCTTTACTCGTTATATTGGCGGTTTATTTATAAATTTAGGAGTTTAGTTGCTACGAGGGATGTAAATTGTATATTCATTCAGCAACCTGGGGGGAGGATACAGTCAGATGTATCACATAGTCCCTCGTTTGGTTACTTATCAATGCTCAAGAATCATAACCTTCTAAGAGAAATTGGTAGCTCGAACAAGATAGTAGTTATACACTGCCTTTTTGTGAGGCCCCAGAAAAAAATTGTCTCGGATCGACCGGGAAAAAACATTTTCTTATAGAATGTGGCCTGTAGAATCCATAATTTCAAACAGTTCCAAGATTGGGCTACTAGTTCAAAAGTTACAGCCTTTTGAATTTTTTTTCGAATTTGGTTTCTAGTCTATAACTTTTGATTGAGAAGTCTAATCGAAAAAGTACGAATTGTTTTGGATTCTACGCACCAAAATTAATAAGAAAAAGTGTTTTCCCAAGAAATTTTGGTGTAGTCGATTTTTGGTAAAAAAGGAAGGTTATACACTGCCTTTTTTTGAAGCCCGCAAAAAAAATTGTCTCAGGTCGACCCGGAAAAAAATTTTTCTTATAGAATGTGGCCTGTAAAATCCATAATTTCAACCAGTTCCAAGATTGGGCTACTGGTTCAAAAGTTACAGCCCTTTGAATTTTTTTTCGAAATTGGTTTCTAGTCTATAACTTTTGATGGAGAAGTCTAATCGAAAAAGTACGAATTGTTTTGGATTCTACGCACCAAAATTAATAAGAAAAAATTTTGGTGTAGTCGATTTTTGGTAAAAAAAAGGAAAGTTAAGTATTCAAATACTATGCGAAGTATTCGAATACTTCTCAAAGTATTCAAATACCTTGCGAAGTATTCGAATACTAAATATTTGTGAAAGTATTTGAGTTACAAAAACAAATACTGCTTCCATAAAAGTATTTGAATACTTTAAAGGATTTAAATTAAAGCCCCATATTGTTAGAAACAATTTAATCCACACAAGTGGGCATAATACAATCACGTGAGTGATGCAATGCGTAAGTATAACTTGGTATAAAAGACTAAAATAAGTGGTAGAATCCCTCGACTTTTTATCAACGATAGGATTGAAAAAGGTGCTGTTTTTAAACAATTGACTGTCCTATAAGGCAACCCTCTAGTATTACATTTCTCAATTTATTCACAGTCACTTCATGAAGAAAATTGTATAATGTAATACTCAATCTTAACGTCCAAACACTTTACGATCTTCATGAATGTGAAGTTCGGTGCTACCAACCAATTTAAAATTTTGTTGGAACAGGGAAAATGAGGTTTATTTTACAAATTATTTGTGTGTGTGGTGCGTAAATGTAACCAAATTGATGTTAAGGGTGGAAATGATAAAATTCCGTGATCGCCAAAATAAGAACCACTCCACCTAGGCTTTTGAAATTAAAACTCTAAGACACACAATGAAAAATATCTTTAATTCATAACTTTCTTGTAATTTAAAAATTTAATACGTATAGAAATTCTTTAATTAGTAAACAAATGAACAAATTCCTTTGGCGCATCTGCTACTCTTTTTCCAATAAATTTTGCTGTTTCTCTTAAATCTCTTTTATTCTCAACATCTCTTTTATGTACTTTTTCAAAGTATTTGTCCATTTTTGTTCTTGTTCCAATCACATTTGCGATGGCTTGGTAAGACCTACTAAAGATAAACTTTGTAGCCATGAAGGTATGCGTTGTAGGAATGTAACTGTCCTCCCATTTCTGCCTGATACATATTGTCCTAGGTGCGGATAGTTCGTGTTGTGCTTCTTGGCCAAATATCCTGCTATACAGGGTCGCTGATAAGTCTGGAAACAGTCGATTATTGGGGAAACTATACAAGGTATCAAAAAGTTTTATACAAAAGATTTGAGGTTCTTTAATGTCTAGTAGGCAGTAGTAATTTTAATTATACAGGGTTTGCGAATTTCGTTATGATTATTTGAAATCATTAATTATTGTTTTTTGGTCAATTATATTATGACTTTTAAAATAATAGCGTTTATTTTCAAAACTCGATAACCCTGAAACGATTGAATTATGGTACATTATCGATAAGTTAAAATTTAGAGAAGAATTGCAATATTGAATAATATACAGGGTGTGCCATGCCTTTATGAACAACCTTGTATAATTAAAATTATTACCGCCTAGTAGACATTGAAGAACCCCAAAACTCTTGTATAAAACATATTTCGATATCTTGTACACTGATAAATCGACCGTTTCCAAACTTATCAGAGACCGTGTATAGGCTAAGCAGTCCTTTTCAAATTCTGTTTGGAAGTACTGCTAACTGATGATGAGGTTGTACTCTCATAATCTAAAATTGATCTCTCCGTTAATTCGCCTGTTTGAAGACATCTGCCAATAACAATTGATCCTCTTGTAACCTTGGGGAAGATTCCACATTGTAATGTTTCGACACAAAACCAGGATTTTTTCCAAGCAGAGTAATTTGTATCCTATATAGGCCACTTAACGGAGAAAAGATGATCATGCATACCTCCCTGAGTCACAAATCATTGTCTTTATTTTCTCTTGAAACCCTGCGATGAGCACTTTCAGAAACCTCCAGTGCTTCATTATCACTAAACGGAAGAAATAATGTTGGGATAGCTAAAAAGATGAACATAAGTAAATAAAAATTTAACTCCTATAATAATTAGGTGTATGTATTTTATTTAATTTTACGTACCATCTTTTTTTAAGTGTTTTGGATGATAATTCAGTAAACGGGCTTGAAGTTCATCTTCATAATCAGATAAAAGGAAGTGCTTGCTACATATTCGCTTATTTTTAGGGTTCCACTTATCCTTACGACAACATACTCTTACCCATTCTTTAACAATGTTAGGATCTTTAGGAAATGTAAAAAAGGAGATTTTGTGTACACCTGAATCAGAAATTCTGGAATTGCTTTTGCATGTAACTATGGTACATGTGTTACCACCACTCATCTAAAATAATAATTAATTAAAAAGTGCATATTATAATTTGGGAACTAACCTTTAAATCACAGCTATGAAAACACACACACAATTCACAAACTATGTCTTTGTATTGTATCAATCCAGTATCTATAGCTAATGTCTTTACACAAACTTCAAAATTCAACAAAGGTTCAGCAATTACTTTACTCGTTACACTACAACAAACGAACCATAGACAATGTGCTTTGTCTATGAAACGAACAGTGGTGAATGGTGAACGTCAATTTTATCATTGAATTTATTATAAATTCAATGATTTTATTTATGTCGTCCCGATGACGTATTCATCCCGTCCCTCCCGCTTCCGCCATTACGGTTACCAGGTAACAGCGTTGCCAGTTATTTTTAAAATTGTACTGAAATGTGAATGAAAATGTACTAAATTTAATTTTTTGTACTAAAATATGAAACTGATGATTTTCATTTATTACTTCAAAGGTGTAATTCAATTAGCTATAAATTATCATGAAAAAGATGAATAACAAATAGTAAATAACAGCAACAAACAAGACCTCACTAAAAAGTGGTGAAAGTAGCGTTTCTTAATTTTTCCCTCAGCAACCATAAGAGTTACAATTTACAAAGACTGGAGGCACGTCTTTGAATGGGTTTTTGGGTACGCCCTTTCCGATTTTGTACAAATTTTTTTCAAAATTCCTACTACGAAAGGGCGCACCCCTAAAAAGAGGTGCGGAAAAAAGTCTGATTTCGACGAAAATTGGTAAATGGAGGGTTTTGAACATGAAATGTTACAATACGTATTTTCGCCACCAACCTGTTAAAACCAACAGTTTCCCACTTGCTTTTTTTTTTGTGTGCCGTACATAGTCGTATTCTTAAAACATGCTACTCAATACAGTATTCACTTTTTTTACAGGTCGTCAGATTACATAAAAAAATACAGTTGATAATTTCTCCAAAACGAAACCTGGTATTAAAAATTTGCCAATTTCAATTTTCCTGGTATATCTTCAGAAGTAATGGTTTTCAAGATCCTAAAATGCATTAAAAATGATTGTTGATAATCAAAAAATTTCTTTAATTTAGATAAGAAAATAATACAAAAAACACTTCAATGTATCATATGCGCCAACTCCCACTTTTGATTAACATCAATTGGTCCCTCAATTTTTATCCCATCCTCAGTTATGATCCCAATCTGATATTTTGGGAAGCTTCTAGCATCTCGGTAGTACAGCACTTCCATACATTTCTTCAATAGTGCTACAGCTTCGACTTCTGACAAAAGAGGATTTTTGTCAAGCGCATCTCTTATAAGTGGAAGTGCTAAATGTGCTCCGTACCCAGTGCAGATGGCCTTATCTTCGTACGCTGTACCTAACTTATCGACGGTGCCCAAAAATGGCACGCCATCCTAAAATAAACAATTTCATTAGACGATAATAGAAACACGGTAAAAACCTGTAAGCCGCCAACGACAAATGTATTCCAGAACGGGTCAAAACGACTTCTTCGATTATACATGATTCTGGTTAACCAACAGTATAACGATTTCGGTTTTAGTTTGAAACCGTCATCGAGACATTCCTCGTCGATGCTGAAACCAATCTTTGTGTTACAAAAGTCCTTTTGTAATCCGACGCAAACTTACACTTTCTGTTCAATAAAATCTTTGACATACTGAAAGTCGCCATAGTCACCTCCGGCGCCCAGAATAATGTTGTCGTTAACCTTCATTATCCTCGGGCAATCGCGAAAACGAGCCAGTGATCCATACGATGCCAGTAAATCACCGGCAATTATCACTCCCGAATTAAAAGCGAACGCAATTACTGATGTTGCCGTTGTAACAGGGGCCCTACCGCGAATTAGGGATGAATGCAATTGCAAAGGGAATGGGGTACTTACTGCGAATGTTGGCTTATATGTTGCTTGTCAACATTAGATCCTGGAAAATTATAAAAAGCGCCGGGAACGGGCCCATTCTTCCATAAAGGAGGAGCGCCAAACGAATCGGTAGGATTAATCATTTTGTTATTAACAAATTTTGATGTCTTTCGCAGGTTATGTATTTTAATTTTACGGCAAGTAATAAAGATGACTTACAAAATTTTCGTGAATTTTGATTGGTTAATTTTTCACGATAGCAATTACCAACCTAACAAAATAAAATCTAATGCGTTTAAAAAGCAGGACCGTACTTAAAAACCAGTCTCAAAATTATAGTCGAAAATACAAAACGTGTTGAGAGAAAGTGTTTAAAATGTGAAATGGTTTCTGTACGTTTATTTAAATACACAATATGATAAAATAATTGCAATAAAATTTACATTGATCAGTATTTCAAATGTATCATCTCATTATTCGATTGGACGCTTAGAACACACAAATAACTAATAAATTGGGAGTTTTTTATTGGGCCATGTTAGATTTTTCACACATTTAATAAGGTGTTTTGAAAAGGATCTCTAAGTAAAGCATTATAATGGGCCTAAATGAAAGCTCTTGTAGGTGTCTAAAACTTCTGCAAACAACTCCTTAAAGGCATTAGAAGCCTTTGGAAAGGTGCTATAAGGCATGATAAATGCCTGAGAAAGTTCAAATAATATTTGCAGAAAGAAAAATGTAAAATATTATAATTATTTAAAATTTTATAGTAGTCTGTTGTAGGATAAGAATATTTGTATTCGATTGGAAACATTATACCTCAATTTCATTGAATCAAATCACACACACTTTCCTTTACAGAAGAAAAGGTTAGTTAGTATAGGTGAGGTATGTTAAACATAAATAGGAAACTATTAAAATAAACTGCTGCATTTATTATTTGAGTAACTAGCACTTATAATTGTCAACAAAAAAATAGAAATAAGATTTTTTGGTACTTACAGTTTTAACAATATCACAAGATTATTCGACAAAAAACTAAATCGACAAAGAGATTTAAAAAAGATGCATTTGCACATACCAGAGCTTAAGCACTTTGCATGTAATCCGTCCACTGCACGTACAAATGGTTGGTGTTTGTCAGTTAAGTACATTATTGCCTCGACACATTAAATGCATACCAAGGAAATGACGCTTAAAATATAGTTACTAACTGTCACGACAATAACGCCTAAAGATATACAAACAAGCAAGCCAAAGGCGCCGCACAATAGCAAGTGTAGAAAAATTGACAACGGTATAAGAGGTGAAATGAGGTAGAGTAATTTCTTTGTTGACTTGCCCATTCTATGACGGAGCTACATGAACGGACTACAATATGAGATTGATCCTCCAGAAGATAAAAAATGAGACTACAATATAACACAGTATATGATAATGACATTTATATAAAAAAGTAATGTTATTATTACGTGTGTCTAACACATTTTATTTTATCCTACACATTTTGGTGATTTATTACAAAATACTAACCGAAATTTAACATTTGTAGTATAGGATAAAATAAAATATCTAAACAAACATCTCCTCGAGATTCTTAAATTTAAAGTAAATAGTATACTATTTGTTATATACAACAAAAAATAGTTTTTATTTCATGGACCAGTCAGCGTCACTTTGGGTAAAAACCAATTTTTTTTAAACAGCAACAATTTATAAAGTGCAACAAACTTAAATATTCCCATTTGACTCTGACTAGAAGAGATTACTTATATCAAATATTCTTAATTTTATTAAGACTGTATAGCATAGCTATGTCTTCATAATATTGGAACACATTTCACTCCTATTTCCATTTGTGTTAACTCCACGTTGGATCGTACCCTTTCCAATTCAAACTCGGCGTTAAGTATACAGTTCGTCCCTTGTAATTAAATGTTACAATGCCTTTATAACCCGTTCGTGGTACACCGCTCTGCGAACAAAAATTATTTGAACTGATACCTTTTACACGTCATAGAATGAATGTAAGAAGTGCAGCACAGAATGTATCACTAGTAGGTCTGGAATAACCCCCCCCCCCCCCCCCAAACAATACATCCATCGCCATTTCTGGAAGAGCATGATCTAAAACATTTTATCCGTTCACGAATTATAAGTATTAATGTTATTGGCGCTAACACAGAAACGCACCCACCCATTCAAACGCTTATTGCAGTATTGTAGACACAGATTTTCATATTTAAATATGTGTCATTCATAGACAATTGACGATGGACGTATGTCATCGCGGAGTTTATTGTGAGAGATTGCAATTTGTCTTCTATAAATTTTTTCCATCTATTTTGGTTTAACTGCGTTTTGAAAGAGATGCGCGCGATCATGATTTTCATAAAAAAAACACCTGAATGTGTGATAGATTGAGTCAATGTTTCCCATGTCTCAACCATAAAATGTGGATTCATTATCACAGTGCTATACAGCTCATAAAAATGATACCAGTTTACCAGGAGGATTAAAATAGTATATCTGTGTTTGTATAATGCCAATATCTGCTTCCATTTTTGCACATTACCATGTTAGCTAAGTATAAACACGCCCGATGTTAAAAGTGAAAGTAGATATTGGCAGTAAGCACAAAACAATCTGAGTTATTGATATATGATAAATTGAAGATTGTGTTATTATCTCCATATCGTACAGCAATTACCTTAAAGTCATCCATTAGACCTAATAATTTGGCGGTTCGCTTATACACATCTCTGGTGTGGTATATTATTCTAACACTTCCATCATACGTAATTGCATTATCTTTAAGTTCTTGGTAACTCACTACAGCACTTTGGTAAACAGTTCTAACAAACTCACTATCATAAATATCCTAAAAATTCAACAATGTAATTATTAATTTTTATCATAAAACTCAAAGGGCATACTTTCATTAAGTAACTTAAATTCATTTTTGTAAAAGGCACAAACACTTCGTTCAATTTGATGTACTTCAAATGCTTCTCAAAGAATAACCCACTAAAAAATAAACAACAATATTTGGTCACCCGTAAATAGCGGCATTGAACTTACTTGGAAACACCAATCTTCCCAAACGTTCTAGTTCGTGACACTTCTGGTCGAATGCACGCCCTATCCTTCCTCTGCTCAGGAGACCGAATCCAGTCATCCCAATAGCTGCACAAATCAGTTAGTAAACAAAATCTCGATTAAAACAGAGAAACATACGCTCTAGGCCATTTATTGCACAACTCCACCCAGAGAGATTTAGTAAGCATCCAGCCTAAACCTGGGAAAAAGTCACTCCGATACAACAAATCCGGCCGATCTTGATTAATAAGACCAACCTTTCCATTGTCATTCCAAGCGGAAATGCACCACAAACTCGGATCCTTCAATAACAACGGGTACGTCCCGGAGAAATATTCGAAAAAGTCCGGTGCCACATTTAAATCGTCTTCGACGATAATGGCAACGTCAAAATTAAAATTAAAAAACGTTTGATTCAAGGCCCAGCCGTAGTGTCGGGCGATTTTAAAGTAGCCTTTAAATTTCTTCTCTTTCGGCGGAATATCGATTTCAGACTGATCGGGTTGTTTGATAAGAAGCACTTGCGAGCCGTAACGTTCGATTACCTCTGTCGTTTCGGCGTGGTTGCAATCCTACAAGGTTTGGTTAGTGTGGTAATATGAAGTATCCCCTAGGTATACGATTGGCGGATCTATTGCTACCGTTGGGTGGTACTCACTTTGTACCATAAACTCAAGTATACAAATTCATAAAAATGTTGATCTGTTTAACGCGTGAAATGCAGTTTTTACCAATCTTGATATGTAAACAAACACATTTGCTTTAATTTAAATTAATGTAATGAATATTTCTCTATGCTTCTATCACATGGAGAGGGCGCATGCGCACTCTCAAGCATCTATGCGTACACCACAAGCAGCTATCACACCGCGTTCTTCGCATTCACATTAAATGGGTTACGCTAAAAACCTTTTTGAAAAGTACGTTATATGATAATGAAAAACCAAATTTTCTTTAATACGGTGAAACCCAAAGTGTCTTAAAACATGTTTTTTAAGAAGGGTTCTAAAAAATTCCTGAACATTAAATCAAAACTCATTCCAAAAAGTTGTCGCCAAGTTTCAGCCAAAGTTGCTCTACCAACCTAACCCACTATCCACTTCGTACAAAGGTTATAAATTATGAAAATTTATATGATTTTAAGAAAGTTTTATCTCATGTTTTATGAACACACCTTCAAAAATATTTTGCATCTATAGTTCATATTAATAGCCATGTATTTTTCCCAAAAATCACAGCTTGCACTTGTCAAAAAAACCAAATTTCAAACATGCTAAATTTTTTGCACATGTTTAGTAGACAATTACATTTATTTTCGGATCCTTCAAAAAATTAGAAATATCCTACAGGGTGTACAATAGAAAAAACAAAAACGTGAACTATATCTCATGTTTTTTTAGGAAAAGTTGGGGTGAAAGCGAGTGAAGTAGTTTTTGGTTAAAAAGTTGGCCCCTTGATAAATCTTTTGACGTGTCTCGGCGTTTTTTCCTTTAATCAGTGGTTTCCTATAAATCCGTGGTGGGAAGTTTTGAAGCGAACACCCTGCACCGTGCATATGGTATGACGGTCAAGATAGAACTGGAGACATGTGCTCCTTGTAGAATGATGAGTAATTTTATTTTGCAGAGGGCCGATCGCAAAAAGCAAAGAATTCATTTGCCATAATGCCAATTTTTTTCTACTTCTGGTTTGGAGAGAAATAACCCCAAAATTTTCTTTTAATAGAGTACCCTGTATATATTTTATTTTTTAAACACAATAAAAAAACGGCGTTCAAAAATACTAGCAACAATGTATTAAACAATAGAACAAGATACAAAGAATTGCATAAGATTTTCAGTAGGGGAATTTTTGCTGCTCAGCTCGCATTCAAAAACCAGACTTCTAGCTTAGGTATATTCAATAGCACTGATCCTTGAACAATCACATAAGGGGAATTTTTTCCTTTCTAAAATTCCCCTAAAAAACACACAAGCGGACCTATTAAACAAAAAAATGGAGGCTATTTTTTACTAAACAGGAAAGGAAAAAAGTGTCATTATGATCAATCAAATTCTTTGCATTTTACTGTAAAAAAATCGATTCATAAATAACAGAAATATTCAACAGTTCCTGGACTTATGCCGCATATATACAGGGCGAGTGAACGTTTGCACACAGTGCTATTATGGCCCTAAGGCCCAATGAAAAAGATATAGTTTTAAAGAAAATTCAATTTATTATTTTAAAAAATTGCATTAATTTAATACAAGCTTTGCCTGTTGTTAAAATTTTGATTTCAACAAAACATCGCACATGATTTCGAATTTTCCGATTCTGTTTTCAATATTATATTTATTATCACTCAAAGAAGTGATTTTTGTCGGTGACCCCAGGAGCTCGTTTGCTATATTTGTTACAAGTTTATTAAAAGTTGGAACCAAATGCAGGGCGTTCCATTAAAAAATTGTAACTTTATGGCTCTCTACTTTGTGATCGCACCATGTAGAATTCAAAATATTTTACATCATACAACAAATCGTTCTGTAGGGCATAACAGCACTCCTCGCAATCGTTGACTCACACTGTACAAGGTGGTTCAAATTCGTGGATCACCATTAGGATCTTCGCAACGGTGAGACAGACAGTATAAGTTAAATGGGAGTAAAATTGACCCTTTTTTGACTAAAAAACGCATATGACATTTTTGAAAAATCTTTGAAAGTACATGAGGACATTTCCCCTTAGTGTACTTTTTTTGGAGAATCTGTTATAATAATTTTCACACTAGATGCTAGATGTAGAAGCAACATGACAAAATGATTGAGTCCTGTGATCTGTACTATCATCCAGGGGGGGGGGGGGGGTAATCGCTACCGCTATATATGAATGTGATGAATTTTTTTTTAATGACGCGCACTTTTAAAATAGTTAATAAAAAAAAGCACGCCGTACTAAAAAAAAAAGTTGATGATGGCGCCAAAAAATCGAAAGTTGCACTTGAAATCTAATCATGCAAAAATCAAATGAAGTCGCAAGAAAAAATTAGCACATTTTAGTTTTTACTGGTTCAGGAACTAGAGCGTTTAGAACAATTAAACATCATTGAAAAGGTGGAATATTCACTCAATGGTCACCCTTGAATTTGAAGGACCCTGTATACAGTGTGTTCATTTGTTTTGTCCACATTGCTTGGCAACTATAAGAGCTACGAGGTCGGTTAAATTAGCAAACAATTTCTATTATACAAAACTATGTTAATGAGCACTAAAAAAAATTTTTTCAACAGTGGTTTACAAAGTGTGGATATCAACTTTGTTATTTTAAATGGAACTATATATTTTTGATTTCCTTATTCGATAGAGAATTTTCTTCTGAGTTCAGTGATATAATATATGTATACCCTTAGATAACAATTTTTATGAGCAAAATGCATGGTTAGATTTATTTCAGTTTTATTTTAAAATGACTAAAATAAGTGTGCCATGGACGATACAAATGAATGTGAAAAACAATTACTTTCAAACAAAAACACAACAGATATATAAATTTACAAATCCTGCTCAAATTGTCCTCCATTTTCGTTAATACATATTATATCACTGTGCTGTTAAATAATAAAGTTGGTATCTACAGTTTGTGAACCACTGGTTGAAAAAATGTTAGTCTTTTAACATAGAGATTGTTTCCTAATGTAACCGACTTCGTAGCTCTTATAGTCAAGGAATATTGTAGCCTGTATGTCGATGCCATCTAGTGGGGCTTAGTACCTACTAGTTTCTTTTTCGAATTATTTTACGAAAATTTTCATTTTATCTAAGTGTTGAGGTCATTGGCCCCAGGACGGCCCCTGACACATGGTGAACGCATGTGGCTTGCCTATAAAACAAACCGACAAATCAATAGACAAAATAACACAGTTATTTCATTTGACGAAAACGAAAAACCTACGAGAGCTCTTGGTTCCCGAGAAGACAGCGTGCTAAAAGCAGCTGGAAGGTTTACTCACATATGAAGATTAGATATAAGCTGCTGAGGACATGCTTATGAATTATCTCAAAATAAATAACATTTTGAGTGCTATGGTACTTGTCCAAAAGTGAGAGGTAGATAAAAATCAAGTAGGCCTCAATTAATGACAAATGCATGCTTCGTGTAGATCTTTTATACACTAACAAGTGTCTCGAATTAGAGCAGAGAATTTATGGCATGATGTGCAATGGGACGGGGGTTTATTGAATTTTATCTGTCAATTTTTGTAACTGTTTGCAAACTGAAAATCCTCGCTAAAATTGAACAAAGAGCAAAATGATACTGGTACAAAATTAAATTAGAATACATACCGATATATGGGGTTATCATAAGGTAAGGAATATACTTTAAAGTCTTATGTTAACTAGTAGCGAAAGTAAATGGAATCTAGTTGCCTTGTAATTGGATTTTACTGTGTCTATGGAAAACAAAAGTTATTGTGTCAACTACTGATACAGTTGTTAGGCGTAATCATCGCAACTTATAGAATTATTATACTAAATAACGCTGTGCACAATTTGGAGGAACGGTTGGTAATCGTACATCAGCAAAATGGACCACACATCGAACATTTACGTTAACCACTGACATAAGAATTCCCATTATTTAAGAAATTCTGTTGTTAACTTAGTTTGTTAAAAATACATAATAATCTGAAATATATCCCTTACTTTATGATCACCTTGTAGATTTACAGTGAGTGGTTTAAATGCAATCGGCACAAAATTTGAGTACTAATTTATGTTTATGATGAAGTTAAATTTGCACCTCAATGTAGGGTTAAAAATGAGCAGTTCAACAGATTGACCAATCCTATTTCTAGGGGCTTTTAACGCATCAACTTGCCTGGCTAACTATAATAGGAAACTGATCCGGATTCGGTCTATACTGTATAAGTTGATCTAAGCACCGATTAACACTGACACGATTGCATGCGATTACCACGACTGGTATAACGGTACCTTTAAATTCTCTTTTCGTAGAAACTTCGTTTTCCTTAGAGACATCTTGTTTTTTAGCCTCAATAATCGAATGTAAGGTACTAATAAAATTCTTGTTAATTTTAAACTGTTCGAGTATTCCATTTTCCAATTTCTTCAGTCCTTTATCCACTTCTTCGGTCGTATCGGTTACGACTAGTGTATGGCGTTTAACTGTTATATAAATGATTAGGATCCATATCAGAAAACTAAACCCTAAAAAATATGTGCGCCTCATTCGCATATTATAATTTACACTGGAAGAGAACCTGAAATGTTTAAAAAACTATAAAAGATAAGGAGAAACTAAACACTCACATTCATTCTATGTCTAAGTAACCTTATCTGTAATAAACATAGTTTTTTTATTATTATTTATGTACACGTCTTTGATGTTACATGGCGATAAATAAATGTTATGGAGAGCTAAATACAAAAAATATCAAACATCCCATTAAAAGCCTCAATGCGGTTTTCCCTATTTGTTGGTAAGTGTCTAATGATGAGCTTAAGCAGTTTTTTTTTAATTTGACGTGTGTGGAGCTACGTCCAAATTGCACAGCAGAAAGTGTGTTTACATTGCATATACAGGGTTATTACAAATGTTGTTCCCGATTTCAAGCGTACAAGATGAAATCACAGGGGAGACCCAGAGATCTAGATCTAGTAGGCTAGTTCAAGAAAAGGTCATCATTTGGACCAGCGCGCCCGATCTATTTCTCAGGCGGCGGATTAATTGTCCCAAAATTTAAGTACCAGTTGTGAATAGAGTGCTTCCTAGGAGGATGTTCATTAAATCTCGTGCTAAAGTGACGTTGCACACTATATAACTCACACCAACACACAAAATCCGATAACAATTGACTAACAAACAGCAGCTGATATACTACGCAGCCAAAGTAACGAAAACAAAACTTTTTGAGTTTTTCTTTCCAATGGTTATCATTGTCCAGTACTACTATTTTCAATCGAAATCATTTGTAATAACCTTGTATACTGGTTTTAGCAGGAGCGAACATTTATTGGCCCTTGATCATGTTTTTCAACATCCCCCATTTGCATATGCAACACCAAAATCGAACCAGCTCCTACCTGGTGGAATTACTGTTTGAATAAAGAGAAGTTTATGACCTTTCAAGTTATAGACGCGTTTTTGCAATTTTTGATTTGCTATCAAAATTATAACAAATTTTTTTGTGCATATGTTAGTAAATGCTGCCCACGTGAGTTTTTAATGTATAATAAAAAAAATTAACAAATAAACTTCAGTGGGCCAAACGCGTTTGGACAGCATTGTTGTTGAGTACGTTCCATATATTAAATTGTGTTTCTGGTTCTAGGTGTTATTACTTCAGTTTCTTGCAACGACCTCGGCGTTTTCGCACTTCCTGGTGATGCAATGGCCTAAAAAGCTGTGTAACAAATTAATCATTGTTTATTTCCTAGCTTCAATACTTACTTCCGCGACTTCGTACGATCGATGCGTACAGAATATAAAAACACATCGACACGGCACAGCACAAGAGATTTGGCGCATATATCGATCGATACGCGTACGCGAAATAGCAGAGTGCGACATTAACGAAAAAAAGAGTTTTTAAAAATACAAAAATATAATCCGATTGGGTCCAATTCTGTATCTAAACCATCCAAGGATACACAAAATTTAATCAAAATCCTTCCACCCGCTTAGGAGGGTCTCAGTCACAAACACACGCATAAAATAATTTTATATATAAAGAAGATATGGTACCTATTCACTGCAGGTCGCGGTGTAAACTTGTAATTCGATACAAACAAATCGGAAAAACGGGATATTCGTTAAACAGGCAAAGCGAGGTGTTATAAGAATTGATTTGTAATGCTCTCCTTATGGTGGCATTTTTTAGTAAGTGTGTATTAGCTTTGTTACGCTCGAAAATTCATAATAGAAATTACGTCCGCACAATTACATGAAAAGATACAACCCAAAAGTCCATGCACAGGAAAAATAAAATCCTACCTTTATAAAGCTGCCCTTCACGAATCTGTAACAAAGAACAAATTTACGTTAAAAGGTTAAAAAAGAAGAAAACTAAAAAAAATGAAACAGTACATGTCTTACTTGAAGAAATCACTATATAAAAAGTGAACTGGTGACCTGCTAAACTTAATAAACATTACCTTGAACTTTCGGTTTTATAAATTAAAGTGTGGGGGACTGAAATAAACATGAAAAAAGCTATGTGATAAGATAAGTTATAAAATAAGCTGCCGATCACCTTGTCATCCAAAATTGTTCGAAAAATGGAATATACCGAAGGTAAACTTATCGTTCTTCTTTACATCTATTTAAATCATTGCTTTTTTAGATGAAATTCGTTACAAGAAAAATATCATATACACTACAGATTATGAAGATGAACCAGATTCAAGAGGCCTCGGATATGCATACTTTGAACAAATGTTAGAAAACAATGATCTTGTAGCGCAAGTGGATGGCTACACCGGAGAAACAGATACGTTTGCTTCACTTTTAAAAAGATGTGTACGTACCGCCATTTGGTTAAAGGAAATGGGATTGCAATATGGTGATGTCGTTTCGTCGTGCACATATAATCATTTAAACAGTGGGGTCCCTCATATTTCCAGTTACTTTATTGGTGCCAAAATAGCGGCCTTTGATCCTACTTTATCAGTTAGGGAAGCAGCTTACCTTTTCCGCCAAGTGACGCCAAAGGTGATATTTACAGGCACCGAATCTGTAAAGCTTATGGAAAACGTTATACAAGAAGTCGGTGCTAATACTAAAATAGTAGTATTCGGCGCTACTGACAGGCACGTGCCATTTAGTGATCTAATCAGTCCCAAACCAAACGAAACGTCCTTTAAACCTGTTGAAGTATAGCACCTTAAGGATATTGCGCTAATCTTGTTCAGTAGCGGTACCACTGGGCTACCAAAAGGAGTTTGTTTCAGTCATCGCGCCATGTTGCATTCAGTGGCAGCGATAAAGTAAGTTATTAGTAGTCGATGATGTAGCAATAATCGTTAGAATTTCAGAGAGCGTGATTATCGAGGTGTAATCCTTTATAGTAGCGATTCCCCTTTTTGGAACGTGTTTAGCAATTATCTTCATCGATCGATTTTTAATAAGTGTGTGCGATTAGTCTCCCCAGCTTTTGACTACAACAATCCCTGGAGCATTTTCACTTACAATGTAAAAGGTATAATTGTTCTACAGAATCACTAAAGATAATTTGTGCAGGTAAATTATGTCATGCTTGACTTGACTCGCATGTTAACACTGTGTCATACTCCAAAGCCGAAGGGCATCGATCTGAGTAACTTAGGGACTTTGCTAGTAACCGGTACCACAATTAGTGAAGATCAAATGGCGAAGGCAAGGGAGACGTTTCCAGGAGTTCATGTATCTCAATCTTATGGCCTAAGTGAAGTTTTCTGTGGCGTGGCATATTTTGATCCTACCAAACCTAAACATGTGCAGTTGGCAATAAAAAAAACGGGCTCGTGTGGATTACCAAGGCGAGGGATTTGCCTTAAAGTGAGATTCTGTGCTTGATCTTTCTTCATGTTTAACGTGTGTTTAAAGGTGGTGGATCCCGATACAGAAAAAGTGCTTGGACCGAACCAAAATGGAGAAATACGTTTAAAAACCTCTAGGCAACTTTCTGGATATCATAACATAGACTCAAGTGGTGTTTGGGATTCCGATGGCTGGTTACGAACTGGTGATTACGGTTACTACGATCAAGACTATTGCATTTACGTAATTGATCGCATAAAAGAAATGTTTGAGTATCGCTATAAGCACATCACTCCGTCTACAATCGAAAGTGTTATCAATACCCATCCTGCGGTTTTTAGATCCGTTGTAATAGGTGTACCGCATTATATGGATAATCATCACCCCATGGCGCTGATCATATTAAAACCCGATTGTGCCAATGTAACTACTGACGAAATTGAAAAGTATGTAGAAGTAAGGGTTGAAGATCCTTTCCGTTTAAGAGCAGGCGTAAAATTTGTCAAAAGTTTTCCTTTGACACAATCTGGCAAGGTTAATCGTTTGAGGTTGAAGGAAATGGTTCGGAATAAGCAAGTTTGACAAGTATAATTATAATTTTTTTTCTTTAAAATAAAAACGTCTTTCCACAATTGTGTTACTGTTCATTCCCTTAACGAAAATAAATTGTTACAATTATATTATTATTAAAAATAGCGACAAAGTGCCACACAAATTGATATTCAAATATTAACTTTCCTGTGAGCATAGTTTTAGAACTTAAAGGTCACTAAATTCTGTTATGAAAGGGAAACACCGATCAGGTGGCTTTACTTATATTTTTAGCAATAAGACGATCATACAATCTTGGACAAGCAAAATAATGTTGGGTGTTTTATTAAACATTACGTGGAACAGTTACGCCACTGGTAAGAAACAATTGATTTATCATACATGTCATTATTTATACTACTCTATTTTGTCCTTTGATTATAGATTTTGTCTTTGATGTTTACATTTGAAAGATTTTAAATACTCTTGACAGCCGATTTGTATTTTAAAAACTCGCTGTGACGAAAGAAATGCCGAAATGGTTGTAGAATTGTGAGAAAAACGCAATTAAAAGCGAGATCGCAGTAAGCTTCCCTTGTCTTATTTTTTTATAGCTGGGTCTTCATTTCTGAGAAATTGTAAAAATGTCTAAGTGTTGGGAGAAGTTAATTTTGATTAAGCTCGCTTCCTATTAATGGACAGCAAGCCGAATGAAAGTAGCAAAATAATCAGTAAGGTAAGAGTTGAATTATATTGGTGTACTTGGTGCTGCCGAGGCATATAAGACATCGTCATAAACAATATGACATCCTTAAACCAGATTAGGGAACCGGCCGAGGAACCGGCAAACCAACACAATCAATAATCATACAAGGATTTGTTTGTGACTTTTCAGGTCGTCTAAGAATCTATTGATAAATGGAATTAGCTAGCTGCTTCCACAAAAACAATTGCTTTACCGTATTAAATACCTACTACATTTTTTGGGACTGGGCAGTGAAGAAACTTCATTCTGAGATTAATCGGATTCGAATGCATTTGTTACAATTGCAGCATTGAAAGACAATGGGCGATCAAAAAAGGATTGACGTTGAGCCGTCTTTGGAAGTTCAAGTTATTTATGATTTCCCATGTAACCAGTGACGTCGGAAGTGAATAACTGTTGGGGGGGGGGGGCAAAAATCAGCGACCATGGAGTCTGAAAGGTCCCTCATATGCATAATTCTGTACGAATTAATGCAATAAGCAGTGGGTTTTTTAAGTGACCCTGAAACCTGTTTATTTAATCAATCAAATAATGCAAATTTCTGCATGCACATGCAGTAGAAGATGTGTTTGTCGCTTTTGAGTGACTCATACTTAGAGGGGACGAGGCCCCCCTTGTGTAAAATCTGAGACATACTTCCGACGTCCCTGCATGCAAACAAAAATTCCAAAGGTGACTCGACAGTCACTCTTTGGTCGCATGGAAAATGATTGAGCCCGATTATCATAACGGGCGAGCAAAAATGAATGGCGGTCGAGGAAGTTCGATTTCCAATGTAAACAAACATTTTAAAGATGACTCCACAGTAACTCATTTTTGATTGCACAGTAATATAGGTATGCAATGTAGGTAAATTAACTGTTCGGTAGCAAGTTTTGCGGCTAATTAATGAAGTGTGCCATGTTTTTATTTCGTTTTACTTTAACAATACTAAACCAAGTCTGATGATATCTACGTGGTGTACCAAAGCTAGCAGCGCAATTATGAGGTTATCAGTTTAAGATCTAAAACTTACCCAAAATCAACACATTGGTGAAATCCTAGAGGTCTTGATCCTAAGCATGAAACAGAAGCTCAAGATTTTAGGTATATTTTAAACCCGGCACGTATCGCGAAAAGTGATTATTAATTTAAAGGTTGTTTAAAATAACTCCACAAAACCAAAACACGACCGAAGCGTCACTGTCCACTGATAACGAAACACAATTTCAAATTCAAACTACGAGATGATGCTGGCGACGCCATACTTATTCAAAACTTTTGTTTAAAAATATACCGATTTAATAAACATTGGAGCGAAACGAACGATGTGTCAATATTTTACGCGTGCGTAGTTTTATTGTTCTACAGTTTATATTTTATTATTACCGTTCATAAAGTTTAAGAAAACGTAGAAAAACTTCACACGTTCGCGAGCGGCCTGCAACGATAAACTGGGGCACGTGACACGAAATGGACGCTGGGACTACGTAAGTCGCCACGTGTCAAACAATTCCAAAAAAATGATCCAATCAGAGCACTGAGTTTAAACGAAATTTTAAACATTTGGTTGTATTTTTGACCTTATCTATAACACCCGTATCTATGAAGACCGCTTGTGGATTTTATTGTCCTGGGTCTTTAAAATACGTGAGGCTATCAAAATAGAATTTTTCTGAACTTTTTCGAAAAACTTGCATTGGAAGGGCGGGGGTTTTTGAGTCGGTGTCTTTTCTTTTTTAAAATGTAGTACATAACATATTTTTTTGGAAAGCACAAAGGACAAGCTTAATAACTGTCTTGTTAACGTCATTCTGGAAAACGTCTATAAAACTGCGTTGTAGAAGTCTAAAAAGCTCTTAAAGTACGCGCTGTCGTATGTAGAGGATCTGCCGGAGACACTTTCCGAAATGTGCCAGCGAAGTGATATGTATGTGTCGTTTACATCCCAGCCAGATCTGGCTGTTAGTGCCAATTATGTCAGTCAGTTCTACTTTGTGGTGCATTACCTACAGTTTTTAAAGTTAAATTAATTTCTTTTATACGATTATACAGATTTTAAGGTAAGTTCATAGGCCTCCGTTCATACGTTTCCGTTTGTCCGTTAGCCAATCAGAAGACAGCAAATTTTTAAATCGTACGTCGTCCGTTTACGACGGAAAAGTTGGTTGAAGTTGAACATTTACGTTTCCGTTGGTCCGTTTTTAACAAGAGTGAGGTTATGTTTGGTACGTTAACAGCGTTCGCCTATTCGTTCTTCACAGTAATAATCAGATAGCAACGTATTCTTACTTTCGTACCATTTTTACATATTGTACTGAAAATCACGGAGGGTACAGTACAAAATAAAATTTAGGTTATGGTTATACGTTGCACTTGTACAATGTGCCAGGATTGCTATGAACCTTAACAAAATTTTCTATCCGTTTGACGGATCAACGCAACGGATGAACGGAGAACTATGAACCCACCTTAACACTTTGCTCGAAAGCAATGTCATTGATTATACACGTTATAATCAATGGAAATACCATCCTGTATATATGTTCAGATGTCATTTAAGTCAGTGGTGTAGTAGTAGATGATCCCATGAGAAATCCACGTCACTGATATTCACATAACCTACATTTGGTTATTTACGTTGAAGAAAAAGTCTGTAAGATAAATAAAACGAAGATGATGTCCGAAAAAGACTACGCACCTCTCAGTCCAGCCTGTGTCCGGGCACTTCACGACAAGCTCTACGATAAGAGAAAAACTGCTGCATTAGAGATCGAGAAGTGAGTATCGTTTACAGGGGGTGATGCAGCTTTTAAGATCTTACATTGCAGAATGGTAAAGGAATTTGCAAGTTTGAATAAGACAAACGAAATTAAAAGACTCCTGAAAGTGCTCGGACAGGATTTCGCAAACTCTACAAATCCACATGCAAGGAAAGGGGGACTTATTGGTCTTGCCGCTATTGCTATTGCTTTAGGAAGGGTAAAGTTGTTATTGGACATAGCCGTTTTCTGAGTAAGTGTTTTAGGATACTTCACTCTACACCGAAGAGTTAATCTATCCGATAGTAGCACGTTTTAGCGACCCAGACTCTCGAGTGAAGTATTACGCCTGTGAATCACTGTATAATGTTGCAAAAGTAGCTAGAGGTGCGGTTTTGCCACAGTTTTCACAAATTTTTAGTGCCTTAAGTAAAATTGCAACAGATTCCGAGCAAAGTATTAAAAACGCCTCGGAGTTATTGGATCGCCTTATGAAGGTGCTTGCACGATTCATTTGGGAAGTAATAAACACCTTGTCGTTTTTAAGGATATTGTCACGGAGAGTCCTTCATTTGATTTGCCAGCTTTTATGCCGTTGCTTCGCGAACGTATATACACCAAAAGTTCCTTTGCCCGACAATTTGTCATATCGTGGATATCGGTGTTGGATGCAGTCCCCGATATCGATTTAATCATTTATCTTCCGGAGATATTAGACGGCTTATTTAAGATATTAGACGACCCTATGTTAGAAGTGAAGAAAATGTGTGACACGGTACTTGGAGAATTTCTACGCAGCATTAAGAGTAATCCGGCTCGAGTGGATTTCGGTAGTATGATTAATATTTTAATCGGTCACGCACAAGAGAAAAATGACGAAATCTTACAGGTGGCGTATTAAAGAATTTAATGTACTGATGCGATTCAGTTTGTTGCAGTTTACGGCAATTACATGGATTAAAGAGTTCGTTCAACTGTCTGGACCGTTAATGCTTCCTTACATGTCCGGAATTTTTACTGCCGTATTGCCGTGTTTGGCGTATGATGCGGATTCACGCAGAAGTATCCTTTTTACTTTTATTTGATACTAACTTTAAATTAGTGTTTTACTAATTGTTTTGTTCTGTTGAGTTTGTTTGGTACAATTTGATTTCTCCATATTTTTAAAGTGATTGATTGAGAAAGTTGCAACCTGTTGGTTAAATTGCTGTTTAATTTTTGTTTACAATATGCATGTATTAGAAAATCATTCCATTTTCTTCATGCTAGTACAAAATATAATTGTTGCACTAGGTGCAAAATAAGAATGGCAGGGTATAAGTAACATTTTTGGGAAAACAAAACTTTGTAGTTGTACTGCTTTGCTAAAGAGGCATCTGGCGGCTACAAATGAATCTAAATGAACACAAATGGTGTTCACTGATTGCGCTGAGTAACTTAATGCCTTGAGATAAGATTTTTCCGTTTGGATATGGTTGAATATTCTCTACATTTCAAAGATATTTTGAATTATACAAGGTGCGTTCACAAAGTAGGGCACTAAAAAGGTAATTTTTTAAAAAAATTGCTGTTGCCATTAATAATATTGACCATAGGCAACAAATTTAAATTACGTATTTTGGTAGCAAACTTTATAATTTTTGATACCATAAAAAGTTTCTTTAAAAAAAAAGTTGTTTTGAAGATATATCCAGTGTTCCAGATATTACAAATTATGGTTCTATAGCTGTGCAGTGACTCTACCACCATCTCTTCCCTTTTTTGACAAAGAAAAATAAAATAACCAGCGTTCTAATATGATCTAAGTTGATATTACTTTTTGAAAATAGGTACAGCTCCCTGCCATTCTTATTCGGTAACCCAATACTTTATCATGATTTGTTCTTCTTTCTTTTGAAAGCTTTACGCTGCATTAGCTATACAAAAGTACTATTTATTAGTAATGAAAAAGCGACTTATTGCACAAAACATTATAATAGGGCAAAATTCTGTACAAAACAATCTTAACTGATTATGAAAGTACTGACAATTATAAGCGGTAACAGCCTGCATATTTTTAATGTCAAGTACCCACACATACAGAATGGGCTAAATTTAGATGTACATTTTTGTCAGAATAGAAAAAAACTGCATCTTTGTATTAAAGAACAAAGAAATGTTTTTAATTGCCAACCTACTTTCTCATTTCAAACATGTCATTATGACTGAAAGAATTAAATTAGTTTCAATTGTTTCAGAAATGTGAAGGGATAAGTTCCTTAAACTATGTTGAGTAAAGTCCTTACAATGTGAGAAGAGGCTATTATAGAAGTGAAAGGTTATTCAATTTTGCGAAACAACTTTGCCTCTATAATATCTTGAACTGTTTCCAATATATCACCTTCAAATTTCAATTGGCTAATTATGCCGTAATTGAGTAATTTGTATAATTTCGTGTTGAAATTATATTAGGGAGACTCAAAAACAAAATAATGAGATTTCCGTGGTATGCCATACTTTGTTTGAAGTCTATAGCAGAATTACAAATTATGTATTTGTTCTGATCAGGGGTTGGAACCGGAACCCTCCCTCCCTCCCTCTCTCCCTCCCGATATATAGCCGATTGATGTTCCGACATGCGTAGCTCAGATAAGCTTACGTTAATAGCTTTAACTTTGGCTACAAGAGTACTGGATTCGAATTCCAGGCGTATCATACTTCTTGGCAAGAACACCTCACATTCGCTTTCATTCCTTATCGTCGGTGACTAATCCTTTATTGACTTGATGGCGCTTTGATATCGCTCTAGGAAATTCGCTACAATAAAATAATAAAAAAAATATGTTTATTGTATTGACCAAAAATAAAATCTTGCGTTGTGAATTACGTTCAGAGCTACCACACTAATTTCTACCAACTTAACCTTAGTAGGTACTAAATACACAAAATATTTTATAGTGACTAATACTAAAAATGAACCAAAAACAGTAAGAGGGAATGAAAGTAGAAAAATGATCTAGTTGACAAAGGTGAAACGAACGAGCAAACTCAAAGGAAACCTAAAAATATGCAAAAGTATGTTTGTACTTTAATGTTGTGCATAATGCTTTTCCTATAATTGATAATAATTTATATTTTTCATAATAATTGTATTTATTTATGTAAAACCGCAATCTAAAATTACTGATTCCGCAGAACCCATACCGGAACCCTTAAAAATAATGCTACCTAGAGATATGGAACCAGAACTTATAATTTATATGGGTTCCAACCCCTGGTTCTGATATAAAAATGAGGCAATTACAAACCAGAGGGAATTGATATAGGACTTTATTTTATATTGTTTAGGAGACCTTTGACTGAACTTAATTCAAGGCAGTTTTTGATATAAGATAAAGCCGGTGTGTTTTGTTTTGAAATATGCATATTATACAGGGAGGAATGTTACTTGGGTATTAATCAATTAACAATTGATCTGTTCTCTACAATCCGTTATAACATAACTGTACTTACATAATCAAACACTCACTCAACTTATATAATACAAGTGTATTAGTTCGAGAGGCAGCAACATGTAGCATGCAATGATTTCTCTTTTGCAAAATGCTAAAATATTTGTAGACTTGTCTCATTCTCAATTTGCAGGGTATTAAACAATTATTAGCTTTGCGGTTACGTACAATTTATGTTGCTATCTCTCCAACTGAATCAATTCATGCTTATTTTCCTAAATTCGCCTAAACACTGAACCAGAGAATGTAATGGATTCCGCACCACTTTTATCATAAATCTACGATACATTGCATGCGACTGGCCTGTTTTTGTTTTTGATTACTAAAATGCTAAGCGCATGCTTATCCTGTCGATTGGGTTTGGAAACAATTTTTTTTATATCTAGTGCAATGACGCATGCTATAGGAGTTTTTTTCTTCTCCTTAATTTAGTGACAGACATTAAGGAAACCGCAACTGCTGTGAATCACACTTTAATGAAATTGGTCTCCTTGCAAGTAGAACAAGGGGCCACGGCGGTAAGAACTGCAGGAGGTGAGTAAACGACATTGACGACTCGGCGAGACTTACTCATTTAAAAGGTGAAGACAACGAAGTACGGGGCCAACTCGATCTGCCATCTGTTGTCGAAGTTTTAACCCAGCATATCGCCCATAGTTCTGTTCAAACTAAGGTCGCGGTTTTACGATGGATTCATCACTTGTACATCAAGTTACCGAATAAGGTAGAAGAACGCTGTCTGTAGTTTTTGATAATTCCCTTTCACCGTAGATGTTTAGTTATATCGATATATTATTTCCCGCTTTATTGCGAACTTTAGCTGATCCGGCGGACGAGGTGGTACAGCAGTGCCTGGTGGTAATTGCAGAAGTAATATCCGCTCCGGCTGGGGAAGTTTCGCAAGACTTGTCCAAAACACGTAAGTCTTTGCAAGGGTATATATTTTTGTGAGTGTCGCTTGCAAACACTGGAACTCTTGTGACTGGTCAAGTAAAAGGAACTAAAACAAAAACAGAGAGATCACAAGAATATTTTAATAAAATGTATACGTTTGAACAGCAAAACGGTCCGTTCAAAAGTGTATCAGTTTTCTTGTGATTTCCAGATATTTTTGTTTCACTTTATGTTACTCCAGTAGTGCAGAGAAACGTTAATGACACATACTTGTAAATCTAGTGACGTATGCGCATGCGCAGACCAACTTGGGACAAAAGTATTTTATTCAAAGGCAAAAGCAATAAATAATGGACCCAAACTACAAGGAATTTAGCTGGCCTTCACTATAATGTTTGCATTTTAGAGGCACCAATAAGAGAAGCATCACCAGATGTGAACTCATACTATACAAAATTTCTCATTTCGTTACTTAATTCATTTAGCGCTGATAAACACCTGTTAGAAGAGCGAGGCTCGTTCATCATAAGGTGAGAGGTACTGCTTAGGGGGACTGGATTTTTATTCCGTCATTGTAGACAGTTATGTGTTTTACTTAACGCGGAAGACATCTACTGGACGTTGGCGAAAATTTTGCTGAAAGATTCAAATTTGAAATTTGCCAGCTTAATGGTCGGTACCCTTAATATGATCTTACTTACATCTTCTGAATTGTTCGAGTTACGGAATAAACTTAAGGATCTAAACACTAAGGTAAAATTTCAAGTGGCAATGAGTAGATAATTGAGTTATTTGTAGGAATCCTGCACACTTTTTTGCTGTTTGTATGAAACATGGTGTCATGATCCCGTTGCGACTGTCGCCTTGTGTCTTTTAACGCAGTGTTACAAACATATATGTGATCTTATAAAAGTGTTGTATCCTTTGAGAACTTCTTTACATTTTTCATTCTTTTCCTTAACTGTATATAGCGGTAATATAGAAGTGACCGTAGAGTTTTTAACCGAAATCGATAAATTAGTTCAATTGATCGAATCTCCGATTTTTGCATGTAAGCTTAGTCAATTAAATGCGTGAGCCAACTGAGTGTATTGTAGATTTGAGGTTAGAATTACTGGAAGTACCATGCGATCAACATTTAGTGAGAGCCTTGTATGGTCTTTTAATGCTACTACCTCAAACGGAAGCGTTCCAAACGTTAAGGACTCGCCTTGCTTGCATTCCTAGTTTACACTTAGAATGTACTCATAGAAGGTACGTAGATAATCAGGTTTGAGTTTATGGTCTACATGTTATCTGCAGAGAAGCAGCGACAGTGCCAAAAAAATTACCAGAGAAATTGAAGGAAATCGATTTTAAGAAACTTTTAGCCCATTTTAATGAAGTACAAGCTCGCCATAAGGATCACAAAAAATCCACAAGGGCTCAGAAGTTAGCAGTTCTTCAAAAAGCGAATGTCGACATTTAATGACATGATTTTCTTGGTATTTCAGTACAGTACCTGCTCACAATATGGATTGTGACGTTTAATTTTTCGTACTGCAAAATGCATTCCATAATCTTTTGCTGATATATTGATTTGTTCAAGAATAGAGTACTTCTCCGAAAATGATAGTACTTTAATTGGCCACAATTAATTAGCGGCACAGCCTAGGCCCAACTGAGCTTATTAGTTAAGTACGGTTGGTATTGCCAACAATAGCCAAAGATAAAATACATGGTATTTAACTATGTTCTTTTTTATTAATTGTACATTGTTTACAAAATAAATATTGAAAGTTATTAATGGATCGTTATTATAATTTTATATTATTAATTGAAATTTTTCGTTTGCGTCATAAACATATTTCTCGAACATTGATCAAATTGTAGCGAGATCAAATATCACTGTTCAAGGATCACTTCTTTTGTGGCTGTCACAGACTTGATCAATTTTGACTGAGTTCCTGATTATTTGAAAGTTGCAGCAGTGCCTTTTTTTCTCTATGTGTTTTTCCAATTTCAAAGTAATTTTAATTAGAGGTAACATTAGTGAATCCAGTGATGTCTTTAACAAATGGATCTTGTGGCTAGAAATTAGGTTTACATATGCCCAGACCAACTAGAATGAACTTTTTATGTAGATTCTTTTAGTAGTGACATACACCTTCAAAGTTATGTGTGAAGGGGAAGGAGGGGCGCGTATTTAAACCAGGAAAATACACTACCGTCATTTGGGCCTTCTTTAACAGTTTTTACCGACATTACTTTCGTGATAATTCGCTAGTTTTGATGCTAGGGACTTTTATAAAACAAAAATGAAGGTTTTTTCAAGTACTTCAAAAAGATTCTATGCCTTTTTTTTGGTTTGCTTGAATTTTGAATTTTTTCAGTGTAGTATTTTTTGAAAAGAGAATTTTAATATGCTATTTTACCTGAGCCCATATATACTTATCTTAAAAACGGCAGATTATTCAACAATCATTATCAAGAAACGTTTGTAATAAACATTTTTCTGTGTTTTTTTTTAACTAAAAAATATATTGTCATTCTGAAATTTGCAATGTTTTGATTTCCCCCCGTATCTCTTAAGCGAGCGAATATTTTCAAATTTTGACTTCACTGTTTCGTTTGATACAAAAAGAGCACATGATGCCTATATTACTTTTTTGTTAGCCAGTGTTGTAACACACTTATTTGAGTACTGAAGTGCGGTAGGGAAGGAACACAAAATAAAACGCTGAAATGCAAAAAGTTTATTTAATAATGATTGTTATAATTTCGTTTTTTTTTCGGTTCCAACGGTCCGGATCTATTGGAAATACTGTTCTGGTTTAATTTATTATGATTCTAGTTCTAAACATCATTGTGTTAAATCTTTTTTTAATTCATAATGGTATTTTATGAAGTGGACGGTATATATCCCCCTAGAGGATTTAGTCATGAACACCTCCTTGACCATTTCGCACTGTCATCACTTCAGCATAGGCGCTTCATCGCATCAATTAAATTCCTGTATGATATTCTGCACAACAACATAGACTGTTCCAAACTTCTAAATGAAATTAATTGGCATGTGCCTAGATTGACAACTCGAAGAAGTCATACTTTTTCTCTCCCACAAATAAATAGCAACATCATGTACAGGTCTCCTATGTATGCAATTTGTAATAGTTACAATACTATAAGTTCAATCTGTGACATTACTCACTCATCCTGGAAGGACATCATTCGAACATTGAGTATGTAACGACCGCAACTATCTAATTAATTAAGAATTTTTGTCTGCTTCGAATTACTTTTTTTCTTCTCCTATTTTACTTAAACCACCGTATATGTTTATCTTATGTTTTTGTATTTTGTATGTAATTCATATTGTGATTTGTCCTTTAATTGGATATTCTGTTGGGCAATAAAGCATTATTATTATTATTATTATTATTATTATTATTATTATTTTTGGTTTCAAGTGAAAAATGTGTAAAAAACCGAAGCATGCCTAGCTGCTTACTTGCTCAGAAAGTCCCGGAAAATATGGCAACTAATCTTGAAATAATTCAAACTGGCCAATAGAAAGCCTCCAAAACGACGCGGTACACTTCCGTGCTATAATAAATTATTAATTAATCGGTTTTGACAGTTTACGCTTCACGGCTTCACGTTACTAGTTTACACTTTGCTTCTTGTATGTGCTATATTTTACGTTTTTCGTCTTCATCTACAATCTTAAATGCGTTTACGTTTTTTAAAACCAAGTACAAATAGTGATTTTAATGTTGCTCCTTGATGTTATGCAACGGATATAGCGCGTGGCCTACTTCTATTTATTTACTATCTACTTTCTGAACATGGTGCCACTGTAGAGATAAGTAGATGCATTTTTCATTGCATTTGGGTTCTAATATTGTTTGATGGAGGATTGCAACATTTGAACGCTAATTTGAATTTTGTTTCACAGTAATTATCACCTTTTTACACAAGCTCAAACTGTTCGATGTAAATTTTTTTAACCTCAACTCAAGGGCCAGACTACTATATGTTATCTAGATACAAAATATAAATATCTAGATCCACTGAAACAAATGTATCTTTATCTGTATCTAGATACTGAAATAAAAGTATCTGTCACAATACTGGGAGATGCCCTACAAAATTCTGGAAGATGGGACACCCTGTACATCAAACCTACTGCCGTGTAAAGTGTAAACGTAAACAGACCTTTACGATGACAATAGTGAATAGAGGTTATGTTGCTGTACTTTTTTTTGGTAAATGAATTGTTTATTTGTAATGCAGTGATATAAAATTGTTAAGCACCGATTCTTTGTTACTCATCAAAACTAGGAGGTGAATAATACACACGGGAAGTTATGCTGTTTAGGTGATAAAAAAATCATGTCTTTCCTAAGAGGATCAGCCAACTACGTCTGGTGCACTACGAGTGTGCTAGGAAAAGGTGCCACAGGTGCCGTGTATCAAGGTGTTAATAAAAGTAACGGCGAACCCGTTGCCGTGAAAACGTTTAATCAGCTCAGCCACATGAGACCTCAAGATGTGCAAATGCGTGAATTTGAGGTGCTCAAAAAGGTCAAACATGAAAACATCGTTAAATTATTGGCAATTGAAGAAGAGCAGGAGGGTCGAGGTAAAGTTATTGTGATGGAGTTATGTACCGGCGGCAGTCTGTTTAATATTCTTGACGATCCTGAGAACACGTACGGTCTCGAGGAGAAAGAGTTTTTACTAGTGTTAGAGCATTTAACCGCAGGCATGAAACATTTACGTGACAACAACCTGGTGCATCGCGACTTGAAACCTGGCAACATCATGAAGTTTATAAACGATGACGGCACCACTGTGTACAAGCTTACCGATTTTGGAGCTGCAAGGGAACTGCAAGAAGGACAACAGTTTGTCTCACTTTACGGCACGGAAGAGTACCTACATCCAGACATGTATGAGAGGGCGGTGTTACGTAAACCTGTAGGGAAAACGTTTGGTGCTACCGTCGATTTGTGGTCTATCGGTGTTACCTTGTACCATGTCGCTACAGGAAATCTACCGTTTCGCCCTTACGGCGGTAGGCGAAATAAACAAACCATGTTTCACATAACAACTAAGAAGGCGAGCGGTGTGATTTCGGGTATACAAACGAAGGAAGACGGACCGATCGAGTGGGGACGGGAATTACCAACAAATTGCCAACTGTCCACCGGGTTAAAAAAAATCGTCACCCCTCTTTTAGCCGGTTTACTAGAAGCAGATCCGGCTCGAATTTGGAGTTTTGAGAAATTCTTTAGCGAAGTGACAAGTCTTCTCATGCGTAAACCCGTCAATATATTTTACATTAATTCCGCTACAAATATTAAAGTTTTCATCCACCCTGATGAGACGTACGAACAACTCCAAGGGTATATTTTGGAACAGACGAATATTGCACCAAACCATCAAATTTTGCTCTTTAAACAAGATCTGTTTGTTGACGTTGTCGGATTAAACACCCGCAGCGGTGGCTACCCCACCACAACTGAAGAAGACCCGTTAATTGTATTCAATGAAGAAAATAACAATATCGTCCCGTTACCCGACTTGGAACTGCCCAAATTTCCAGAGTTTCCCACATTAGTGTCGGTGGAAAATGACGCTTCCCAAGCCAAGCTAGCTTGCAGCATAGGCCACATTTGCAAGCGACGAGTAGAAAAGCTATCCCGTAGTAGTAACTTAATTCATAAGGCTGCAAAATACTTCATGCGCTTCATCACTTTCGAACTGAAGAATCTTCACACAAAATGCCAACACTGCATCGACCTAACTGTTGGCCACAAAGAAACCTCAAGCTCTCTCAAAATGTCACAGTCGATAGTAACCGCTCTACAAAGCTCGCTATTGGGTAGTAAATTAGTTATAACGGACTACGTAGAGGAATTAAGCGACATTAGTGACTCATTCACCTTGGTCACAGACCCGAAAGTTCAGCAACTGCATCAAAAAAACGTAGTAGAAGACGCTCTGAAATTAGAGTGGGACTCATCTAGTCGACTAATCAAGTGCCCATTCCAAATACTCGCCTCGTCCCGCGCGCGTATTCTAATCGACCGACTTCGAGATTCCTGGCAGCATTTAATGCGCGACCGTGCGACGAGATCGCTCAGTTACAACGACGAGCAATTCCACATTCTAGAACGTATTAAGATCACGGAGACGAGCCGGCGAATTAAGGAGCTATTAGAATCGGAATGCGTCCCTTCTTTTAGTCAATTAGCCGAGAATCTCGGCGATTGGTACAAAATTGCCCAAACCGTTTATTTACAAATGACAATTTTGAGTAAGGACGTAATAAGCTACGAGCAGAAGTTGGAGAAGTTTCGCGAGAACCTCTCCATCGAGTGCGTACAGTATTACGAGGAGATCAAATTGCTGTTGGGAAAGATCGAGAGCGGAATTCAGTTTCCTAAAAGTACTAATCAGCTGCAGGGGCGGAAGTTGAAGAGTAGTTTTCAAGAGGCGAACAAGCTGCTGCAAGATATCTCTCAGGCGTTACAGGAGAATACGTCGTTGATTGACCAGTATGAATTGTCGTTAACAAAACTGCAAGATATGTCAAAGGAAGCAACCGTTTGACGGTTTCATTTAGAGTATTATTTGAAAGATTATGTGCAATAGTTTTAAATCGTATTCGTATTTATACTAATTAAATCTCTGTAGGTTGTCAAACTGTGAGACGTATTGTTTAAGAATGTGATAGCAAAGATAATTATATTTTTATTACTTGATTGTGAATTTTAAAAGTACATATTAAAGTAGGTATGTGTTTGTAATATCCAAGGTTAGTTGCATCCTGCATCCAAAATTGCAATACATTTACAGTATTGTAACACTTGAATAATTTCTAAGAACTGGACACGCATACAGAGGATCACAAGAACAATAAGCTTATTGTTGGGGCCTTATTTTGACTCAGGACCTCCAAAACTGACAAACCAATTAACCAATGCAATTCTTACTATTCTAAAGTTATTTGGATACTATGATGTTACTTAAAGCTTGTATGTCACCTTCAATTAGATAATTAGGCCAATTTTTGTCATTTTTTTAGGAGGCGTTAAAAGTTGCTACGATATCACCCTTGGATTCAGTTGTTTCAGCCGTTTACATAGAGCAGTTTTGACAATGACAAAAAACAATATTAGTCCAGTCGATACAATGAAAAATAAGAGGTATGTAGCTGCTTAGCTGGGAAGTAGGTATTCCAAAGTGAATGGAATTTTTTCGGGTTGTTTGAGGATGCTATCCTAAGTAATAATAATAATAATTGACTTTATTCCCATACAAAATGATATACATGAGCATTCACTACATGAGAGTAAAACAAAAAAAAAATTTCTTTTTAAGATACCTATCTACAGGAAAAAACAAGAGGAGAAAAGAGAAGAAAGAAAGTGAATTTTTTAACATCAAAAAGAAATTTAATAGAGAAAGGGATTCTCTATGCACTAAGCATAGGTACAGTCCTGAGTTAAAGTGTAGCTTTAGTTTTTTTTTTCATCATTACGTTTTTTGTTCTATTTTCAGCAAACGTGACTTAGTTATGCAAGAATAATTAATATACTGTCCAGAAGTGTCGTTTGAGTCATCATCCATTTTTGAATAGATTTTTTGTTAATCTTACATTTTTAAAATTACTCGGTAAAACATTGTATAATTTTGGTCCAAGATATAACGGCGATCGTTGAAATAGGGTTTTATTTATTTTTGGCATAGCTGATTTATTCTTTGTGATCCACGACAGTTGCTAATATTAAAAAATTACCGAAGAACCTTAAACAGATACAAGTACTTTAATGGCATAATTTTCTGGTGTACAAAAAGTGGAAGAGATGGTGTCATTCTACTTTTTTGACATATTGATCGTATCGCCATTTTTTGTAGTTTTTTTATAGGAGAAAGGATACTATATGGACACCCGTTCCCCAACAACATACACCGTAACTAAATGGGAATGCATATAAGCATGGTAGGTAAATTGTTTTTAACGCATGACAGGTAAGTGATGCTTTTAATATATAAATTTTCCTTGCTATTGAATATATAGTAACAGACAGACAAAGGAACAGACGGACAGACCAACAGAGAGACGACAAGCAGCAATACAAAATTATAAACGATCTCTAGGATCGTTAATAAACGGCAAAAGTGTAAAATTATGGAACATGTAAAATATGGTTTTTTGTTTTTTTTTACAATAACTTTTTTTTTACAATAACTTTTTTTTAGCAATAAACGTAGAAAAAATTCCTCCCTTGGTGCAAGCCTCGACACCATAACGAACCAAATAGCGAAAAAAGTAGAACAATGGCTCTTAAGATAAAGAACTGGTAGCGTCTCAACGGGTGGGCGCACGGACGGACGGACAATAGGTAATTGACCTCGAGGATAGGGTTGCCAATTGTTTTATGAGAACTATCGGGTTGGAAGACTAAAAATAACGGGGCAAAAAGCGCGACGCTGGATTCTTTTGTAGAAAACGTAAGTAAAACAAATTTTAACAAGTTAAAAAAGTAATCTTAAACGATTTACAAAAAACGCATTTCCACTTGCATTCATTTCCCATTTGTAAGATGCTACTTCTGTTAAAATCTTAAAAATCCGACCACAAATATGAAAGATAGCGTTGCATAGGTGCAATCCATTTTTTGACGTGCTACTTTAATTTCAGTGTATGAGAAGAATTTCATTTCAATGCTTTCATAAATAAGAAAGTTGGCACTGCGCATGCGCAACCGTAAATTTTGAAACTAACGTTAGATTTTCCTTTATTCCAAGTGGCCATGTATGATGTATCAAATTTCATTTAAATGCTTCTATAAATAAAAAATTGGCACTGAGCATGCGCAAAACCAAATTTTGAAACTGGCTTTAAATTTTCCTTTATTCCAAGCGCTTATGTATCAAATTTCATTTAAATACTTTTATAAATAAAAAAGTTTACAATTCCGTTTATATACTATCACTCACCTTCATATGTTGGGAAGGTGTGAAATTAAAAATTGTAATAGATGCAGTGAGCCATATACAGTGCAACATATTCTTTTGGGTTGTCCTGAATATGAGAATGAACGGAAAACGCACGGATTGCCCAAAAACTTGAAAGAAAGTCCTTCATGACGATCAGAACAGTATTCAACGACTGATTTCATTTTTAAAAAGTATTGGTATATTCAATAAGATTTAAGTTAGAAGGAGGTACATCAGGCGAAAGACCAAAAGCAGTCGAACCCTTTATCACTGAAAAAAAAATGGTCGGGACACTGGAATTTTGAATTGATTCGAGTCAATTTTTGGCATTGCGTATTTATATGGCTGAGGCCGAGGCTGAAGCTATACCCATATTGAATTTCATGCAATTCAGTTCATAATTAACGGAGATTTCTAAACAAAGTTATCGTTCAGACAGACAGATTGATGAACAGACGGACAGACCAACAGATAGACGACAGGCCGCAATACAAAATTATAAACGATTTCTAGGATCGTTAATAAACGACAAAAGTGTAAAATTATGGAACATGTAAAAAACGGTTTTTTGGTTTTTTTACAATAACTTTTTTAGCAATAAACGCAGAAAAAATTCCTTCCTTGGTGCAAGCCTCGACACCATAACGAACCAAACAGCAAAGTAGAACAATAGCTCTTAAGATAAAGAACTAGTAGCGTCTCAACGGATGGGCGGATGGACAGACGGACAAAGTGGCCACAATAGCATGTATTCCTCTACGCTATAATAACAGATATTTCTTTAGTGAGCCTTTGAATGTATCGAGCGACAGTTGTTCCAGGATATTACTTAGATTGTTTTATAACAAGACATTTAAAGAATTTTTTCCTGATACACATAGCCTTAACTTAAAGGGCAGTAACAAATCATGATGTCTAGTATTATATTGATGACTCCTCCTCTGACACTTTACTGTTGGCATTTTTTCGGCGATGTATTTCAATTAGAGTATAGTATAGATATAGGCAGGTACCGGCATCATTTTATAGGATTTGTAGTAACCATATATATAAGGGATATATATGGTAGTAACCGCTACAATGATCTCTGGAACCAATATTGACTGGGATTTTAAGCGCTTTCTTTTGAAGTCTAAAAACTCTTAGATGCATTGCCGCCCATACAGTGATTCCATAGCTGATTTTCGAGTGGAAAAATGCAAAATAACAATTTAAGAGAACAGATTTGTCAACAGATGTTCTGAGCTTAACTAATAAATAAATACTTGGAGCTAACGTGTTACAAAGTAAATCAATATGCGGTTCCCAATTCAATTCATTGTCGATGACAATGACTATACCGAGCAATTTGATATGGTTTCTGTTGTGTACCGACTTTTGACTAGTAAATGTTATGATTTGAGTTTTATTAGGATTGTGTTTTAGTTGATTGGAGTCAAGCCAGTTCTGCACTTCTGTAGCGGCTATATCAATGGACTGAGGTACTCAGATCGCATGGGTTTGTAGATTTGCAAATTATGGTTGTATCATTCGCAAATTGGACGCATTTCCCTGTATTAACCGCATTTGCTAGGTCGTTAACGTAAACCAGGAACAGAAGTGGACCAAGGGCTGATCCTTGTGGTACGCTAAACAAGATTGGTTCTATGTCCGACATTTGATTATTAAATGAAACACATTGCAAGCGATTACTGAGGTAACATCTAAAAGTGCCAAAGGCGTTCCTCGGATACCGTAATATTTTAATTTAGCTTCAAGTATTGCTGGAACTACATAATCGAATGCCTTAGTTAGGTCATAAACCACTGCAGACACCGTCTGCTTACTCTCAAAAGCTTCAACAACCGACTCTATTAGCGCAACAATTGCACTTGTGGTTGAAAAACCCGCTCTAAATCCATACTGTTGGTCATTAAGTATAAAGTTTCTGTCGAGATATTCGACCAAACGATTTTTTTATTAATATTTCGACGACTTTACCTAAAATGGGAATAATAGAAATAGGTCGATAGTTGTCTAGCGAGCGTTTATCACCCTATTGCTATTTGAAGTAAAAATAACATTATAAAGTAAAACTTTCTATTTCTTTACTTAAATCATAAAATGTGTAGGTACTTATTTATACGTGTTAAAGACATAAGAAGGAACTCTACGTAAGTAGTTATTTTTTTGATTTAAAGCTGTATTTGTTTTGAGTTTTAGTAGCATGTAATATAGCTCTGATGTTCTTCAGGCAATAGTAAAAAAATTCTGAACATGGAAGTGCAAAAGTTAACTTTAATCTGGAGCTCTGCTTTCAAATGGCCTACTGTGATTAGTCTGTTTCTATTTTCTGTCCAAGCATTTTCACATAGAGAAAAAATCCTTTCCGTTGCAGCATTGGAAGGAATTAGTGTTGATGCCAAAAATTAGAAGACAATCAAAATATCCCTCTTTAGGCCGGCTACAGCCGCGCGCAGCAGAAAAGGTCGAGAATTCGAGGTTTTTGCGAGGGGTTGGTCACGACTTATTTTACGGGAATTGACTTTGTAAACAATAAACGCGAATTTACCACGGAAACCATTACCTATTGGATTCTTTACCTAAGATTATGTGCCTTCACCTAAACCAGGACTGGTCTCAAATTTCATTCTATAACCAATTCTTACTGGCTATGAGTTGGCACGGCAATGATATGGTCGACAATTAGTTGGATCGGCAATGAGATGGGTCTGCAAAGAGTTGGCACGGCAATGAAGTGGCGGTCTAGAAATGGCGGCAATGAAATGTCCCATTTCGCAGTTGGCACCCCTACGAGGACCGTGTGCTAATTTGGAGGGGTGTCAATAACTCGACAATTTTCAAACTTTCATCTCGTGAACTATGAATATTTTTTGTATCATAGTGTTTGCAGGACCAATATTAACTTTTGCATAAATTCCCAAGAAGCTGAAAATGCACGGAACATGAACGTTAGGGATACCATTTTAATGAAATTGTGAAAAGTCCCCATCGGTCCCATGTGTGCAAAAAATTTTATTCAAGGTCAAAGTTCGCAAAAATGGGTTTTCTGGATTTTTAGCGAAACCGTTAGTTTTATGATAAAAATAGCTCAGGCAAAAAATTGTAGATTATGCAATTATATACAAATAATGTCCTTAAACCTCTCGCCAGGAAAGATTGCCGGTCACAGAACACTTGATCCCGATCTACAATCTATGTTTTTCTAAAGATGTGAGCGACTTTCCTTCTATGTCTTTATGTATCATGTTAATGTTGAAAAAAAAGTCGTTTCGTTCAACATTGGCACGATCCTATTCCTGAAGTCGCTCGCGTCTTAAGAATAACATAGATTGTAGATCGACATAAGGTGTGCTGTGACCGGCAATCTTTCCTGGCGAGAGTTATACACTTTTTCTCCTAAGATTAAATACTTCTGAGAAAAAGCGATTCCAAAATTTACTAAAGTTGTATTCTTTATACTACGCTTTCTATACGGAACTGTATTACTAAGGTGTTATTCAGGAAATAAAAACTTTCGACTTAAAATTAAAGAGAAAGATTAAAAATTTGCTGTGACTAGCACATAATACGCAAAAACGTCAAAAATTGACAGTTTTTTGGTACTTTGGTACTGCCCAAAAGATTTTCAGCTGTTCCTTTTATGTCTAAGAATATGTCTACCAAAATTGGTTCTAATCGGTTCAGCCGAAAATGAGATTACCTACAGTCTACAGACAGACCGACATCTTCGAGATTTTGTATGATTCGGATTCCTAGTGCTTCACAACATGTACTTATTTCCGTCAAAAAATATAAATGAAATTACACTTACAACTAATTTAAGATTTATTATTATTTATTTATTATGTTTTAAAGCCCCGTTCTTATATTTAATTTGTTCCTGATGTTGTATTATTTTCATTAAACGTTTATTTATATGAAAAAAAATTTTAGATTACAATATGTAAAAGCCAGGAAAACCAATAAGATATTTCGAAAACTATCAGGGGTAGGTATGTTGATAGTTTGAAGCGTTACGTAAAGCAAAGAGGTTCAGATTAGGATTTGCATATTAACTTGCTCCTAGCGGCTTATAATGTACCTCATTATAAAGAGGAACTGATAACTTTACTTCGGTCATAGGTACTTTCTTGGAATATTATGACAGCGGTTCCTCCTGGTCCTGGATTTCGATTTTGTGTTAATTCTGTCCTGCGTCCGTGTATACCAATTTGCTATAAGTATTCTCATGTAAATTGATGACAGTCAAAAATATTACCAAGCGAAGTACTTTTACATTTATATGTATACTAAGTGGTGCTTTTTGGACAACAAACTTTGTAGACTTTGCAAATTTTCCACCCGAGACCACAGTCTACCGTACCTACCTGTTGCTCTATTTAAACGGGACCGAAAATATCAAATTTATACGTCGTTCGATCTGCAATTTATAAATATGGTCAACATATAGATAAGGATAATAAAGGTACGTGACTAAGAGGCCTTCAATCGTTTTTATTGACCTACTACATTACAGATATAATACCATTTATGAAATGATCATTTGCGAATAAAATGATGGTGAGTGAGGATGCGGCTGGTTCCTGTGAAATTCGTCGACAAGGGTGAGTTTGTGTTACATTTATCAAAATATTGCTTTTTATACAATTTCTAAACGAAGTCTGCGTCAAAAGTTGTGTAAACATCTTCAGTAAACACCTATTTGAAAGTTATTTTTAATAATTAGACTAGTGGAGTTCGGTTAGAAAGCACTGAAACTCTGATAAAATACGATTTTTGCGGTTTTTGGCGAATATCAACGATTTGATAACATGAAAATTGAAGATCTCCAGTAGAGAGATTCTTTTCCAATTGAATTTAAGTCAATGTACCTATACTTCGTTTCACGAGATAGCAGATCTGGATTTATCTAATGTTACTAGTCTATTTAAACGAGTGCATTGGATTGCATTTATCAATTTTGCTACCTACTTTATTTATATAATTGTGAGAACAGATATGTGTATTGTGTACATCCACCGTTGCTTTACTTAGGTAACAATTTGAAACATGAAAAACAAAAATGAGATGCTGATACTAAATTGCTGAAAATTCAGGTATAAGTACCGAGAACGCAAATGCAAATTACCTACCCCCACAATTGCAGACGTAGATATTGGAAAAAATCCGCAAGCCGTAAAGTCGACGGTTTGGTGTAAAGTTCTCAAGAGAAAGTGATTTCTCTGAAAGACAACGAGTAGAAAATTTAAAAGCCTAAAATTACCCATCTACCTCTTTTAGCACTTCTTCATCAGGCTCCAAGTTCGCCTCGGCGAGGTATTTGCTGATTTCGTTCGCCTGTAAATACAAAATTACCTAGGCAAGTAAGGCGGTTAAAGTACCTTTCCTTCGACGCTTCCCGCCGGTATCAACATGAAACCCAGCTGAACACTATAAAATGTAGTCCAGTAAATAAATCTGAAATTCCTATTGTGGACATTTGTCAGGGCATACGCCCCCAGTAGTATCTCCATGAAGTTCAAACTGACAAGCGAGAATAATGGAAATGTAAAAGCCTGGTTTATCGCGCCCGCACCCTTGCATAGGTCGTCATACATTGTCGAGATGATTTTGATCATGTGCTTAGGACACTTATGATAGTTACTGTTGAAGTATTCGGCCGTTGTCTTCAAGAATTTAAAATTGTTAATCAGTATAATGACGTACAGTTCAAAGTAGACCAGAGCAAGTAGGTGAATGAGTAGTTGAATCCCATTGGAGAAAGTGTCTAGGATTGTAATTGTGGGCTTTTCTCCCATGACTATTTCCACTGTGACTATCAGGCAAACTGCGAGTGAGATGAAGAGACACGATAAGTTGCGGTACCAGGTATAGTTGATGGTGGCAAAGCTTCTTTTCTTGCCGTCAAAATGGTACAGCTTGTCAAATGCGTCAATAAAGCTGTCTTGAACGAAGTAAAATGAGAGCATAGTTGTAACGGCGCTAATTAGACGCATAGCTTGTAATACACACACTATGGTATTTAATTTATTAAAATAATTCTCTTGCTGCCTTATTATGATCATTTGCACAAAGCAATAAAACATCATTGAGGATAAGACTAAAAATAATTCTATGAGTAGACTACTAAGGGGTGTTGTGCAACTTACAAAGAATTATACCAATGTTACAGCAACCATTCAGATTAATACGATATGTGTTTGCGTAACCGAGTCCCTTAGGCTTCTTTGTGTAAGGCGCCATTCCAAATATTTTTCCAAAGACATAAACGACATTAATTACTGAAAAGATGGACAGCTCTTTAGCCATATCGTAACAGAACCATAAACTAGTTCTGATGAGAATATTATAAAATCAATTTGATGGACAATATGCATTATTGTTATCATCTACATCTACTGTGCTATATCGATGAATAATTGACTACGTAAATGATTTCTCAGTTTCAAAATAATTACGGTAGACCTTTTTTTAATTCCTACCAAAATTTACACATAAAAGGATGGGATCTTCCGGATGTGGAGTAACTGTCCAAAAGTGTAGCTTAGTTCCGTGGATAAATTAAATAAATAAATTTGGTTAATTCACATGTTTGCATATAAATGGTTCTGGCATTGCGGTCTAATGTAACTTGGAGATGAGTTTCTTGCTTGGAATGTCTGACCCATAAATTTTTATTATAATTTCACTTATCTCATGATACATTCTGCTTATCACAGGTGATTCATATCGTAATTAAGAGCGCCTTATCCAAATGAGCATATAAACTAAGTAAATAAGCACTCCATCCCAGGAAATGGGTGACACAACACCTGTATTGCCTATCTGAACCTATTAATCCCGACAATGTTTATGGCTTAGGTTTATGTTTTATCACGAAAATTATTGTTTTTGTAGAAAACAAAGTAATGGCCGTATGCGCTCAAATATGTAAAAGCGGAAAAAAGATTTTAGGATTTTAGATCTTCTCCCACGTTTCATTATTTGGACCTGCGATCATTTTGTAACAAAAGGATCTCCTACCAAACAGACTCCATACAAAACTAAACATCATTCAGTTCTCTATAAATCAGAATATGCATGATCAAAGCTCATTTTTGGTATAATACAGATTGTTATTTTATTAGCAAAGGTTAAAATTATCGATCTCACGAGTAATCTAACTCAAAATAGACTAGAGCCTGCACATCTATGTACACCATAGCAGAGAAAGCTTTCAGTGAAAATTTGAAATCTCTAGCTATTGTAATTGCTGAAATCTCAGCCGGACAGCCAGCCTGCCAGACAGTCGGCCATAACGAATATAATAGCATATTTTTTTTTATAAAGGGGCTAAGTCCAATAGCTTCAGAGCAATGATAGCACGAAAGTGACTTTCACAGTTCTTCACGAGAAACAACTGGTGTAACTTTGGTTTTTAGAAGACCCCACACATAAAAGTCCAGTGGCGTTATATCTGGAGATCTACAAGACCAATAGCGCGAATCTAAGCCTAATCAACCTGTCTTCAAAAATGTTCATATAAACATCAATGGGTAGAATGAGCCGGCGCTCCGTCACGTTGAAACCAGTAGTTTTCCATAGCCCGGGTAATGTTGCCAAGGATGATATACCCGATCACGATAAGGGGTCGAGGAATAGGCCTCTATGGTTGGTAGAAATTAATTCCTTTCGTTGCGACCTTTCATTAGAATACCATGAAGGATAAAACTAGTTCCCCCCCCCCCCTCTACCCCGTAGTTTGATAAGAGGACAGAAAGAAGGGCAGTAGTTGGTAGAAAATGGTTTCTTTCGTTGAGACCTTTAATTAGAATACAATGAGAGATAAAATTAATTTTTAACTCCCTCCCCCCCACCCCACCCCTCAGGCCACGTCGCTCACTGATCTCGAAAAAGACTCGCACGGGAAAATTATAGTTTGTACAAACCAATTTATTTCGATGAGACCTTTAATTAGAATACCATGAAGGGTAGTACATGTGCCCCCCCCCCCTCCATTTCCTGAAGTTCAACTTAGCACCACTAAAGGCATTTGTATGCAAAATGTGAGACCAGTTGGTTGTCGTGTGTAAAAGCTACGGACGGACAAAACGCAAACAATAGTACATTTTTTTTTATTCTTAAAAAATGCGCTCAAAATAAATAAAACAAAAACCATAACATATAGGTATAGGGAATAATATTAAACTTGACCATTAATTTGAGAACACTTTGTAGAAGGTAGAATGGCGATAAAAATTTAAATCATTCACATGTAGCATCACGTCAGAGTGTGATTTTGGAAGACTTTGAAATTCAAGTGAACGGCGAGCCATATAGATACCCATACAGGGCGCTAAAGAAAATTTGTCAAATGTCAAAAATTCTGAAAAATCTCGAATATCTTGAAAACCCGTGATATTGGGTATAGGGAAATGTGCTATCAAACGACGTAGATTTCCATGTAGATTTCGAAAATGCAATTAAATATAGGGCGTTCAATTTAAAATAAGCAAGTTGCTGTCCACATTCGGTAAAACAGGAAGTGAAACGATCATGATAATATTTTCTTTCGATATATCATGAAAAACTATGTTGGTATGCCAATTTTAAGAATTAAATTATTGATGGAAGTCTAATAATACTTTTAGGTAAAGGTTTGCGTGAAACAGCCTGTATAATAATATCATTGTATATGTACTGCAAAATGATTTTTATTTTCATTTGGGCATATTTCTTGTATAAATTTTTTACATTGACAAAAGTAATGATCGCTTAATTGGTACACTCTGCAGCATGGCAAACAAACTTGTCTATGCCATCGAGCCCCGGCGGTTTCTACAAGGAGGAGATACCTTAATTGGTTGGTTCGTGTTTCCAAGTTGCACAATATATTCAAATGTTGGTTGCGTATGGTGTAGGATTAACCTATTCCGCGATCATTACTTTTGTCAATGACTGTACCTAACCACTTGCAATGGTGCTCGTCGAAATTACAACCCCTTTTACTAGCCCTACATATAACGGAGGTAAATTCCAATTTAATAGAAAATCGAAGGGATAGTAACCCTTCTTAGAGGGTTATGAGTTCGATTTAATATTGTTTGGTCTCTCTTTCAAATAAAATTTGTAGCTCAATTTTAATGACGATGTAACTTTCTACTGCAGTCTGTGCAGCTAAATTAATGACATTGATGGCTTGAGTCACGCTACCTAACATAGGAACTATAAATAGAAAAGAATGACTGTGGTGATAATTCCTACCGGATATTTTTAGATCCATTCAGATCTAGAACCCCTCCCTAGTGATGTCTAGGGTTCCACGGTTCTGACTGCTGGTAGTGCTGGTCGGCACCAAGAATCGCCATACGGTAGTAATCTCGACGCCCCTTCGAGGTCGATAACAAGGCATTGAATGAAACTTCTCCGTCACAACGAAACTGGGCCCCGCTGCTCCGATGGAGCCTTCTCCCTTATGGCGTTACCTGGTGCATGCGAAGCACTTGCTTTCGTCACAAACCTCGAACGAAGCGCTTCCTGGCCATCTCCTTTTGTGCGCCAGTTCTATTCTTCTTGCGAATAGGAGCTGGCCCACTCGACGTCATTGAATAAGGCCCTGCGTTGGAGTCGGCCCCTCTTTCGAGGAGCCGGTCCCGTTACCGAACCCCTTTTGAGGGCCCGACTTGCTGGTTCTCCCTGACGAGGAAATTGTTCAGAATGCAGGGATGTCTGTCGCCTCTAGGCAGCGAAGTTTTTGCCCCCCCCCCCCGCTACTATTTCTCTTACACTAAATTTACGCCAAACCAAGCCCATTTAGACGCAAAACAGTTTTGATTATATCAATATAAAAATGTATAATTATATTCCTCCCAATATTAAGGCTTTACCTTTTAATTTATTCAAATCAAGAACTAAAGCATTTCTTATTGATCAAGCGTTATACTCGTATGAGGAATTTTTCAGTACAGAGTTCTTTTCGTGACAATTAAGTATTGTTGTTATAATTTTTGTTTGTTCTTACATTTGTAATATTTTTGCTTTTGTATTGACTTATGTATGTAGGCTGTTCTACAAAACATCAAATAAGCTTTATTATTATTATTATTATTATGGCAAGTTGATTAGAGAGAAAGCTTATGTTACTTTTAATATTATTGAAAACCCATAGATATACTGTAGTTATAACATCAAACTAGATACATTGCCTACTCTGAAATTTGCAGTGATCTGGAGCATTTTTTTTTGTTTTTCTGTCATGGAACCACAGATCTTTTTATCGATTTTTGGTGTCTAGTCATGATATATTTATTGATAGTTATATTTTTCAAATTGCCACTTAATGCGCTAACATAGCTTTATACAGATTTCTAGAAAGAATAATAACGTTTGGGTAAATTTATTAGAATTATATTTCGATTTCGAAAAATCTTTTCAAGCAGGTTTCTAAGAAAATTTCCTGGATTCTTAAACAAGGCGAGTAAAATTACCCCCCCCCTCCCGATTCATTCCCGGACCTTTCCCCTTTTATGCGTTCAACGAGGAGGGCTGAAAACGTTAGGGGTCAGGTCTCTAATCCTCTTATAACAAAAGAAAAACGCAAGTCCTCGACAAATAAGGAAATTACGAAGTTAGGTCAGTAAAATCCCCAAAAAAAGAAATTCGTGGCTTTTCCCTCTTCCTGAAAAACAATCATGACAACATAGAGTTTTTTGAGAAAACGGTATACAGAGCGGTCTAGGGGCCATACCCCCCCAGAAATTTACTTTTAAAAGTAAACACTAATGAAACAAAGTTTGAACGGTTTTACAATACTTTCTGTGATTGCTCGAAAAACTTATTTACGCAGCTTGAATAACAATTATCGTTAGAGAAAGGCCCAGAAATGTAAATTACTGATGAACATTATTTTCCATTAATCCATTTTTTAAAAAAAGTAGGCTTATTTTACAAAATAAAGATTCTGTTCTAGAAATCCTAAGGGTTTCTCATGTTTCAGTTAAACTTATTTGATAGATCATTTCCAATGCGATATTTCTGTCTAATGATCATTTTTGGACAGAACATAGATACTTTTTCAAAAAATGTCAGAGCGCATTTATGCATTTTCTATGTAGATCAGAATCAGTGGCATGGTCTTGACTAAAACATTTATAAACAACACCTAATGTATACGGCGACCTTGCATATTTCGTTATTGTATTATGTTAATTAATTGGCCCGTACGCATTAATTGAATGGCGCACGTTTCCTCAAATTTATAAGGAAGTTGGCATGGCAACGCCGAAGCGTCCCCAAAATTTGAATATCGCACGTTATTGCTACGTGCATTA